CATGCTAGTGCACAATACACCACCCCATCCCTTGAGTGTAGGTACCACAGATGTGTCCCTGACAAATTTTCCTACTCCTTGAGTTCGTGCCCCTCTCTAGTTGGGTCAACTCTGACCCGAATAGAGAGGAAACGTCATCTTGCGTCGCCTCCTTCCGTAACATCCCGCACATCGCAGACATCTCTGGAGTCAGGAGAAAACCAATATCTCTGATATCAAATTTTGCTCTAGAAGCTACTGGTCCTCCTTGATATCCCTTGCAAAGAGAGTGTTACCGCTTGGCCCCACTACCAACTTACCATGGAGTTGGATCCATGTATCCACCACATACCCAACCTTGATCCTTATCCAAATACCTCTAATAGTGAAACCAGGAAAGAGGTAATATAACATTCAACTATACTAATACCATATGAAAAAGATATAAGACTATCTTTATCTTGAGAAAAGCACTTGAACCTTTGTGACGCTTTAAGAAACTTTATAGACCATACTCCTGAAAACTATGGATGTCGTAAATATCTCACATATGGGATATGTTTTATTGTAATAGAAAACCAACTATCCATTGCAAAATGGTTCTCCAGCATCTAAAAAAATCACTAGGTTTCTATTACTTTATAGTTCATTTTGAAAAAAAATATTTAAATATAGTACCCTTCATAGGTCAAGTACTTGTTTTTTTAACTTTCTGATGTCAACATATGTCTAAGTTATCTTTAAGGCATAGGCTTTGATTTTGACTTGTATCAATCTTTTGACTTTTGTTTCTCTTGCCAATGTTAAAAGGCAAAAATTATCTGAGGGACTCGACTTTTACCAAAAGAGTCCACATTTGCATTCAGTTTATATTTGTTCAAGCACAATTTATTGTATATGCATTTTCTGTCTTGTACACTTGAAGGAACATCATTTTTTTCATAATGTGCTTATTTCTAGGTCATTTTTAGTTTGTAGAACTTTCAATTCTTCATATGAACTCACGAACATGAAATAGTAAAATAGTTTTTACTTATTCCTCAAAAATTATTTTTTTATATCACAAATAGAAATAATTAAATATAATGGAATTAACTAGTTGGGGAACTAGAGAGAAGAAAGGTAGGATAGATGAAAGAGAGTAAACAAAAAAAATAGAAGAATGTATCTATTAACAAAATATTTGTATAGGAGTACCAAGTTCAGGTCATAGTGAAGAGACAAAGACGTAGGTAGGTCAATAAATATGGGTTCTCATCTCATCATCTACTTATCCAACAAAACTACATTTTTTTTATTCATTGTATACAAGCCAACATTTAGAACCCAGCCATGCCATTTTTGCATGACTCTAAATTTTAAGTTTGGAGATGGGTGATAACAATACATTGTGTATCTCAATAAATATATTGGAATCTTCTTAAACATATATCGTGTTTGTGGATGTAGATGATAGAAATAAAATGGCAAACAATTTCTATACACATTATTTGCCATGGAAATTAGCATTGTGAGTGATTTAAGAAACCTTATGTTGAGATAATGAATACTTTTTTAGTCTTGTTAGTAGTTTATGAAAATTTAAGAAACATTTGTCATATATCTCACATGTTAGCAAGTAGATACTACAACCTAATAGTAGTAAGTATTAAGGCTCAGTGTTCTACATTAATGATGTGTGTTGTGATGCCCCAGAACCTTTGGACCACATGGTATGCATAGCATGGTGGATCCTCAAGTCATGTGGCACAATAAAACCTCACTATGCATGGCACAAACTTCAACATGTGCATCATGTAGCTTTTGACATGTTGGAACCTTATGATAGTCAAGTGGAGGACAACTAATGACAAATGGGTGAGTGATGAAAGTAAGCATTACCATTTCTGCATAATAATGTCACATTGTGGTCCTATTTAGATCCCTACCTAGAAAGGGTTCAAGCATTGTGGTAATGCTTACCACAAAGTCACATAGTGATGAAACAATGAGATTTGACTTGAAATCCCTACTTAGAAAGGGTTTCAAGCATCAAAAAGAATCATTTATTTCTCTAAGCTAGGTATGGGTTGATAGGGAAACCCCAAAATAGATCTACCATGCTAGCATAGTCCAAGATTACTTTCAACAATTTCATTTTTTTGTGCTTGACATTGATAACTTACTTTATGACTAGCACATTCCAAGTGATTTGGAAAGGTATGAAGGATTTCCAAGAAGCACTTGCAATTGACTAAGAACATAAGATAGAATGTAATTGCTCGCAGATAAAATAGTAATAGGGTCACTAATATTCTTGAAACCCTATTGTGGTGAAAAAGACAATCCAAAATATACAAGTCCCAAGTAAATCACTAACATTAAAACCCTCAAGTAAATCAAAAATACTCAGTCATCTATGTTAATATCTACATTGTGATGTAAGGTAATAAATGAATGAGATTTATCTTCATACTTGACCTAGTAGTTTAAAATATGTGTTATAATGGCTTTAAAACACCTAAAACTTCACATCTAAATGATAGCCCAAGTAACTTAAGTTCTCTTTGAAAAAATGATCTACTCACATCAAGGCAATGAACAGTCAGTCCAAGTCTTGCCACATGAGAACTGGTGCATGGAACGTTGGAGTCCTAATGCATGGTATTTAATTCGTCTTTGGTATGACCTTATCAAAGAAGCCTAACATTGTCCCTTAATTGGTCTTTTCCTTGTATCAAAGAAACCTCGATTTAATTCAAATTAGTACAAAGTGGTAGACTTTACTCCTTATATTAGACCAAAAAAGATTTTAAATTTTATAGTGATTGCCTATTTTAGTCTTCTAGTATGTACTTACAATCTAATATTTGACTGGGTAGAGATATTGACTTAATAGGGTAGAGGGAAGTTAAAGCTTTCAACATTTTTATTTATGAAGACTCTATGTATATTATTCTTGGTTGGCAATAATGTACTAAAAGATGATGTATTTCAGCAATTCTAGACATTTAGAAAAAGTAAGCAAATAGCTTTGAGTTCAACAAGTGAAATTTTAGGCAATAGTCTATCCACTAGTCTTTTTTATCATTTTGTAGTTGTTTTGTATCAGTTGGGTATTATCTTTTCCTAAATGTGAAGAGCGCGAAATTCCTTTTTATTCGTTTTTACTTTTCATGAAAATCTTAAAGTCCAATAAATAATACAATTATATGTGTGAAATATGAATGTTATCCTTTTCAAGTGTACTTTTGTGAACATGAAAATAGTGTCTCAAAGTCAACAAAACATATCTCAAATCAATACAAAGTCAAGGTCGAGGTGATGCTCAAATTGGCCTTCACCTTATGAGGGATCAAGACAATGGTCGTATAATTTTTAATTTGACAACCCATTCAAGGTCACATGCTATGTTGGGCTAACACACCACCTCTCAACTTGACTCAAATTTTTGTCAAAGTTTCCTCAGGTAGACCCATTGTCTAGCGATTGGCAGTAATCTACAGGACGTGGCGAAGGCATTGACAACTACAAACCTCAAGTACATATAGTAAAATAGAAAGCGGGGGTCTAAAGAAGACAGTACATGGGGAAAAGCCATATCTGTGTGTCAAGGACTTGATATAGCAGTGTTTGACCACATCTATGTGCATAATATGACAAAGCCTCATGCACAATAAGCATAGAGTATAGCAAACCTCACAATGCATTGCAAAAGGTGTGGGGTGCATCTTGTGATGGAAATCTTCCTATGTCCAGCAGGAGGTCCAACATGGTGCAACTTTCATGTGCCTTGCATATTATTTGAGCTACATTGACCACCTTTACAAAGGAGGCACAGGATAAGGAACGAACTATCAGATTCAGCCAACCCCCAGAACCACATGTACAAGATTCATTGCATGTGCCGCCTCATGGTAGAAGGGCATATAACTATTTGGCTACTTGATTCACCAAAGAACTTAAAATGTGTGGCATTTTACTAGAGAACATGTTTGACTACTTTGAATCATCATGTCAAGACCATCGCTCAGAAATAAATTGTCAAAATCAAGTCCTAAAGGATAAAACCCTAGAGATAAATTGATATTGTATATACCAATCTTTAGGGATGTATATTCAAAGTAAAGTTTTTAAAAAATATTTTTTTATCAAATTAAAAAAAACAATATTTAAAAACATGTTAAGTATTATTATTAAAACTCTAACACCAATAAAAGAAACAATCATTAGTATTTACAAAAACGAATTCTAGACATCTTTTAGGCCATCAAAATTTACTTCAGTTTTACAGATAAAAACGGATCATTTATTACCTTACATAAGCAAGAACAACCAAAGAAGAATATTCATGTCTCATAGCATATGAATATAAGCATCATACAAGGAACCATATACAGAAAAGAAGATCCTACAGAGAGAGTAAGAAGGAGATTAGTCATGCTCTAACTTTGATCACATAGCATCAAGTTCAAGTTTTTCAAATGGGGAAGCACATTATAGTACTTGTTCTTACTCAGCCTCATGAATAGAAGCAGGTTCCACCTTTAGCAAAACCTTACACGACCCCAGCTTTCCTCATTTCCAGAGTAATACTTTTCGATCTACCGAGTTCATAATCAGCAAAGAAACGTCTACACTAATAACCCACTAATAGAAACTCCCCCACAAACATATGTCTAAGAGAAAGTTGCTAAAAATATATAGATTTCAGCAGGAAATACTGACACCAAGAGGGCCTTCACCCTCTTACCAAGAAAATATCACCCAAAAAAAAAAAAAAAAACAAAAAAAAAAGAAATACTACAAGCATCAACTATAAGCATTCTGCTGGCTGAAGAACACGCTTCCTACACCGCGAGAAGTTCTGCTGTTCCTCCAAAAGGCTCGTTCGTAATATTTCACAACGTCGGAGGTATAAGAGCACAGGATATAGAGAAAAGAATACAAGACACTTACCACAGAATCCGTTCGTCCACGCTTTCCAAAAATCGAGTCTGCTACCTCCAGTTGCTATTATAAGAAAAAAAAATAAAGAAGGTTCATCCTACTGCTTGGCTGATGTCTCCTGAGGGCAATGGCGATGATTCAGGTGGCGAACTGCCCAGGTGAGGACTCTCCGAGTCCTGCTGCAGCTCCTTTCCTGGGAAAACCTCAGACTGAAGAGATGCAGAGATGCTGTTCACATGGAGCCACGTGAGTTCCCAGAGGCTATCTCCACCGATTGTGCTCCTCCTAATGAGGATCCCCTTTGCCTTCATCACGAGCAAAGTGTTCTTCAGGAGCTCCGGAATCAGCTCCTGGAGCTTCTCACACCTCTTTCCCCTGACCTTCAACTTCATGTACTTCTCCATGCGGCTCAGTACCCCGAGCCAGATCTTGCAGAAGCTGCTCAGAAGGGAGAGCTCTTGGAGCAGCTGCAAGAACACCTTGGACAGCAGCTTCACAGATAAGACGAGGGTTCCCTCCATGTTTCGGTAGTCCTTTGGCAAATGACTCTGGGCAATCTCCAGAAGGTCATCAAGCAGGACGAATACAATCAAGTCAAACAGCTGAAGAAATGAAGAACCAGAGAGGGGAATGCCCTCCGATCCCGCCAGGCATCTCTGGAGTAGTGTCACGGCGTGGTTCCTTATCTCCTCCCTCTGGTCCACACAGATTTTCCTCAGTGCCTGCACCAGCCTCAGCCACATGTCTCTTATTCCCTCTGATATTTTCTCGGACCCTTCTCCTGCACGCTTTGCCTCGTGAGACCACCGAACCAAAGATGCCATGGATTCAGCCATCAGGTCCAATGCATGGACGGATCTGTCGGTAAGCCCCACCCGAGATTCTACAAATTGTCTTGATGCCTCGAGGCAAAGAATGTAGTTGGCCGGTGAAAGATGGGTCCCTTCAGACATGATGAACACCAGCGCCTCAAAGCCCACCTCAGAGGCCTCGGGGTGGCGAGCGGTGATGGAGAGCAAGGAGGTGATGGTGCGCCAGCCCATCTGTGACTTTATGTGGGAAGCATTCGCCTTTACGAGACGGGTGACCTCTAGTGTGATGTTCTCACAGTAAGCATCTGCAACTCTGGCATCAAGCTTGAGAATCAACTGCAATGATCGCAAAAGCTCATCAGCCAGGTTCTCCTTATATGGAAGTAGTCTCTGGCATATGCGAAGAAGGCCAAAGACCGCCTTCTCCACAAGAGTACAGGGTATCACTGTGGACTGAACAATGTTGGCAATGTGGTCGTAGACACCTTGCCAGAGGAGCACAATCCTGTCTCTGTTGTTCAGTGTAATGGCAATCAGCAATTCAAGGCAGAAAACCGCAGTGTCTTCATCGTCAGGTGAGCTATTCACTTTCTGCGGCCGACCAGCCGCCCAGGTGAGTGCCTTAGCGAGCTGCAATAGCGATTCTGCCTGCAGGAATTTGCTCTCCGTGAAGATGGTATCAATGTGACACTTCTGAATTGTCTGAAGGGTTCTCTGATGGGCAGCAAGCTGCTGTTCAGTTGGTTGAGACCTGGGCTCCTCTGTGTCCAGAGACAGTAGCTGGCTGAACCTGCCCATCAACCCTGAGGATCTGCGAGGCGTGCCCATGGACGGCAGATGAGATGCATATTGAGAGCTAGGAGGCGGCTTTCCATGGGCTGAATCTAGGGCATACTCAGAATCATCGGCTGCATCACTGGCGACACGGGCTGGAAGAAGACCGAGCTTGTGCAACTTTAAGATGCAATCTAATATATTCCTCCAGCCGGTATGAATATAATCTCCATACCTATTTGCTATGCTGAAGACTGTTTCTGTTGCTATTCTAGCTTTCAAGTCGTCCCCAAAAGCTATCACAGGCTCCTCAACCGAAGAAGCATTTAGGAGAGTCGTGAATTTACAAAGGGAAACCACCAGATCATCAAGTACGTCATCGAGATGGTGACACGCAGATATCTTTGCCACAGCCAGGAAGCCATCGATGCAAGTATGAAAGACTTCCTCTTGCTCTGCATGATCAAAGACAACTGAAATCGCAGCGATTGTGGGCCCTGACATGATTGCAAACATGTCACGATCAAGCAACGGTCGAGAATCATAGACAATGTACTGAGACGTATTTTTAGACTTTCGCATCAGATCAATCCACCGGCTGGGTGTCATCTCAGGGAACCCAGCGCTGTAATCAGGGGTAGTCTTTATTTCATTCTTGCAGATCGAGTGAAACAGCTCAGTCAGGAATTCTCTGGGAAGGTCACTGCCACCGTTGATCAGGCGGTTGTTCCGAATGAAGTCTTCTTCTGTCATCTTCTTCTTGACTTGAACATTATGCTGATCAGTATTCAGCATGATGAGTGAATAAGATAGCAGGAGTGCCGCATCCTTGTTAGCAAGAATATGGGGAGATTGTTCATAGTATCTCTCCGAGAAAGCCTCAAGCACCCTCTGAATCTTCTGAGATTCACCAGGAAGCCTGAAGGTCTCAAGAAAAAGCCTTAGAGCGGTATCTAAATTCATCTCATGAAAATCAAACGTCCAAGCAAATTCATGAAGTACCTGAACGCAAAAGTCATCGTGGTTGCCCAAGAAGTCCCCAACAAGGTTCTTATCAAGTCCAGCTGTATATCGGAAGAAACATGCGACACTTTGAGGGTCAAGCTTCTCTGGCAAGAGGTGTGTTCCCTGCAAAAACTCCAACCCCTTCTTTGGGTCCCGGTTAAAGTGATCTGCCCCAATCATTAGCCTTCTCTTTATGTACTTCTGGTGGCGAACAAACTTTACCCAACTATCAGGATCAGAATAGTTCTTACACTTGACCGTCCAGAATGGGCTGTACTCTTCAAACTCTACGGGAGCATGGTCTGGCACTGGGCATGCATCAGTAATCCTGCTAGCCATACCTTGAATGATTGCAATTAGACCATCCAAAGCAAGAATATGCATCGCTGATAACGGGCAGTTCACTGGAAATGCACTCTTCGACAGAAGATTAGCAAGGTCTTCAAATATGTTGTTGCATGTTATATCACAATCCAAGTTAGCATACATTTCAGGCATAAAGGTATTTTGCCGGCAAAAGTCAACAAGAGCCTCCATTGCAACCTCCTGCTGCTGGTATAATGCTCCATGTCTGCTTTTTGCCAGTCTCAGTATGACACATGAGAAAAAAGCTTCAAACTGAAGCTTCAGCTCCGTACGCAAATGATGATAGAGATTCAGAACAATGCTGCAAACCATTGACACAATTAATGGGCTCATCGACAGGCCAAATTGCATCAGATTACGGAAAAGTTCATCCTGTATCAGAGCTAATAACTTTGGGTGTTTTTGTATAGAGGATCCTCCCAATTCAATGGCAGAATTAATCAACCTCAATGCAAAGAGAGGGACATCTTCCTCAAAAGCTATAGGGTTTGAATTGGGACCCACGCCAATTTGTTCAGTGATATTTAGAAGAGAACACAAGAAGTGGAATATCTCCACCATGCAAGGAATTCCATAAGGCTCTGACATTGCTTGTGCACCATTAGTTAATTCAGCCACGGAATTTTGATCAACTAAGTTTGCTACAGGAGAACCAACAGGTAATCTGGTTTCCTCAACTCCAACACTTCCATCTCCATTTTCCACTTGTTTAGCATGAAAATCACTGCCTTTGTCAAGCCCACCAATCTGCAGAACAGAGGTTAGTTAATTCGAGAAAGAGGAGTTTTGAAACAGAAAAAACAAAATTGAGGACTTACTTCTGGTGCCAGAAGGGGACTTCCTCCATTACTTAATTGAGATTCCTCAATATCTTTTAGGTGTGAAAAAATGCACTTGACTAGTTCGTGCATAGTATGATGAGAAAATCTCTGAAGCAATTCACCCTTGGTTCCTGCTTGATGGACTACACGAAAACATGTATTTACAATTGTGCATACATGTTGATTATTTAACAACACAGATGCCTTGCTCTTCATGCATGCTAGAAGTACTTGGAGTATCTTCATTAAAACAACCTCTTCAGATGCAGGATCAGTTACCTCAAACCGACAACTTGTCACCGCATCCACAATCAAATACATTGCATTATCAACATTCACAGTATTTAGATCCAATATGTCCAGGGTCAAGATCTTGTAAACAGAGGATAACGCAACACCAGTGATGGGTGCACCTGTTTCATCAGATCGGATCACATCCAAGAATGGCTTAAGGTAAAGGTTGGGATTCACAGCATGCCACTTGTGCTCCAAAGAAAAAATTTGCCGTCTTAGTGTCTTCAAAGACTGAATGAGAGAATGTTCCAGATGTTCGTCACCACCTACATAGCGACCACCCCAACGTACATTTCTCCTCATAACAGCTAAAACCGCACCAACTTCAGAATTTATCATGCATGCTAATGCAACTCTACTAGAAGTTCCCTCACAGTCATCAACCTCCTCTTCTTCAATTGCCTTAATTCCGGACTGCAGTCTTAAGCGCCCCATCTTTTGAACTAGCCTGAATTCCTATAAAGAAATACTTGCAGCCACTGCACAGGACAAACGAAACACCCAAATTATCACATTACTATGATAGAATTGACGACTAAAATGGCACTCACTTCTTCACCCAAAACTAGAAACATATAGAAAAACAAATACTACATGAAGAATTAAGTATCAACGAAGTTATGAGTGAGCTCATAAAGTTATAGCAATTACATAGGAAAAAGAAAACACTCAAAAATGCTACTTATTCCACCAATAAGTTTGAGAATTTACGAGATACCAAGACTGATATCATGATGTTCTGCACTTAAAAAGTAGCCATACTACACAATTACATGTCCATTAATAGATATCAATGAAAACAAAGCATCATTTAAATTAGGGATCATCAACATGACACAACTCGTAGCATACCAGCACAAAATAATTGAGCTGATTTATAAAGTTTTTAAATACATATTTAAAATTATTGAAATACACCAACAAAAGAAATCTAGGAACATTACAACTTTGAACGTGACATTAGACGACATAAATGCAAAGTCCTATTAGGTGATCATAATGAGTTGTTCCTGAAGTCATTCTTAAGAAAAAAAATTATAATAGAATGAAAATGCTAAATGGCAAAAAAACCACATCAGCAGCATGGGGAGAACTCTCATAATCTCAATTAGAAAGAAAAAAAAGCACCCAAAGCAAGAAATGGGTAGATACATCAATTCAAACTTGATACAGAAAGTTGAACAGATCAATCCATCAACATATGAATATAAAAACAAAACCTAGTTCCCCAATTTAATAATTGATGATAGTGCAAATGATAAACATGAAGCATAAGGGTCTTCCCATAAGCTCCCAGATGAAGTTCAGTACTAGTCATCACCACAAAACTGGACTGTAAAACATTCCTCCACACCCACGAGACAGTACTGGTAGTTCTAGTTTACAAGTTCCACCCTCCAGTTTCCCCATAGTGCATGATCATCTCTATTCAAACTATTCCTTCAGTTCAGATTTCAACCTTCACTTCATTGCATACCAAATTGAAGTCTACTGCTCATGTTCTTTTACTGTCCACATATTATCTCCCAGTTGATCTCATACCATCCCTCATGCTTCTTTCAAAACAATGTCAGAAGATTCATCCTCATATTGCCAACTAATTTGGCAGACACCATGATTAGCTTTTGAAACGCAGTAGAAACCCCGATTCGGCTATGCAGGCTGTCATGTGCATCAACAACATAGCAGGACCATCTCAAGAGGAAGCAAGAAGCAGTCAACATTTGCCATCTCAGGACATCTTTAACTGCCCAATATTTACAGTGGACTGTAAAAAGTTTTATAGTTCACCTTCTCATGAGAAACATTGCCTACCAACAATCAAGGGCATTGCAAGTGACGTAAATGTTCAAAAATATTACCACCCACAAGCAACCCACAAACAATGGGACTTTGACGAGGAAGTTTAGTTGTCTCAAACAAGTTCTGAATAGATAAATGAACATCAGCGTAGCATACAATGTTAGACACAATATCAAGTACTAGATGTCCAAAAGAAAACAGCATAACCAACGTAAATCTAGGCCATTTTATGCATCTACAAACAGAAGAATAATGGCAATACTATCTTACAACTTGTTACGGTGCCTAGTTTCGGAGTTCAAATGGCTATTGCTCTTGTCACCACTTCTGAAAAGGAGTAAAAATGACAATAAGCTAGTGCATAATCAAGTAATGGCCAGAATTCTGTACAGAACCGGTAAAGACCATGAAGACTGAAAATGAATTGTAACAAAAAGATAAAACATACGAACAAGTTGTGTTTTCTGAAGCAAGAGTACAATGTACTCGTAACATATCAAAAACAGTACATTCAAGTGTATGGTATATAAGCTCTAAAACCTCAAATACATCAACTCAATTATCTATAAATAGAGTGTAGACTAAATAAGAAGATCAGCATCCTCAAATCATAGATTCAGCTCTTTCCACGTTCCATAACAGTCTTACCCAATATGTGATCCTGTCACATAATCAATCAAAAAGTTCAACAATCGAACAGCACTTTCCTTGTCAACAATACGTTTCTCCCCTGAAAAAGCCCATGTTTTCGATTTACCAATCCACTTTAGGTATCTAGATATGGCTCTGTCTTGGTCAGATCCGTTAATTAACACTGTCTAATTTAGTGTACCACTTGTCATCAGTTCTCCTGCTGAAAGAAAGTCCAAGAAATTTCACATGGGAAATATTATCCAACAAATATTACAAAACAATCAGATGTAGAAAGTCTCCCAAGTGACATGTTTTACACCTAAAATATTTACCTTCGTAGATATGGAGTTTTTCAAACGCAATATGCATCCAGATGCTAGAGACGCTTATCTATTATCACAGGTGACACATCCTTGACACATAAACTACCTCGTTTTCCGGGCCCTAGTGTCACATGTCTGCTTCAGGCCTTGTTAGGGGCCAATTTGTAAGAAAACCAGAAATTGACCCAGCGCCCCTAACACATTTCTCCCGAACTTATTCCAATCCCCTGACTAAGTGTAGATGAAACCATTTTATGGGGAATAGTAATCTCCATACTGAAGATTTTAGCCGTCTATTATGGTTACTTTGTATATTAGAATTGTAAACATAAATACCATATAGCTAAAGTGTATGTAACTACATAGAAACAAACTTATTTTAAGGCAGCCCACCTACTCATTGGATCTCATTACTCGCACATGAAATTTGCACAGAAGGGACAGTTACTTCCATAATAACCAAGCGGCAGAATGTGGAGTCTCATTGGCTGCAGGAGACAGCAGACAGAAGCAGAGGTAGCATAGCATGTTTTAATTTCACATCCCCTCGCTCCCCTTATCTGGATGGGAACATGTAACTATGGTTTTGAACTTCATCCAATTAATGTGACCATGTGTCAGATGGATTTCTCATCCTGTCCCACAGATTATAACAGAGAATTCAACGTGAATAGCATCATAGGCTTGATAAAGAAAACCGAGAGAGTTTTAATTGTGCAGTCAACATAGGAAACTACATATAAACCTGAACTTTCCGCTACACAAAGAAAAGTGTTCCAATAAACGGATACTATGAAACAATGGAAACTAGACTCGTGAGAAAATATTATAATTTCAACCATTAGAAACAGTGCTAGGGAAAATAAGGGCCAACCAACAGAAAACATCGCACGTAATAAAAAAGGATTCTTTAATATTACTAGTCTTAAGTAAATTTTCAGAAATGTATAGATATATCAAATACATTAAAACCCAAAGTCCTATAACGCTGAGACTATTCTTTTTCTAAGAACTGAGTCAGGGACCTACGAAAACGAAGGCGAATAGAATGAAGGGATGTTCCCTCATTCATATTCTCGTCAGAAGCAGTGACGAAAATTTTACTGATATGTAACTTCAAAGTTAATGAGAATCCTGCATCTTTACAAGGACCAAAGGTAGCCTTCTTCTAAATGTATGCCTTCTTTGACGAAGAAAAATATTCAGATCGGTGTTGAAAATTTTAAAGCTACTTGAAAAAGGAAGAATGACCCTGCGGAACGGCATCACCCTCCAGATCAGACGATTACAAAGTCGCCATCCTTAATTTCGCCTATCTCACAGACAACGATCGAGCAAAGGGAAATTGCGAGATAATTGACGGGAACAAAGGAAAAGGAGCAGCCGGAGTGATGACGAACCCGGCGAAGCGCGGAAGAGGTTCCACATTCCAGATCAGCAGCTCTAGGGAGACGCCGAGAACACACTCCACAAAGCTCCCGCCGCCCGGTACTACAACCAGCGCCAAGATCTAGCAGTCAATACCCACCGTCCCTCCGTCTAACGATACGGCGGGACGGAGAAACACCAGCACCCCATCCCTCTCCGCCACTCCACCGCGGCGGCCGCACGGGGGACTCCTTCCCCGCGCCGATCGCCCCTCCACTCAACCACACAACGCAGCACCCTTGAGAAAAAAACTCCCCCCCCACCCGCCCACTCCGACGGCCCAGCGGCGGGCAGCAGGGAGACCAACCCCTCCCCCTACACCACGCCCTGCTCCCTCCACCAGAACCCCCACCGGGATCGACCTTCCTGCCGCCGGCAGCGTCGGGAGGGAAGAAAAAATAAGAACAAAGAGGAAGAAGGGGGAGGGGGGACAATCGCGCGCACCATGAAGAGCCTTTTTCTACTCCCGAGAGCCTCTCCCACCCACCCCTCGCCTCGGCGACGCGCTCGCCGACTCGAACGGTCCCGACCCGGCCGCTGATCCAGATCGGGATCCAGGTCCACGGTATTAAGGAAAATGACTCAATTGCCCCTCTGTCACCTTCGCGCTGTAGAGTGACGTAACGTCACTTAAGCCGGGAATTTCTCAGTATGGAAAAAAAATATTTATAACGGGTATTAATAAAAAGGAAACCCCCATTTAGCGCCTGAAGAAAACCGAAAAAATATATATTTAAGCTATTAATCTTCCTATTTCAGAAGAAGTCAACCCAGTATATAGACACTTGGTGGAGCATTCATTCATTCACTCATTCATTCACTCATTCACTCACTCATCATCAACCGTTTCCCCAAAAGGGTTGACTTGAAAAACTGTGCTATTAATCTTCCTATATCAGAGGAAGGTTGACTAGGATTGTAAATAAGTCAAAACCCAGTATAAGACAGCCCAGTCGACGACATACCAGGAATGCAGAAACTTGGTAAAGCATTATTCATTCACTCATCATCAACCGTTTCCCCATATGCCCAGGAAAAAAAGAGGGTTGACTTGACGAACTGTGCTATTAATCTTCCTTTATTAGAGGATAGTTGACTAGGGCTGTAGATAAGTCAAAACCCAGTATAAGGCTACATACTAGGAATCCAGAAACTTGGTAAAACATTCATCCATTCATTCATTCATTCACTCATTCACTCATTATTCATTCACTCATCATCAACCGTTTCCCCATATGCCCAGGAAAAAAAGAGGGTTGACTTGACGAACTGTGCTATTAATCTTCCTTTATTAGAGGATAGTTGACTAGGGCTGTAGATAAGTCAAAACCCAGTATAAGGCTACATACTAGGAATCCAGAAACTTGGTAAAACATTCATCCATTCATTCATTCATTCACTCATTCACTCATTCATTCATTCACTCATCATCAACCGTTTCCCCAGATGCCCAGGAAAAAAAGAGGGTTGACTTGACGAACTGTGCTATTAATCTTCCTTTATTAGAGGATAGTTGACTAGGGCTGTAGATAAGTCAAAACCCAGTATAAGGCTACATACTAGGAATCCAGAAACTTGGTAAAACATTCATCCATTCATTCATTCATTCACTCATTCACTCATTCATTCATTCACTCATCATCAACCGTTTCCCCAGATGCCCAGGAAAAAAATAAAGGATTGACTTGAAAAACTGTGCTTGGATATAGAACAAAAAAGAGATTCTCGAGCTGTCAATGGCAGCAGAGCGCAGAAGGGTTCTTATGTCTTGCTAAAATGACAGAAAACAACTCGCCAGAGAAGGAAAAGTGGGAAGGCAGAGGGGGGGAAGAAGACAAAGAAGAGTGCCGCTGCTCTAAGCCTCGAGCTTCTCCCCGTCCTCGGTGATGAGGGCCTTGCCGACTGGCTTTGCCAGGAGGTCGGTGAACTCCTGGAAAGGAGACTTTGCGAAGCGGGTCTCCTTCCAGAAGTCTGGCGTGAGGAACCCGTAAGTCTTCATGAGGCAATCGAAAGTAGCCTGCAACAAAGGAAATATCTGAGATGCTCTTCCACTGACAAGACGAGAAGAAAGCTGTCATATTCATCATGGTGAGTCACAGCAACGCTCCAGGTGATGGAGGGCAAGATCTCGCATTAATGGGTTTCATACGTCAACTACATCAAGAACAAGGGTCAACTTCTTAGACAACAATCGGATGCACACCCTCGGAATTATGCGATTCTATGGACTAACCTCCACAGATGATTTATATATACTCATAAAGTCTCCATCAAACCCTAATTAAATACTATGTTGTCAAGATTAGGAGCTGATGAAGCTTGAAGAATCTGAATACGCCGACCCAGAAGCTTAAGCTCTATGAGCCCAATAAAAAAGCTTAGCCAAAATTGATCTCTGATCCACCAGGATTATTATATTTACGTAAGGTCATCGAATTTAGAACATCTGAGAATCTGCAACAGTGACAATTCGACATGAGATTCGAGCTAATGTAAATATCTTAGGCGTTGATGAATGTCTCAAATTCATATTCGGTATGAGAATCTGCGATTAGGAGTAGATGAACAAGAGAAGGAATCTGCGGATGTACACCACATGCAAACTGCCTCACCTTGATCCAAAAAATAATCGGCCACTTGCCCTAAAATGTAGAAAATTTATGAACTCTATCTAGAAAGTCTGACTTGGTAGAAGCTGTACAGAACATTTTTAATAAGACAGGATGTATCTAGTACAACGATTTCCCTCGCATGTGTCTGATGTTCGGGTTAGTTCTGCGGAAAACCATCAACCATACGTCGAATGTACAGCTCGAGAACATAGCTACAACATTTATCGATAATGGGGAAGGATATTGTGAACCAGAACAAAATGCTAGGAAAGTCTACAACCGACCTGAAAAATTATGCATGGAGAAGAATTAATTTTATCTGATGTGATAATAATAAGTGGCTAGAACAGACCTTCACGAAGTTACCAAGGGTCTTGGTGGATCCACGGGACGAGGTAAACACATCCTCAATGCCGGCGAACTGGAGGACCTTCTTAGGTACACGAGCGGCCACAATCCCCGCCCCTCGTGGCGCAGGAACCATTCGCACAGTAACAGAACCACACTTTCCGGTGACCTTGCACGGGACGGTATGCGGCTTCCCGATCTTGTTACCCCAATATCCCCTCCTCACCGGGACAACCGACAACTTCGCCAGGATGATAGCGCCCCGGATCGCCGTCGCCACCTCTTTGGAGCACTTCACCCCAAGACCGACGTGGCCGCTGCCGTCCCCCACAACGACGAAGGCCTTGAAACGTGTGCGTTGCCCGGCGCGAGTCTGCTTCTGCACAGGCATGATCTTCATCACCTCATCCTTGAGCTGCGGGCCGAGGAGAGTCTCCACAATCTGGTGCTCCTTCACTGGGAGGGAGTGGAGGTAGATCTGCTCCAGGCTTCGAATCTTACCGTCCTTCACGAGGCGGCCGAGCTTGGTGACGGGGACCCACTTCTCCTCCTCGTCGCGGTTGCGGCCCCCTCTTCTGCCTCCCCGCCGGTCACCACGCCCGCGGTCGCCGCGGCCGCGGCCAAATCCACGGCCGAAGCCGCCTCTCTCTCCCCCGCGCTCCGCCATGGTTCTGCTCCGCAAGCTCTAGGACTTCCGCTGCCGAAGACGGAAACAACGACGACGGCGGGTGCGGCGGCGAGAAGGAAGCTCTCGGAGAAAGAAACTGGTCAGGTCTCTCGGTATTTATCTTAGACCAAATAGAGAGGAGATGTTAGGGTTTGCTGATGGGGAGATCCTGATAATCCTGGACCGTCCGTTACACTGCACCTATCTTTTAACCGTTCGATTAATGAGATTCCGAATAAAACTAAAAAAATTAGATAAAAAAGGATTTAATTTTGTGTCCCTCAAAGGTATGTCAGCGAGCCGGGCTTTCTTCGGGCGTCGGCTATACCCTTCAAAATGGGACAGAGATCGGGCCACTTACTATACCGATGGCGGGCTATCATCCAAGGCCACGGGCTGCTGTGGCCCAGCTCGGCTCGGCCCGGCCCGGCCATTGAGAATGTGATTGATTTATTTAGGAAGGGTGTATGCGTAAAATAAAATAGTCGCGGTATGTCTTCTTCTGGGTCATTTAGAAAAACCCTAGCCCGAGTGTGAAGTTGGACGGCGGCGGAAGCAGGAAGAGGAGGGGAGGAAGAAGAAGAAGCGAGGCGGAGGAGAGATGGTCTCGGGGTCGGGGCTCTGCGCGCGGCGGGTGGTGGTGGACGCCCGCCACCACATGCTGGGGCGCTTGGCGTCAATCATCGCGAAGGAGCTGCTCAACGGGCAGCGAGTTGTGGTGGTGCGATGCGAGGAGATCTCCATCTCGGGGGGATTGGTCCGCCAGAAGATGAAGTACGCTCGTTTCCGTAATAAGAGGATGAATACCAAGCCTTCGCACGGGCCCATCCACTTCCGCGCGCCTGCGAAGATCCTCTGGCGCACGATCCGCGGGTAAGAGTGATGGTGACCTTGGTCGACTGGACACTCCATGATCTCCCAGATGCCGTGTTTTCTCCCTCTGTGATGAGCCTCTCTGGCGTATTAATTCATTCGGTTCATTTGATGCATGGTTTTCCGACTCTTTCCTCTCCTCTGCGATAACCTTCTCTGGTCCATTTAGTCTAAGCTGATATAGTCATTTTTAATCTGCAATGTCCCGCAGAATGATTCCACACAAGACGAAGAGGGGAGAAGCCGCATTGGCGAGGCTGAAGGCGTACGAGGGAGTTCCGCCACCGTACGACAAGGTCAAGAGGATGGTCATCCCCGACGCTCTCAAGTAAGTCTTCTTTCCTCTTCTACTACGCTCATATTCTTTTCAATTTGGGCCAGTCTGCTGATCTACGCCGCCGTCTTTGTAATTGTTCAGGGAGCTGAGGCTGCGGAAGGGGAACAAGTTTTGCCTGCTGGGGCAATTGTCGAAGGAGGTCGGATGGAGCTACTATGATGTCGTTAGGGTGAGAGACTTGTTGATCTGGGCTTGCTGAGCTACTATGATCTAGGCTCATCCTCTATTCATCTAGGCTTGCTGATCTCTTCTCTTTTCGTCTAACTATCTGTTGCTTGAGGACGTCCGTCTTTTGTTCAGCGTGTCGTCCATCAAGACTGCGAATTGGATGCGTTTTCTTCGTCGAGATATATTTTGAATAGACTGTTATTCGTCTATATTTTAACGTTTTCTTTCTCCAAAACCGGGTTCTTGACATTATTCGAGGGCTGTTGTTTGCTTTTGATACTTTAGAATGAGGATTTATTTCTCAGAGAGCAGAAAACCTCGTATCCTGTTATTGTACATAATTTTTTACTGGAACCTTTTCAAACCCTGCATAAGTAGTGTTTGTATTTTAATTACAAATATAATGAAAAACATAATTATTTTTATTTTTATTTATCTTTTAGTGATTAATATTATTTTTATAGACGATTGTCCAGCACACTGGTGCTGGACGAAGAGTTAGTTCATGAATCCCCAGAATCTGTATTAACTTCCTATGGGAAATTCTAAATACATCGGATTTCTTCTTTTTTTTCTTTTTTTTTTTTTTGGGAAGAAAAAAAACGTCTCCACCTTTCTCTTGATATCCATTGATGCCAATTATCTATCACATGAGCTCTCCTCCGGCCTAACTCTGGCTTGGTACCGTCAACAGCGAGTGTGGTTGCTGATGGTTTTTTAGCTTATTGTTTCTTTTCACATTGTTTTTTCCCCAGACGTATATGGATTTTCCAACTCAAGGAACTATGGATTTTTATATGATTTTCAGAAAATCAAAAATCTGATGATTAATTTCTTTTAATCCACAGATATTTTGTTCATAATCTCCATATAATTGTATCATCCAAACCTAATTCACCTCTCCGCATTGGTTATTCGTATCAAACTTTGGCAGATTATGTGCCATCAAATCAAGTCTCCCTTTCCTCTTTAGGCTCTCAATCTCTGCAATTTGCTGTTCTTGCTGCAGGAGCTGGAGGAGAAACGAAAGCAGAGGGCCCAGGTTGCGTATGAGAGGAAGAAACAGCTGAACAAGCTGCGCGCACAGGCAGAGGCAGCTGCAGAGCAGCAACTCGGCTCCCAGCTGGAGATCTTGGCCCCGATCAAATACTAAGAAACTTCCGTGATCATCCATCTCGTGGATCTGCTTTATTTTTTATGAATTTATGGCACAAAACCTTCATTTACATCCCTTGTACTATGAATTAATGACGTCAAACCTTAGTTTATATCCTTTTATTATTGGTAGGTTAAAAAAGCATCTGGCTCTTCGTTCTTGTTTGCTGTAGATGCTCTGAGCTATTCTTCAATGGTGGCCTTGAAAAAGTGTTCTTGGCTTTATACATGCTTGCTTTGGTTCATCCATGGTTGCATGGTTAGGTTCATCCAAGATCAGCCTGACCCAATGCCAAGTGTTTGGAGGCATGTTTTTTGGTCCTGATTTTTTGGTCGATTTTTAGGCTATTCTCTAGCAGACGTGGCAGTGCTTGATGCTATCTAAATGAGGTAATTAAGGCTTAGTTGCGCCATTATTACTTTAAGGTCCTTGCTAATGTTTTCAATGGTAGTTGTCTCCTAAGTAGCCTCCCCCAGGGATTGGGGGCCTTATTTTTTAGCCCTGATGTTTTAGGTCTCTTTTTAGGCCGTTCCTAGCATACGTGGCAGTGCTTGATGCTATCTAAATCAGGTAATTAATGCATAGTTGCGCCATAATTACTGTAAGGTCCCTGCTAATGTTTTGAATGGCAGTTGTCTCCTAAGCAGCCTCCCCAGTGTCCTGGTTTTTAGGTCTGTTTAGGCTATTCTCCAGCAGACGTGGCAGTGCTTGATGCTATCTAAATCAAATCATTAAGGTATAGTTGCGTTACAATTACATTTAAGTCCCTGTTAATGTTGTGAATGGTAGTTGTCTCCTAAGTAGCCTCCCCAGTGTGTTAGATCTGCTTTTTGGCTGTTCTATAGCTGACGTGGCAGTATTTTAATGGTATTCCATTAGGAGTTAAAAAAATCATTTATGAGCATTTTTTGGGATTAATTTCCATTGGAAATTAATAATTCTGGTAATTAGTTGTCGACGTGTTTCGTGGCCAATCGCTCTTTCCGAGGGCGCTGGGGGGGGGGATTTGCTGACGTGGAGATCTTAAGTGGAAAAGAAATTCGTAGGTCAGGTCTCACAGACGTAATAATACAAAAATATTTTTTTATTATTTATTCACGTGGCGTCACCAGGGCTGCCTGGGGCACGTGATCTCGCCCTTTCACGTGGTACGGCAAAAGCCGTCCAGCGCCACTAACGTTCGCAGGTAACTTCCTCGGGCACAAGTTAACTCCAAGGCTGCGCGGCGGATCTGGGAAGCCCTCGCGTTTCTACCGGGCTGGTTAAACGGGAGCAACTGAGGAGGGTGCGAGACACCGTACCGTGTCGCTTCCCCTCCCACCTGGAATGGCCATTGAAGAAGCGGAGGGGGAAGGTGAAGTCTTGAGCAGCGGTCATCAGTGGCGACGACGCTTCTTCCCCCACCGCGAGGATCTCATTCCTCTAGCAATTTTGCTTGGATTCGTCCCGTCTGAACCAGGGGTGCTCGTGGCTGTTGTCCTCGCTGCTGCTCAGATCGGCAGGAGGCTTCTTCCATGCTGTACGGAGCTGCGGTGGAAGAGGCGGTAGGGGAGGAGGTTTTATTCTGTCAGTGTTGGGTTTCTGGACTGATCGCCGGTTGTGTTGTCTTCCCCGCGGCTTGCGGGGAAGGTTCTTGCTGGAGTGATGCTGTCCAACCACCTGCGGCATGGAATTGAGACGGCGAGGGTCGCCTGGTCCCAGCTGCCGGCGTCGGAGGATTTGGATGGGGAGGAAGAAGGGCCTTCCGTTAGGATCAGCGGAACTGGTGTGGAGAGTCTCGATTACGAGGTTATTGAGAATTTTGCCTACCGGGAAGAGCAGGTCAGTGAGATCCTGGGGCCAAAATTTCACGCTATTTTAATAACTATCTATTGGTGGTACCTTTTTCGGGTTGCTTCTCCCCTTTTGACGTTTATGTTTCATCCCGGAGTCGTATAGGCACAGAGAGGGAAACTCTACGTGGGATATTACGTGATGCTTAAATGGGTACTCTCTTTGCTTGTTGGCGTTGGTAAGACGACTTTTCTGATTACTTTTGAAATGAGTTTTGCGTTATGCTTAGCTCAATAAATGGCGTCGTTTTTTGGAGCGCTTCAGTGGGGATTTTCACCCCTTTCCATGTCTTCACTCTGCATAAATTGTTTGCCTAAACTGCACTTCTTAATCTACTTGCCCCAGTCTTTAAACAAAGCCCTTCTGTTTCGGATGTCCAGTTTTTTGTAGAATGTTAACGTCTCTAAACATTATCCGTGAGATAAAGTTAACTGCGGGTGTATTCAGTTCTTTAATCATTCGCCCAACTCTACAATAAGGTGAATTTTACCCCAAAAATGCTCAACTTCTTAGGTGTTGTGAATTTTATTTTTTTTTCTTTTCAAAATTACTACTTTTCATAGGATAAGTAAGAGTGGCTCGCAATTAACATGATTTGCTTTTTCTCTTGTTAATTTAGGATTTATTCATTTAATTGTTGGATCCAGCTGTTTCGAAACAATGTGACTCTTCTCGGATGATATATTTCAATTTTTTCAATAAATATTTATTATTACATTCTAATTCAGATCATGAGTCTCAGAAGATGATCATTCCAGCAGTTTTCTGGGTTAGTTACTGGGAATAGCATGAATACAGATAATGGAGGTAGTTCCAAACTGGACCTATTATTCTGTCTAGAATGATTAACTCCTTAAAAGACTAATGGATATCATATGGTAGATGTGAGATCGTCTGAGTGAATATCTTTTTATCAATTTCTTACTGGACCTGAGACATACGGTCTACCACCTTGGTAGATCAGAATTACAACTTGACCATTTTTACTTTTCTATTTTCTCAGGGCGAGAATAGTTGTGTTTAAGAGTGTTTTTTATCCCCTCGTTGTTGTGGATTATTTATGGTTCAATTAAATAAATCTTAGTCCCTTTCAACCCCTTGCAAAAAGAAACACCAGTTATGACTGAACACGAGGTAATCATCTTGTGGTGATGCAGGTGTTAACGAACACATTCTTAGATTTTTTATGTCCCGTGCCTTCACAGCAAGGATTGAGTGAAAATGATCCTCAAATATGTGTCAAGAAACCGTTTGTCAAAAATGTGATCTCCATATTTATTAAAAATGTTGGCGTCCATATTCACTTAATCACGTTTCCCGGGATCTTTATGCATAATGCACTTTTCTCCTTGAGATTCCCATATTAACCTGTTGTACTCTTTCATATTGGCTGGGTCTGAAACAATATTTTTGCAGTTGAATTTGACACACTTTTTTGTATCTTTGAAATTATCTCCTCTTTTCTTCAAATGTCATTTTATCTCATTCCTTTCTGATGCTTTCTCAATAAATTGAATTTAAGACACCTTACTTATGATTTTGTATATGGTTTCTTCAGGCACCGGATTAGCTGCGGTCTTTATTAATCTAGCTGTTGAAAACTTTTCTGGATGGAAATTCGCTGTTACTTTCTCCATAGTAAAGCACTCATATTTCGCGGGCTTCTTGGTGTACATATTATTCAACTTGGCATTGGTCCTTTCTTCTGTGTTTATTGTCACACAGTTTGCACCTGCAGCAGCAGGATCTGGTATCCCAGAAATAAAAGGTTACTTAAATGGTAAGCCCTTTGATGTATTCACTGGTCTGACCTATTGAACTTTCATCTCTTCCGAAAATTGCTATATAATCAACCAAATATGCAGGAGTTGATGCCCACGGAATCCTTCTTTTCAGAACTTTGGTTGGAAAGGTTTGTCAATATTCTTCTTTTTTTTTTCTTATGCCTCTCGTTTATTTTGTATTCCTAGTTTCTTGTACTCAATTCTTCTTTCTCACGGATTGCAGATATTTGGAAGTATTGGTTCAGTGGGAGGTGGACTTGCTTTAGGTAAAGAAGGCCCACTAGTGCACACTGGTGCTTGTATTGCTTCTCTACTTGGACAGGCAAGTACTGTTCTAAAACTATTTAGACTGTCTGGTTACCTTTTTGTGCATTTGGAAGACCAAGTACTGTTGTTTTTCGTTTGAAATGTCCTCGAAGATTTGGGTAAGCAAATGTTTTCTCAGAAATACGCATAAATTGAAGCTAAGTTATAACAGTGTATAATTCGATTTGAATTTGTCACTACTTGGATTTTGATCCTTAGTCAACCTGGTTTTCTCAGTGGCTTAAATACCCTGGTTTTGGATTTCACCTAGAGGTACGCTTAAAAGCTAATTCCAGTTATATGGCTTCAGCTGGTATTAAACCCTTTCTGCGGACCAGTAGTTCCTTCGTTTGGAAGGAACGAATATATTGCAAATATTATGAATGTTTTTGAGAAGTTATTAATGGCAGATTGAGTTTAATTATTAGAGTGACGAATTATTTTCCCTATCCTGATGCTATTCTCTACCTTACATAAACTTTTCCCAAGTTTCTCTCTTTAGCTATCTGTTTTTTCCTGTTTGAGCATGCATTCATTTATGGATGCAAGCACAGCTAATAGTCTTATTCCATTGTTATGAAATATCACAATTATATTCATGATGATTCTTCTAGAATTTATTCTTGTCATTCTTCTTCTTTTTTTTACTCCGAAAACACTGCTGAATTTCATGAAATGATGATTTACAATAAAAAAAATTCCATTGTTTCATGTAACTCTCTATTGATTTTGATTTGTTCAGGGTGGATCTACAAAATATCACTTAAGCTCAAGATGGTTGCCCATATTCCAAAGCGATCGAGATCGACGGGACCTTGTGAGTTGCTATATCCTTTTATGTTGCGGCTGAGTTTTCAGTTAGTGCGTGTTTCTGCTTTTACAGTCATAATAACTAAAAAGCAATAATTTAACTTATTTATTGCTAGACTTACAGATGTGATTTCTTTTAAAGAACTTTGATCTTTTGAGATACTTTGGCAACATCCTCCAATTCAAAAATGCAGATCATTGCAAAACCATTGTAGAACTCTGGCATTTTCTCCCCTTTTCGTGCGGCCCTATTTCATAAATGACTATAGAGCGTTTTTATTCTGCTGGAAGAAGATATTAAGACATGGAGAACCAGTGCTCTAGGCCATTGTCATAAAATGTTATCCAAATTCAAGTCGACCTTGACTATGAATTTTTTTATAGAACTCTGGCATCGTATCTTTCTTTTCTTTAAGCTACATCTATGAAGATTTTGGGAACCTGCTAACGTGCAGGAATGATATGGATAGGGGACCATAATAGTTTTCCATTTGGAATGGGTTGTGGTCCTTATTCATTGATCGCCCCCATATTGTAGTTCGATATGCACTCCTTGTCATTGTGATTTCTTTTTTTGCTTCTGAATTCCAGTGTAGCTACTTCTAAATCTCGTTTTTGTGTGCAATGATTCAAACCAAAATCTCTCCGGACTTTTTAAAAAAAATTGTAAAGGTAACCTGTGGATGTGCGGCTGGGGTTGCTGCTGCTTTCAGAGCTCCAGTTGGGGGCGTACTATTTGCCTTGGAAGAAGTCACATCATGGTAAATATGTTCTGTATCATTAAAATATCATCTTAAACATCATGTGAGAACATTAATTGTTTTATGTCTATGACAGAATAGTTATTGAATTTTCGATTCTAGCTATGTGCACCATAATTCTATCTGTAGTCAATTTATGCCTTCACCTGTACTGCAGGGTGTCCATAGATTTTGTTTTACTCGTGCTTAGAAAATAGGAAGAATGATTGCAAAATCTAGTTGGAAGTGAATGGAAAACTTTTGACTGTTAATTTTTTTATATGAGATGAGTCACGTGGGCATTTACTAGATAATAGCCATTATAGATAACCGATTTATGCTGACCAAATCTCTTTTCACTTTGTTGAAGGTTTGTGCCGCATAAATAGGCTTTTAGCTAGTATTTTTCATTGTGCATTCAGATGTTATCCTGAACAGAGGCACTTCATGTGAGCCATTTGAATTTATTTATAGCCCTTTGTCTTTATTTATCATCCCAAATGATCATTTCTTTCGGCATATATCCCTTGAAGGTAGTTGCCTTCTTGCTGAGCTTCTCTCATTTCTTAACTATTTTTATTTTACCTACAAAAGAACCTAATGTCTCTATTGAATTGCATTTCTCCTACAATTATATTGGCATAATCTTTGTTAAAAGCTTAATTATGAAGCCTTAAAAACGTACTTATCAAATACAGATGGAAGGCAAATATAGACAATCCTATTGCTTGCCTCTGCATTATTTGAGGCTTTCGAATCAATACTGTCTTGCTAGGATGTGAAACTGATGCGGGAAATTTGTGAAATGCAATATTTTATTTGGGCTCTATGGCTAACATTAGTCTTACATGTGTGAATGTTTTTACTGCGATTTTTGAAGTTTCTTCAAAATTTTACATTTGAAGGTGGAGGAGCCAACTTATGTGGCGTGTCTTCTTTACATCTGCTATTGTGGCTGTCGTGGTTCGTTCTGCCATGGGATGGTGTAAGAATGGGAACTGTGGGCATTTTGGCTCTGGTGGCTTCATCATCTGGGACATATCTGGGTTGCACTTCTGCCCTTTATTTAACGGTACTTGCACATCATCTGGGCAATTCTCTGATCAGTACTTTTTCATGCAGTGGTCAAGAGGATTATTCCTTCCAGGAATTGTTCCCCATGGCAATAATTGGCGTTATTGGTGGTCTTCTTGGTTGGTGCTTTGTATTCTTTTTCTGTCGTCTGGACTGCTTTATTATTATAATAATAATAATAATAATAATTATTATTATTATTATTATTATTATTATTATTACTACCAATGACCTTGACGTTTGTTTTCAGGAGCTTTATTCAATCAGCTTACTCTTTTTCTTACTTCGTGGCGTAGAAATTATTTGCATAAGAAGGGAAACAGAGTGAAGGTTTGTGATGAATGACATTGCTTTTTCTCTAAATTTTAAATAACAGGTTCATGCGTACCCTATATTTTGTATATTTTGCATCTGATACATATATAAATGTCATTCTGCCGCAGATTATTGAGGTGTGCCTTGTATCTTTGATAACATCTGTTCTTTCATTCGGCTTGCCACTTCTGAGAAAATGCAGCCCCTGTCCTACTTCCGGAGCTAATTCCAACATTGAATGTCCAAATGCACCTGGAATAGACGGAAACTATGTTGATGTAAGTTATGAATCTGAAATGTCAGAATAGTTTAATATTAGCTATTACAAAAGTAAACTTTTGGTTATAGAGGTTGATCTACTCTACTAATTTCCAGTTTGTATAGTTTGATTGCCCACTGACTAACAATTTCTAAGAAGGATAGATGCTATTTTTCTGAAGACTAATCGATTTTTGGAAACCGCTCTGTTTGTTGTTTCTTTATTATTTAATTGCTTTTATATATCATTCTGATCTACTAATATTGAGATGCAGTTCTACTGCTCAAATGGAAAGGAATATAATGATCTAGCGACCATCTTCTTCAATACCCAGGTTTGAAAGCCTTTGGCAAAAGATTTTTTTATTTCTTTTTGTTGAAATGGTGACTTCTTTCTAAATTATTTGACTATAATATATTTCATTTTTCAGGATGATGCAATACGCAATTTATTTAGTGCAAAAACTTTTCACGAGTACAGTGCTCAAAGTCTTCTGACATTTTTGGTATAATATCATGTTTTCTTTTTATTTTTCTACTCGGATTGAATGCGTGAAGTTGGGTATTCTTTTGTTATTAATAAAGATAGCATGTCAACAGAAATGTCATTCACATCTACTAATACTTGTCTTCTTGCACTGGGTGCAAAAGCAGTCTCTTTTATTGTAATACGTGTAGTTTTTGTATTCGCCATATTCTCATATTTTTCAACCATTTAATTCTGAGATGTGTGCTGAATAAAGACAGATGTTAATGGTCGCCATTATAAAATAGGTTTCTTACTTTTTTTTTGTGTTCCATAGATTGTTCCATTGTAGCGTCTGCAAATAAATGCAAAATACGTACCATGCATGTTTGTTACGTGCAAAAATCTCTCAGGTGGTGTTTTGCTGTGGGCATTATTCATTTTGCTGGATAATCCCAGGGACAAAATCTTCCGCAAATTTGGAAGGCAAACAGCTTCAGTATGTTTTGACTTTTTGTTCAGACATTACATGTTATCAAACCTAGAAAAAGGATCAACATACGACTGTAGAAGCTGTCCCTTATTCACTCAGAAATTCATATCATATGTGTAATATAGTATGTAAGCAGGTTGTCCTTTGTATGATCATTTTAATTGTGAATCATGTGTTTTCTGAATACATTTTTTCTTTGGCTAAGGCCATCTTATTGTCAGCCTTTTATAAGACATCGTAGATATCTTATTTATTCCAGGAATGAGACATGGATGTAGTTTTTTTTGTATGATTTTGACTATAAATGAATTTTTTTTAGTACAAATCCATCTTTCATCCTTGTTCAAAACTGGCTTATAAGCCTGCACCAAAGGTTATCTGCTGTAGTTAAGGAACCATTGCGTATTGGACATTGTAGTTGGGGTTACCATATTATTCGTGCTATGATTTATAATTTGACTGTGAAAGGATGTTCTTTATGATACTGACGCATTTTGAATTCAGATTTCTTCAGTTTATCTGAATAAACTTCCCTCATCAGAAAATTAATTTATTTGAAAAACATTTATGCCTACAGGTCATATTTTACTCCTTGGCAGTTGTGACATTTGGAACTGCTGTTCCAGCAGGCCAGTTTATTCCTGGAATAATGATCGGATCAACATATGGGAGACTAGTTGGAATGTTAGTGGTTAAACTTTACAAGAAGCTTAATGTCGAAGAGGGAACGTGAGTCTCTTTACCCTTCCAATACATAAATGAAATACTACCATTTTATTTTTCAGTTCATATTTGGTAGTGTTAAAATCTCAGTCATATGTGTTATTGGCACGGATTTTGCATTTTAGTACACCAGGTATGGCACAACTATCGCTACACATGTCAAACGTTACTGGAATCATTGGACCAGATTGATTATGCGAGGCAGTTCAGTAATCACATCAGTCTCTTTATGCTTTCCTTTCCAAGTCTTTATTTCCTCCTCGCCTTTCGGAAGTCCCTGCTCTTTCCATCAGAAACATGTCTCTTGAGTGGTTGTCCTGTAAAATGGAAAGGACATAACAGCCCTAAGTTGTCTCAGGTTCCAATTGTTGGCCGAGACAATTCCTCTACGAATTCTCTTAAGGCCTCAGAAAGCCACCCCAACCTGCTGTAGTTATTTAGGTTTCCGTGAAATACATAGAGTTGAAAGCATGCTTTGGTGGGATCCTAAAGCAACCTTTCATGGAGGAAGATACTGACCCAATCAAGTCATGCCACAAGCTCGGATATTTGTAAATCGATATGGTTGTGGGCCCCTCACATTAAAATCTTTGGTCTGGGGGTAAAGGAGTTCCTTGTGGAGTTGCACATTGGCTTAATATTTTCCCCCAAGGAAGACTGGTTAGGGAAGCCCATTCTCAGAAGTTAACTTAATGCATGCTGAAATACAAAGTATATACATGTTTTCATGCATCTCAAGGTCGATAAATATACTCCATCTATTTTGTTTCCCTCAATTGTGCACAGAATTTCTGGAAATTTTTCTCAAATATTTATCCTGACTTTACTCTTCTCTGCTTCATCAGTTATTGCAACAATCATTACCAGCTTTGAATATGCTCATCATGCTTTCTGTTAGGATAAAACCATTGCTAATTCTCGCATGTTTTCTCAAAAATCTTTATTACTCACCGGAACCTGATTTTCCTCTAGTCGTCTGGAAAAAAAATTATTTGGTAGCTTGATAGCAAACTATCATGAACCTACCCTTCTTTTCCATGAAAGTTGATTAGTTATTATAAATTAATTTACCTATGATGGCCTTTGAGTCTCTTTGCCTACACTTCACTTGGGACATTGTAGCGTACATTCGGCAGGATAGGGATTCAAACTGAGACACTTTGAACTCGTTCCTTGCTAGAGATAAGGCCAAGGTACATACATTGGAATTTAGAGTTTGGCAGATAAGGCCCTTATTTACAATCATCTGAAATTCATATGAGTTCGACAGGCGCATTTCCAAGTCGCAACCTGAGTTCCAGTTGATTATCCAAACTTCAGGTGTTGGGTTGTGATGAATGAATACTTATCCATTTAGAAGACACAGCATCTTCTTGTTAACGAAAATTATGCTTCACGCAGATGTTATAATCTACGGCTCAGTTGTTGTAGAACTTGCAACTTATTACATCATGCAGATTTTATTCATAGTAGTTGACTTTTCTTTAAACATAGCATATAAAAATTATTCTGTGACAACTTTCGTCTTCTTTATATTTCTTCCTTTTCAAATTTAAATTAATGTGCCAATCATGGCGAATATCTTACTCAAAGATTATATATCTGGCAACAGGTATGCTTTGCTTGGTGCTGCATCTTTCCTTGGTGGTTCTATGAGAATGACCGTGTCCCTCTGTGTCATTATGGTCGAAATCACAAACAACTTAAAGCTTCTACCGCTCATCATGCTTGTCCTTCTTATATCTAAGGTAAATAACTCATTTTAAAACTATTAGAGATATTATCTGCACACTTCTTATACAGTACTTTCACTGCAGGCTGTTGGTGATGTTTTCAACGAAGGCTTGTATGAAGTACAAGCACGTCTGAGGGGCATCCCTTTACTAGAATCTAGACCAAAGCAGTACATGCGACATGTAACAGCAAAGGAAGCCTGCAAGAACCAGAAGGTACGTTTTTTTTCTTATTTTCTCTCCTTTTTGGTGTTATCAGAAAATATCCCAAGGCTTCCTTAGTAATGACTTTCCTATTATATCCACAAGGTTGTCTCCTTCACCCGCATTGTAAGAGTTTCAGACGTGGTCTCTGTTCTACGTAGCCACAAGCACAATGGCTTCCCTGTGAGTAAATCGTAACCCCCTCTTCAGCTTCCTTTAGTTCCCTCATGTTGCCTAAAGGAATTTCCCTCCTCCTCGACTCAGGTGGTCGATCATGGAAGAAATGGGGAGTCCCTCGTTATTGGGCTCATACTTAGAAGGTGCAACCCATCTACGTGTTTTCCTTCTATTGAGTTATTTTAGTTATTTCCTTAATGAATGTGGAAGTGATAAGGCTGGACATCACACTAAAATCGGAGACCTGTGGGTTTTCTGTCTAGCTCAGTCACCTGTTGGTGCTTCTACAGTCTAAGGCAGATTTCCAGAGCAGCCCTTACCCATCCAATTTGAAGACTGGACCTGTCTCCGTCAGGTTGGTTGGCGCCTCTTCTTGATCTTCGATTCACTAATTTGGCTATTTTTTAGGCCACTAGTTGATTGACTCTTTTCTATTTAGGCACAAATTTAGCGACTTTGTGAAACCTGTCTCGAGCAAAGGGCTGTCCATAGAGGATATCCATCTAAGTGAAGACGACCTGGAGATGTACATAGATCTCGCGCCCTTTCTCAACCCTTCTCCTTATGTGGTTCCAGAGGACATGTCCTTGGCAAAGGTGATCTTTTTCTCAGAGGAAATTATTTTTCTCGATTTTTTATCTCCTATAATAGCACTTAAATGTATATTTCAGGTGTATAATCTGTTCCGACAACTGGGTCTCAGGCATATATTCGTTGTCCCTCGCGCTCCTCATGTTGTTGGTCTGATAACCAGGAAAGACCTGTTGGCTGAGGTGATTAAAACATAAAATCTCTTAATTTCTGTCTGACCCAGATATAAATCATGACAGTGGAATTATTTGTAATTTTAGGAAACAGAGGCTTCAGCGACAGTAGAGCTCCAACCGGCCAGTGTAAGGTCTCGTCACTGCTAAACTCCACATGCAATTTTTTAATTTTAAACTCATTCCCTCTCTATTAGTGGTCTGAAATTATTAGATAATTAGATCGATCAAGGTTCTTTGAATTATATACTCGTTCTCTCCTTATCATAGTTCTAAGATCATGCAATAATTAAATCAACCAGGGTTCTATCACTCTTCTTATTTTGTGGTCCTTCCCTTACCAGTAATCTAAAGTTACCCAATAATTATCAATCATGTTTCATACTGGGTTTGTGCATCCTTCCATTTTTTACACTTGTTCTTCCTCTGTTAAATAGAGGTTCTAAAGTTACTCGATAATAACTTCAATCAAGGTTCACATCGGTTTCTTGCATCTTTCCTTCATCTCTCCTCTGAAACTACACAACCGTTGGGCCTTTTGACCCAGCAACCAGTCTTTCTCTCATCCTTCTCTCACTACCCATTCTCAGCATTCGGCTCACTACCTTCATCTTGGGCCTTTTGACCCTCATTCTTCCCATTTTTGAGCCTCTACCACACCACATATTACTGCTGGCTTCTTCTACCCGGCTGGAATGGTAGTCCTAATCGCCTTCTCCTGGTATCACTCTGTATGCATCCATAGCCTGTGGGTTGTATCTTGGTGCCAATTATTTTATTCGATGTGGGATTATTCTCACTGTCTACACATGTCGCTCTGCAGAGCTCCGCATAGAGAGCCAAGAAATGTTGGCAGGCATGCGCAGCATCTGGAGGGTCCTCTCCTTGACAGCCTCCTCACCCAATAACGGTGGACTTATCGCATTTGCTGGCCTCTCATCACCGCCGGGCCCCACAAAGGAGTTCATCCATTATCTTGATTCCCTCACTCTGGACAGATGATGCTGATGTAATCCGTCAATTGAAGAGAGAGATTATAGTGACACATCGGAGGTCCTAGTGGCTCCCCACTCACACACCTAGGTAAACTCCTCCCCCGTACATATCTTCATGTATTTTTTTCTCAATGTTCTTTTCCTAATCTGGAAAAATATATAAGGCCAAATTCCTCCATTTGCTTTTGGAAAAAGGTGGGGAGAGGAACTGGTGGATGATTTTCTCAGCAATTCATCCCAAATTCATGTTTGGGTGCGAACCAGAGAGAGAGAGAGAGAGAGAGAGATTGGGTTGCTATTCGAATAAACAGGCAGGCTTCAACCCTACCACCATAGAGGTCAACCAGCTTGCTGCCCAATGTCTATAGTCTCATGAATGCCAAATGGCACCCAAATCAGGAAACTAGATATTACCCATTCTTACTTTCCTGTTCTCTACCTAGTTCATTTATATCAACATCTCAACTAAGTTACAAGTAAAGAAATAAGCCCTTCATATTATGAGCTTAAGAGCAGAGTTACCCATGGCTGAATCGAAGGCCGGCCACCTGTTGATATGTAGTGACAGAGGTGCTCTTCAAATATTCGATTTGTATACTCTATCTATCCATCTGTCTATGACTAGAAGTTGGTGGAGAACATAACTTACTCATCTATCTTGATTAAGTTATTTTGAATCATCTTGTGAAACAAATGTCATGATTATTAATGATGTCCGGCAATGATCTTCATAATCTGATAATATGTGTCATGAAAAGTAGCGTCACCTTTTTCATGTTGCTATCGATGCAGGTTGACACAAACACGACATATTTAGAGAACTAATTGTCATCAACAAAGATCATTTCATGACTTGTAATTCTAAGCAGGGTTGTGTTGAAGTTTATTGAGATAAACTTTCACAACATCTTAGAATTAATAATGGCTCTAGTATACCTATTGTCTTAGATGCTTTGTCTTGTCATATTAGTAGGCTACCTAAACTTCTATCATAATCCCCATCTTAAGCAAGTATCAGATGTTGAACAACAATGCATGTGTGTTCCTATCTAAGGTGCCATATATAAGGTACGTCATGTGCCTCATATAAAAAATACTATGTTAGGAAATGACTTTATCTCCAGCACTCAGATGATCATTGGCCAGTTATTGGTGGTGCAAAACTTCACTTGATCTATCTATACCCCATACTTTCTAAGAACATGATTGACGAATGAGATCTCCTCTATTGCAAGTAATATTTCGTAGGGTTGAGAAGTAATTGATTACCCCTCAATTATACACATGTTTTTTCAAACTTCAATTATACACCAAGATAATGTCTAGATACACTCTGATGAAGTAATTGATGAAGTCACATGAGTATTATATTCATAAGTGTAGATATTACTATTGTGCTGGTGAAGTAGAAGGATAGTATTGTGAACTTGTGGAGCTATAAAAAATCATGCGCATAGTCTTTTACTCATCTCCTTATATGATGTGGACTTAATTAATGAATACTCTTAAAGTTTTTCATGGAGAAGTAACATGACGATCTTATGTAGTCAAATTATTCTTCTATGTTAGGCACTAGGTATTTGTTATTTACAATCACCATGTTGAGTACAAGTTAGTCCACACAGCCTCATCAATCTATAATTCATCTTCTAGGAAAAAACAAAGGACTCTATGAAGAGTTTTAGAGGGTTAAATTAACCCCCCCAACCTCTAGCAGCTCCTCAAGTTATCAACATAACTCCTAGAGGTATGCAAGTGCCACTTTTTACGGAGTTAGTGGGCACACACTATGCACAAGTTTAATCTCATGATCTTCCTTATAATGAGGTGGTAGTTGTGTTAGAAGAGACTTTGGCAAGATGTCATGGAATTCCTCCAAAAGTTGACCAACTCCTAACATGAGTTGTCTCCTTGCATCAACTTTCATTGCCACACACATGGCTATTACATATGCACCCACCCACACATGTCGTGGACTGTCAATGCTATGTCCATGTGGTGCCTTTTTTGGTGCACACATGCTCGCTCACATACAATATTACCATGCTGCACAATTGAGAACTCATTGTTTCAATCCCAAAGGGTGATAAGATAATCTTCTTTCCCACACCTTAATTTGTCCTACAATTTCAGAGCAAATGATAACTTCAACATTACATTCTTGATGTCCTCTTCATTCTTAACTACTTGTAATGATGGTGTCTCAAGGGTGCAAGATGTTCACATGTGCCCAACAAAAAAATATTTTCATCTATAGATGACTTTGAAATAATCTATTGATAAAGCCATAAAGTCCACTTGGGCCTTCATACTTTAGGTTGTAGGGTCCCATGTGCTGCACTAATTAAAATATGTGCCTTCAAGTTGATATGGCCATCTCTTCATAACATAAGCCCAACTAAATACAAAGTTGTTGATTTCTCCACTACATATAATGTTGTAGGTGGGCTTACCTTTGATAGTGAGCTCCACAGTATGAGTTGCCGATTGTATGTGGTCCTTGACACCTTGCATTGTTGCAATGTACATAGCTGTTGTAACAAGAGGACCATATGAACACTAGTTGCAATTGCTAGCACCACTTATGTGGCCAAAGCACATTGCATGCTTGCCTTCCTTTTTAAATGTGTGTCAAAAATAATCTCTCATTCAGTGAGCAACTTCATAAAAGAAGCACCACCTCTTGGGATGGTCACCTGATGCTCTTTTTTCACCTCAAGTCATTGAGTTCACTATTGCTGCCCAAGTAACCCTAATTACTTCCCAATACTTACCTCTTACATCAGCCTCAAATGTAGGTAGTTCTTGTAGTGCACTAATGAATCAATTATTGGCATCATCAACTACATGTTAAAGAGTTTGTCCTCTATTTATATGTTCTAATGTTCAAGAAAAGCAAAGCACAATAGCTCACATACTTCCAAACTATACTAATATGATGGAGTTAGTAGAGCATATCTCTAGCCATCTAAGTGAGGTTTGTGAAGAGTTGATCCTTTAGCTTCTTCATGATCTCCTATCATGTGATGGTGGGAGCTTTTGTCAAGTCCACCATAATTTGATGTCATTGAAGAAGATGTTGAAAAGCATGGCCTCTCTCTTTGACATGTGCTCCACCTCTCAAAGCATTAGTCAAGATCTCAAAGAAAGTTCTTAACCTTCCAAGCATTTGATGCACCCACATACACATTTGACTTAAGGAGTTTGGCATCCCCCACGTGTCAACAATGTACCAACAACCATACACTTAACTAACAATGTGTCCACTATAAAGGCCCCTAATGCCTCTTGCAACTTAAAAACATCCAATCTTACTAACTCATCATTGGTGGGGCAATGCCTTTCTACCACCATCACCTACACATGGTCAAGTTGATCCTCTATATCTTGGAGTTGACTCTAAATCTCATCTATAATAAAAGAGAGCAAAAAAGCACTCCCCTACCCAAGTAAACCTCTACTATAATTATCATGTTCTTCTACCATCCAATCCTTCTTTAATACAAATTGGTCATGATAGTAACTCTTTATGCTGGAGAATGAAATATAATAGTTATATTGTGATTGTCTTTTTATTTGTACATATATTCTTTTTATTTTCATAATTAGACCTTAATGTTCACAAACGTATTAAATCCAATTTTGACACAAGTGAAACCAATTAGTTGGATCCAACACTTGTGTATTGTGTCAGTATAAATATGTATATACAAACCATTTTAGTCTTAATTTCATTTTTCACTCTTTTGTTCTCTCTCCTCTCTCACGAACCTACTCCTCTCTCGCCACCAAGAACATCTTCTTTGGTGAACTTCAATCAAAGTGGCTTCAACATTTTAACTAAACATTATCTAGCTTATATGAGTGGCATTATATGTCCTCTTTTGAAAAAAGAATTTCAAAAGATGTGAGATAATTGGCCTACTTAACCAAGTTGAGATTCACTCCTTTATAAGGGGAGGACAAGCACTCTGAAAGATTACATTACACTTTGCCTTCATATGACTAGTGCTCCACCTACCATCACTTGGTCACAAGCATGCTCATTGGTGATTTGTATGTCCCCTATGCTTGTGTGGCAATCCATGTTGCCATATAGTATGCCCCCTTGAATTGGCCCTATGTTAGAGTTGAGTACATATTGTGGTGGTACTTCATGCCATGACTATTAAAGTTCTCACAAACAATCACATTGTATTAACAGAGACATTCATCTGGCATTACCATGCATGCACACATGTGTGTTTCATGCATGTCATCTCATGTTGCCCCACAATGTTCCTGTGCACATTGCACCACTTTGACTTGGTGGCATGACTTATCTCATGCATGACTTATGCATGACTTATCTCTACATGTGCCATGTTACCATACACATGTGTTACAAGTTGACATGTGCCATGGCATCACCTATGCTCTTGCAACACACATGCACTTGTATGATGGCAAGCACAGGGCCACTGTGCTGCACTCATGCTGGTGGTGAGGCTCTGCGCTCTAGTGGGCTGCCACAGTAACCACTAGAGTAAGATAACTCTAAAGGGAAGGAAAGAGAAGAGGATGGGTATAATTGTTACATTTAGTAGTTTGGTGTAAATAATTATCATTTTTCCTCATCAAATAATTTAATTATAGGGATACTCTATTTATATCTTTTTATGGTTTCTTAAGACCGGAGTGGTTCGTCCTATGGTTGACCCGGAGCCCATAATCCAGACCTTTCTCACCGAGGAGGCCCAAGCTTCAGCAGATTGGGCCCGGCCCGGCCCACTAAGACCCAGATGAGGAGGATTACCTCTGCCTGTCTCCAGGGCGTACTCCGGCAATGTGCGTAGCGATTTGTACTACAATTTGATCGCCTAATACGCCCGTGGGTGATGGGAGGAGGGTACGTTTCGCGACGTGTGAGGGTATCTATGGAATTTCCTTTCGCTCGCTTTCAAGGATGCTTCTGAGGGTCCTCTCTCTCTCTCTCTCTCTCTCTCTCTCTCCAGCAGCTCCTTTCGTTGCTTTCTTCGTCAAGCCGGCGAGCAGGAAACCGCGGGAATCGGAGGGGAGAGGAGAGGAGATAAAGGCTCCCGTATTCGGTTGTGAGAGGGAAAATCCGGTTGATCGAAGGCGCTTCGCTTCCTCCGCTATTCGGTAGTTTTTCTCTTGTTTCGGGTTATTCAAGCTGCGATGAGTTTCCTCTTTGGCAAGAAGAAAACCCCCGCAGGTATCGTGCTCTCTCTTCCTCTTCCCACGAATCTGATTCGATTGATATTTGTTACCTTTTTGGAACGTCGTTGAGAAATTCCCGCTTGATCCCTAGCCGATTGTGTATTGAACGGCTGATCTGGGAAGGCCTTTTGTTCATCCATTTTTTCCATCATTTTTTTTTTCTGTTTCTCGTTGAAGAAGATGATGAATGGTCCGGTTTTCGTATAATTGGTCACTAGCACGGGTGCGAATCCTTTTTTCTCCTAATTTTTTACTGTCTTTCGTCTATCGCACAGAGATTCTGCGGGAAAATAAGCGGATGCTGGACAGATCCATAAGAGATATCGAGAGGGAAAGGCAGGGGCTTCAAAACCAAGAGAAGAGGCTCATAATGGAGATAAAGAAGACCGCCAAACAAGGACAAATGGTTTGCGTTCTTTGTCTGCCTGCCTTTGTCTACGTTGATATTAGTGCGTCTATTCGAACTAATGAAAACCGATATTCTCCTAATAACTTGGAATTTTATAGACAAAAGTGTTGAGTATGATCTTAGTCTGAGTTTTTTAACCATATCGTAGATTCCATCAGATCTACTCCATATTATTCACCTTTTCTGCGCGACCATGTTTAGATTAAACCCTACAGGTAATTTATCCCATCAATTTGAGGCTAGTATTAAATATGGATTTTTTTACATTTTTCTCAGGATTATGGTTGGAGTCAGTTACATACTGGTAGCATAAGATATGGATTTTTATCTCATCAATTTGATGCTGAGCATTTCCGATGTTTTACTTGTTGTTGGCCTTGTCTATGGTAAACCTTCTATTAGGTAAGAAAAAAATTATAGTCAAGATAATTTTTGATGAGAGGATCATAAAATTTCTTTTTAAGGTCTGCCATCAGGAAAATGCCTTCCGTCTTGATTGTTTAAAATTTCTTAATCATGGAAAAACCATCGGTGGTTCCTATAGGCTGCTACTAATGCAGATGTGGTCAATGCAAATATAACTATACTAACTGAGTGACCCTCAAGCTGAATTGAGGCCAGTTGATCGCTTATCTTTCTCTACATTAAGTGAAAACTGAAGGAGTTTTTCCTACTTTCTTGGGGACTTCACAGAGCTTTGTCTGTTATGTAGCGCTTGTGGAAATAATCCCTCCCCAGCAGAGGTATGAACCATTCTGGTCATTGTGACCTCAGAGTCAAGAAAGTTCATAAATTCTGATCCAGATCTAGATCCTACCCTTAAAAGGGAAGTTGAAGCTCTCACGCATTATCCTACGATTCTTTTGCAGTATTCATGCACAGCATTGACTAAAAATTATCTTTTATTATGTGGTTTTTCTATCGTCGTATGGAAGACCTACAATTGTCTGAATCTCTGCCTTTATATCTACTCTCTCAACACATGGGTGCAGAATAATCTTCCTGTTCCAGCTCAGGTTTACTGCTATATGCATGACTTAGGCCATTTCAGCACAACATAGGCCAGTAGTTTGTATTCATTCACGGTCATTATTTTTTGTCTTTGTCTCGGTGAGTCTTCACCCACAAGCAAATGGAGGACAGCCAGATTCATTATTGTCAAAACAAAAATCCCGTTCTTCTATTCATTCAATATATTAGTGGCTACATTATTTACTTATTCCAATATTTTTTAGGCACGAGAATAATTCCTCACGTCTTGTTTCTCACTGTTTTGATTAAATCACAAGAATAAATGCGATTTTGGCAGATCTTTTAGTTCTTTCGCCTTATTTGCCTTGTGCTATGCTCACATTCTTGGTGCTTTCTTGCTGTGCCCTGTGAGAGTATGTATAAAAATGGAAGGCAATAGATTTGATTTCGTGGCTCTAATGTTACAGGGAGCTGTGAAGATCATGGCAAAGGACCTCATTCGAACACGGCATCAGATCACAAAGTTTTATGCACTCAAGTCTCAGCTCCAAGGGGTATCCCTCAGGATTCAGGTGAAGTATGGAAACTATCATTGAAGCATCACAAAAGCTTCTTTCCATGTATTACAAGTTATTGGTTAAGGCAGGACTCTCATGGGAAACCGGATGGCTAATTATGACATACATCTGTGGGATGATAGATGAGATAATTCCAGCTTATGACTTTTAAGTTTGATTGATTGTGATTTCTTCTGGTATTAATGAATGGAATTGCCCTATTCCTCAGACGCTGAAGTCAACTCAGGCAATGGGCGAGGCCATGAAAGGAGTCACCAAGGCGATGAGGCAGATGAACAGGCAGATGAACCTTCCTTCTCTGCAGAAGATCATGCAGGAATTCGAGATGCAGAACGAGAAGATGGAGATGGTGACTGAAGTCATGGGAGATGCAATCGACGAGGCCCTGGAAGGAGATGAGGAGGAGGCAGAAACAGAAGAGCTCGTGAGTCAAGTTCTCGATGAGATTGGAATCAACATCAACGAGCAGGTTGGTCTTCAAGTACACGATATTATATATTTATACATATAGGATTTCTATCTATATGCAATATATACAGATATATATATATATATATTATATGATTATATGTGTTGGCACTAAATACTAAATTTTTCTATGTATCCTCATGTGCATATACGTATACATTACCATCATAATCTATGGACACCAAAAATTCTATTTTTTTTATTTCATCTGATTTCCATTTTTTGTCCATTTGTATTTATATATATATATGTATATACCTTGTCATCATAATCTGCTCCTGCTAAATACTTTTTTTCTACCTTTTGTATGATTTATTTATATGCATATACATATATATAATCAATCAAAATAATGACTTCCGTTCACATAATTTACATATCCTCATGTGCATATAGATATACATTACGATCGTAATCTATTGGCACCAAAATTCTATTTTGTTTCTTTCATCTGATTTGTAGTATTTGTTATCCATATGTACATGCATTATCATCATAATCTTGCGCTGCTGAAGAGTTTTTTTTTCTACCTTCTGTATGATTCATGTATATCCATTTGTGCATAATCAATCGAAGTGAAGAACACTCTTTTTTTTTCTTCCGTTTACATAATTTACGTATTCTCATGTGCATAATAAATCCTTTTGGCTCTAAATAAGATTTTTTCTTTTCTTACCCTCCTCGTCCGTGTGACATCAGCTGGTGAAGGCACCCTCATCGGTGGTGGCAGCGCCTGCCGCTCCCAGCAAGGTGGCTCAGGCAGAGGCGGCCGGCGAGGACGGCGGGATAGACAGCGAGCTGCAGGCGAGATTAGACAACCTAAGAAAGATGTGACTCTTGACTACTTCCATTCCAGAATGTATATCGATCAGCTGATATCTTCAAGCTGCGCACATATGCTTCATTTATATATATATATATATATATATATATATATATATAAGCTTGCCTCGGTGTGGTGTAAACAGAAGTAGGCTTGTATCTGTGATTGATGAGGAAATAATCATATTACATTCTACCCCAATCTTGCTCTTATTTCTTGTCTTCATTGCGGAACACGATACCAGAGAATGTCTCTTCATTCGTGTCCTTTTCTTTTTTTCTCTCTCTGGAATCTCCATTGGAAAAGAAGAGAAAAATAGCCTTCTGTGGGATCTGCTATAAAGGCTCTCTCTCTCTCTCTCTCTCCTCACTCCTCACACTCATGGGCTGGGCCCACACCTCTTACGACTCTCTCTCCCTCCCTCTCTCCTCTCACTTCTAACATCTCATTGGTCTGGGTTCATACCTCATAGGGCTCAGCGCGGCGCTCATCTTTCAAGCCTTTTCTTCACTGGGCTTCAATACGGTCAAGCTCTGAAGCCCCTAGTCAACTCTCTCTCTCTCATGGGCTGGACCCATACCATAGATAGAAAGATAGATAGATAGGGGGAGGGAGAGAGAGAGAGAGAGGGCGGATCGGGCCTAATTTTCATTCTGGACTTTATTTGAAGCCCATATTAAGCAAAGTATGGGGGCCCACGATGTCCCAAAGTTATGCACGATGCTTGTTTATTTTCTTTACGCCTTATCAGGGCCCTCTTGTTCAAGTACGTTAGCTTATTTGGGCCTACTCACACCTTTGAAGCCTGGCGCGGGCCCGAAAATCTACCGGACCTGACTTGAACCACCGGCTCGGTTGCGCTCCCGGTTTTCCGGCCCATTAAGATCCTCGTTCCCGCCCAACAAGCGGGCACGTTCTTTTCGACCTCCATTTACCTCCCGAAACTGGTCTCAAATGGGATCACAATGGGGAGAATGGTTGGACTCTCGCCAACCTCGTCTCATCAGGCATGCCCTGCATTTGAGTGAAGGGGACGCAGCTGACTTGCTTCGATTTCGGATCAACTTTGGAAACGATGGTATCGGAGTTCATTGCTGTTGCCGGAGGTGAGCGGAGAAGGATTTATCTTTATATCTTCTTCTTTCTTTTGTCTTCTTTGATTTATCTTCTTTAATCCTCTTGTTCTATGGTATGCCTATGAGCCCAGATTGCTTGCGGTTTTCTGTTACACTTGCTCGATTTCTTTCCATTCTCTGAGAGTGTGGGATTTTCACATAGTTCGAAGAGGATTTTCATCAGGAAAACCCACATCGAACACTAGGGCCGGGGGCCCTTGTCCTCGTGATGCACAACTGTCTAGACTGGGTTGCCCAACGCGCTTTGTCCTTAGAGTCTATCCCATAAAATGGTGCCTTGAATCTCACTCTATCCGGCATAATTATGTTCATATGTAAATTGCTCTTACCGTTTCAAAAGAAACTACCAGTGGCAGATCATACATCACATTTCATCCCCACTTCTAGTACCCTGTGATTTTCATTTTCTCAAAGCATTCAATTGCCAGATAGAATTGTGCAACTCCAGTTATAATGAAACAAGTGATTCCCATGTGGGTTGATTGACGTTAAGAAGGCAGAGTAATAGCTGTGCCATTCCTTCCATGGGCTGCCCCAACTGTTGAACCATCCTGGTGGTCTGAACCGTACGTTTTTAATGTGTAAATCTTCCAGATAATTGGATAGAGCAAGAACTTCCAAAGCCCCGTAAATCGGTGGAAGAATAGTAGTTATATGAACTGATTGCCTCCGAAGAACACCAGCTTCTGTGAGCTGGCTGGCAATTATACGCCACCATAGTACTTGAAATGATGTTTTCTACCAATAAGATAACTTACTGTGTTAAACCAACTTGACATGCTTAATTCCACTAAAGTATTGCTGCATTGCATGCTGGATGGAATTAGAACGAGTGCAAAATCTATGACTTGTAGAAAGAAATTAAAAAGGATCGCATGACAGTCCAAGATTCAGTGTAACCACACTCATGAATATGATATGGAATACGTGGTGTACCAACTGGTGTGATGTATTAATCTTTCTATGAACTTCAGTCGTTTAATTTTTTTGTTTATAATTTCTGTGGTTAAACATAATTCTCGTGTTTTGCAAAAGTCGCATCCAAGTTGTTTCGGACAGAAGACGTTACATTAGGAATTCTCAACTAGGAACATCAATGACCTCAGATGCTCTTCTTTCTCTATGCTGCCTACAAATCCATCCAATGTGCCCATCGTCAAGGTATCTTACTCTCCACAAACCGAACCTTTCTGCGATATCTTTTCCAGATGTAATCCTCCGATTCTTCAAGAAATCAGTGAGCCACTGCTGAGCAGCAGTTACATCATGACGAAAATTTACCAAACTTCGTCCGCCCAAGGGTACACCCCTGTCTGTTGCTCTGTTTCCTGTAGCTTGCCCGGCGATTAAAGCAGTCCCTACTACCCCTGCAGTGAAGGCTGTCATTTCAGAAACATGGGAAGCGTTAACTAGATGAGCTACTTCCCTGGCCAAATCTGGTACCATCTCCCCCATTCCTGCCACGAAATGGACTCCTATCTTCAGGGCAAAGGTCACAAGTTTCATGAATGTACTCATATATGGAAGCAGGCACTTCACTGCCTGGTTATCTACTTGTATAAGATCACAACCTACCTGATCTTGCACAACATGCATTTCTCTACGAAACTCGCACAACATGTGTAGACGGAGTTCTGTCATGCCCGAAATCAGCCTTGTGACCAGTCTTCTTGAGTTCCCTTCTGTCTGTATAAAGTAGAACATCCTGGGTATTTTCCTCTCTTCTAGTTGAATGTTGTAGTTGACCATATAATCTATTTTCCTGTGTAGTTCGACCAGAAGTATGTGTTCATAATATCTTAGTTTGTATATCTCTCGCCTCAGGTCCTTTATCTCATGCTCTATAATCTTCAGTCTCTGTAAAACTGTTTCTACACCCTTCGCAATACCTGATACTGAAGGTTCCACCGTGAAATCAGGCTCACTTACATGTGCCTGTGATTCACTCTCTGCCTGTTCTAGGGACACAGACAGTTCCACAGCAAGATGATGCAAGTCATAATACCTCTGATGCAGTACCTCTTGAAAATCGTCATCTGAAAGGAGATTTCTAGCATAGTCAAAGCCAGAGTGTAAAACTATTCTAATTCCATCCGATACTGAATCCCATGTGTGCTGATAGTCATACATCATGTCTGCTGGCACAGAGAGTAATGCCTGTTTCAATTGCCCCAAAAGCACAGCTTGACCTTTCCTGTACCTGTGTGGTATAAGATGCCGGACACAGTCTGGCCTGATAATCTTTTCTACAAGGCTGACTCCACTGGCAAGACTTTGGATTGTTGGAAAGATCAGCTGCATGAGGAGTCTTAGTATTTCAGTTGTGTTCTTAGTTGAGCAAGCAAGGACGTCAATGTAATGACCAGGTTGTCCACCAAGCTCCACCCTGATATCTACTCCATTGATTGTTATTGTGATGAGGTACTTCTCTAGATTGTAAGTTGCAGCGTGTGGGTTCTTCGATTGTAGCTTGTTATAGAGATGGACCTGGAGGTTCAGAAAACTGGTAGATATTGATTTGAGTAAAACAAGCAATCAAAACTAATTAGTAATATTTCTAATTTCGTTAAATACTGATGTTAGAACCTTTTCTCTTGTCATTTTTAGAAAGAAAGTTTAATTTTTTTAAAATTTCAAATGATCACAAGATCTAATCTAATTTTTTGAAATGCATGCATGCTATGTTGGGACATTACATCGTGTTTTTTATTTAATGTAATTGACCATCACATTTCATAGTATCACTCATACGAGCCCAATATCTGTATCCTAGGAAAGCACGGAAATAACGAACATATGTTTGAAATCAGCATTTCTGTCTTTAAAAGATGATATTCAATGATGGCATCTTTTTTTTAGTTATCCCCAGTTCCAATTATGCTACAACTCAATAGTCACAGACTGTTTTTTTCGTATGTGTCTTCCGCTTCTTTTCAAAGTTTCACGTATACTTGACATAGGAGATACATTGAAGTTAAAATCTGTAGTTATGTAAAGGTTTCCCCTACCTGTAACCTTGGGAAAAAGCTTGGTCCAAAATACGTCTGGCAGGAATTGTCACATTCCAGCTTCCGCCCTACGTAAAAGCATTCTGATATAGTTAGTTGCCATTTCCGAGTTTTAACCCTGCTTCCTTCAAGGATTGTTGGGACAAATAGCAGTGAATTGCGATCCCCAGGATGTAGTTCATAGCATAATTCTAACTTTAGCATCATGTGAATGAGATCGTCTTCTTCTATATCCTGACTATTTATACTTCCTCTTAGAAGCTTTTCCAGTTCTTTCCTGCTCATGAATCCATTCCTGTCCATTGTATTCTTGTTACCTGGCTTAAGTTTTATCAAGTGGCCAAGGAATTCTCTGCAGAACCATTCACAGTCTAGGATCAGAAATCCAAGCTCTTCAAAGAAAATCACCTCACCCATATAGTGCAGAGACTTTGCAACTTCACATCTCTGTGATTCAACCTGTCTAGTATCATGCCTTGTTCGGATCCTCAAGAGTGGAACTTTGAGCTGGCATAACTCACCAAAGTCGTTCCATTTCATTGTTGGTCTGTTTTCATTCTCTGACCTCCAGATCTGCAGAATCTTTATGAAGTCATTTGTCAGTTGGTAAACCTGTGGGACCCTTTGAATTATTGTCTGGACAGTCTTCTGCAGGTGATGTGTGAGTTTGCTCACCGACCGAGTACTTCTTGCATCCACCGTGAAAACTGTCGCGTGTAACTCCACAATTCCTCTAAATCTTTCTCTTAGATTATGAACTAAATCAACGATTGGTAGCATGTTTTCGGAGTGCTTGGAAATTTTGTCTGAGTGAGTGAGAACAATGGTTACATGTGGTAATATGGACTGCGGTTTTGCCCTTGCTGTGTTTGAAGCGATGTACCTAAGCCAGTGGAGAAGATCCTCTTCCAGTCCTGTTAGTCTTCTCTCTTCCTTGTTGGCAGGCTTTTGGAACAAACTGGAGATTATCAGGAAGAGAGAACCTCGATTTCCTTGAAACATGAGGTCGTGCAGGGTATAAAATTCCTGTTGGCCTGCAAGAACCCAGATTGATACTTTTATGCCCTCGTGCTGCAGGGTTTTGATCTTGATTTCTTCTTTTCTGACACCTCTCAGCTCTGCTGGGTTCACCAGCGATACAGCCTGTCTCCAAGAAGGAAATGCCGCAGTTGAAGAGTTTCTGATTATGGTGTTACAAAGAGTTGATTTACCTGCATCACAGGAATTTACATCTCATAGTGAACTACTTACGTAGAATGTTTCAAGGTTTTTAAAGGATTTCTTGAGACAGTCCACAGGGGGGATAATTTTGAAATCCACTTGGAGACACATAATTACGTATGAAAAATTGAATTTGGCTAATCTAACTCTTCAGAATAATTCGAGCATATGAGTAAAACCCTATTTATCAGACCCCTTGAATGTAGTTGCATTGAAGTATATGAACACAACTACCTTGGTTTTTTCGTTTCCAGCACTACCTGCATATCCTTGTCCACAGAAGAAGATTCTGCAACTCATTGGTGCAGCCCGTGGCAAGTCGCGGAACTGCTCATCCTCATGCTCCGTCCTTTCTCTCTGCCCCAGCTTCTGAGAAATACTCTCACTCTTTCCAGCAATCTGCAAAGGAGTTCCCGCGAGATCAATCTCTTCTATCCATGGATTCACCTGTAATGTTTCCGTGATTGCTTGCAATACTAACTCCCCATCAACGCCTTTGCAGCCTCTGAGTGATAGACATCTCAAGGTAGAATTTCTCTCCAAACTCTTGAATATTCTAATTATATCATTAGGTCTCAGGCTTTGATCGTCATAGATTCCCAATCGGACCAATGTCTGATTTGTCTCCAGCATCTGCAAGATTGCAGCAATCCCTTCCCTTCCTATCTTCGTCCTTCCTCCTCCAAATGCAATGGATTTCAGAGCTGTGTTTGCCTGGTTCTGTAATCGAGAAAACCTGCTCAATGGACACAACAGATGTTCAAGGCCCATCCCTCCAAACCTATTTCCGTCAAGATGTAAATTTTCCACGGATTGGTTCTTGAATAGTCCAGCAGCCACATACACAATTGCCTTGTCTCTTAGACATGTTCTCGACAGGATCACACTCTTGAGGCTTCTATTTTGCTCTAAGATCTCTCTGAACACCTTCGTCCACTTTGTTGACAGCCGAACTCCAGCCATGTTGAGAGTACTCACTGTCGTGTTCCAACCCAGAGCGCATGCAACTCTCTCAGAACCAGAGGGCTTCAGCTTGTGAATTCTCAGAGTACATGTTTCGGGTATGAACTCCGCCACCTTTGATCTCATGTTCTTGCCCTCCCTGTTCCATATGTGGACTGACATTGCCCGGTTTCTCGCCAGCACTGCCGCAATTACTGGCGCCGTTGAGGCGGAATTTTCATCTTCTAATGTTATCTGCTTAAGTGACGAGTTCACCTCGATCATTTGTGACAGTTCTTCCGCGCCTTTGGAACCCACAGTGTCCCCCCATACTTGGAGCTCCTCTAGAGTCTCGTTCCTCCTCAGGGCGGAAGAAAGGCACCCTACTTCAAAGGCCCCGATTCTGCATTCTGAGAGCGTAATCGCTTTGATTCTGCGATCCACTTTCAGTATTTCTGCAAACAGAGAGAAGCCCTGCACCCCGAAAGCATTCCTCCGGAACACAAGCGTCACTCTGTCGGTTCTTTTATCTACCAGGTAACCAAGATGCCTGAGCTCCTCCAATCCCCATTCGACACCGTGGAATTCCAGGTTTTGGATTGACTGGAGGGTCTCTCTCTCCACTGCCATTGCTGAGAGGATCTGAGAGAAAAGATCAGTGCTGTCTTCTCCAGTTGATATTTTGATGGTCATGGAGCTCTCTGTCTCTTGGTAAGCCCCGGTGCTTCCCTGCTGGAGGTGGAAGGAAACGCTCTGTAGTGGGGTCTCTCCTGATCTGATTTCCTGTAGAGCCCAGTTCAGGTCCTTGATAATCTGGTTGGGAGGCGTGGGTTCTTCGGCCCTGCTCGGCAATGCCTCTTCTTCTTGCCCTTGTTGTCGATGGAGGACTCCACAGGGGAGCATGAATCTGCAGTCTGAAGAGATCATGTCTGAACCGCTCTGGTTTTGCAAAGCCTCAGCTTTGATCCTCTGGCTGCTGCCCAGCTGGTCTTCCTTCGGGTAACCTGGTGAGTAGAGTTGCTTCAGCCTCTAGGCAGTTTTTCTTTTCTTTTCTTTTTCTTCTTTTCTTTTTTGTCTTTTCTTTTGTGCTTTCTTCCTATGATGCCTACTCGCCCTTTTCTCCCTTTTTCTCTCTCTTTGTCTGCGAACAATCTCTTTAGCCATGTGGGGAGCGTCTCATGGTTATTCTTGACCTACGAAGGAGGCGTTATTTGCTGGTCAAGCAGGGAAAGGAAAAGGTGAGCAGAAGATGAAGTAAGCTCCCACGCCTGCTCTCTCTCTCTCTCTCTGTTTCTACCATGTTCATGTTCTCTTCTACCCATTGAGTCAAGAGGGAATCTCCAAAGGTCTCCTCATTTAAAAATAAAAATAAAAGGGTAAAGGAAGGAGATGGAAGGGTCCCTCATGTGTGAAGAGAGCTGAGATGAGATTCCCTCAGGGCGAGAGGAGGCAAAGAAGCCAAGAGGTGGGTTTTCTTTTAGGGTTTTGCCCAGGAAACCCATTTCGTACAGCTCTTTTGCTAGCCTCGGGAGCCCATGATCCGAAAGGGGGACGGTCACATACATGCGGTTCTAACGTAGACGGGTGGTGGTTGATGTTCCTCAGGGTGGTTGACATTTTATTTACTAAATTAGAATGCAATTTCCTGGACAAGAGTGGAGTGAGGTCTCATCTTGATCACTGTAAGATCATCTCGCTTAGGATATCGATCTGGTTTTAATATATATATAACAAAATAGGATAACATTACATCCCTTCCCCCCTCCCCCTTTTCCTTATATGAAGTTGTATACATGTTAGAACGAAGGTTGAGACTCCTAATATTCCCTTAATATTGCCTAGGAAGTTGAAAATGATGAACTTTTTTCTTATTGCAATTTCAATGATGATGATTATCATTTTATTATTATTATTATTATTATTATTATTATGATGCTGATGATGATAGTGATGATGTTGATGATGTAGCCCCCATGTGTATCATAAAGCTCTAGACTTGCTGAATCGCCGGTAAACTTGATGGCATGAGGGTCCAGGTAACAAATTAATTAGCATCTGCAATCTTTTACTTGTGCCAATCTACTTGATAAATTATAACCTCATTCTGCGATGCATGTTATATAATCGTTTATTTAAATTGGTGAGTAGATGGGATGGTAAGAGTGTGAAGAAAAAAAAAAGGGGGAGGGAAGAAGAGATACGTCAGCCTCCCTTCCATTCCTTGTATAATTAACGTTTATTGGGAACAAGATGACTGGGGAGAACCCCGATCAAAGTCTCCTGCATCCTCTTAAACTCCGACACTTGCTTTCCCTAAAGAAAGCCGAAAGCCAGAATAGGAAATTGATGAGCATAAGTAGGAGAGAGAGAGAGAGAGAGAGAGAGAGAGAGAGAGAGAGAGAGAGAGAGTTCTTAGCATTCATGGAGCATCAAGATCAGTTAGGAAACTCCCCAAAAATGAAAAGTACCGAGAAAAAGTAGATTTAAAATATTTGTCGGGTCTATTCTCTATGGGAACTGGGCATCATCATCATCATCATCATCATCATCATCAGCATCCTCTGGCTATTTTCACGCTAAAATAAATAAATAAATAAAAATCAGCATTCTTGAGAAGGGAGGGGGCAAAGGAAAGCTAAGAACAGTAGATGCCCGTTCTGGGCACCCCAACCCCATATAATTGGAACGCTCATTTTGATGGTACAGCCCTCGTGGAATCCCATTATACAAACGCACCCAAAACCTAAAGAATCAAAACCTAATCTCTCTTAATGATGGGAGAGGGGCGGTGGGAAATTCAAATCAATCAAGCCTCAAACCTTTGGGAGAATCAAATTATCTGTACTTGGATTCTCTGAATCTGAATTTTCCTGAAGAATATCTCCAGTTAGAACTCTAATTAAAAGTGTTCCGTGAACAGTTGCAGAGATGGGTATGAGCCCTCGCTGGGATGATGATGATCAACCCAACACCGACTCTGCTACTGAAGGTAATGGCCTCCCTAAGTAGCAATTCCTGTAGAAAATAAACCCAGATAACCAGACATTAGAAATAAACAGCAGAAGACCTAGTAATGGGTAGAGATGTTGGAAACCCTAATCTACCACAACAAGGATTCATACGAGCTGTTGGAAAGAATATGCATGAAGCATTCGGGGTCTTCTGCGAAGCGAATTTGTGAATATGTGATGTAAAGCAAGGATACGTGTGATAGGGGAAGAGAGAGGCATAAGGAATGCAACAAGTTCCCATTTCTCTGGAAATATATATGAAGAGTAAGCGAATTTCATCCCAAGTGTCAATGCAGTTCGCCTGATGATGTCTACCCATGAACATGGCAAAAGAAGCTTTCACAGTTAAAGGTTGTTAATCGATGAGTTGCTGAGTAGAATTCAGAATACAATTAACTATATGTATATATATATATATATATATATATATGTATGTATGTATGTATGTCTGAAACTAATCAAAATCCGATACAACTAAACCATAACTCTTTCCATATAAACGAAAAGCAGTGTTCACTGCAACTTAAAAATTTAAAAAAAAAAAACATACTTCGTATCTTATTTCTACACAAGAATCGCAGCAAGAACACAAGAAGCACAATTTATTTCTACCAATCGGAAATGTCTACACTTTTCGTGGTCTTAGTTGTCATATCACGTTATAGTGAAAATAAAACTGAGCCTCAGGGAATATCAATGCAGATTTAGTAGGACCCTTACCTCCATTTGATTGACCATTGGTAACATCATAACTTCTCATATATCCAGAAAAATCCTTGGCCCTGACGTCTGAAGCCTCATCTCCAAGCCCAAAACCAAATGGACCAGCGCCAATAATCTCCGGGGATGCAGAGCACCATGTGGGATCACCATAAATTGGCTTACCACCATTTACATCAGCAAAGGCGCCCTCGTATCCCCCATTAAAACCATTATAGGGTATATCAGCACCAGCTCCATTGCCACTGCTCCTCCCATAGCCAACCCCTCCAAGCCCTAGCCTATTCTGACCACTCTCATAACGGAGACCTCCATCAGGCCGAAGTGACCTGTTCTGCATGCCCTGAACCGAGGTGGAGATGGGACCAGCCCAGTCCACTGAGCTGTCACCAAAGGCCCCAAGCTCGCCAATTTTAGAGCCAAGAAAGTCGCTACCATTTGCAAAACTTGCAGCATAGTTAAGGTCTCCATTTCCCCATAAGTTAGCAGAGGAACTGAAGACCGACTCAGCACCGCCATTGCTGCCGCTATACCCAATCGGACTGGTAAATCTACTAGAACTTCCACTGTAAAAGGGGCTCATCTCCCGGCCAAAACCGACATTGTTGTTATGATTTCTTATCAGACTATAGTTTGGGCTCATTCCTGGATCAAAATTCATACCCATTCTGTAACCCACCCGACTAAAAGGGGGAAACCCACTACGCCCAACTGGAGTGGATCCAAATCTTGCATCCATCCTCACTCCGAAGCCATTTATTGGGCTGGAGTTGGATCCATTAAAGAAGCTGTTAACCCTACTTTGGCCATAGTTGGGTCCCATGGGTGACCTCATTGCAGGAGCCGGGGATGATTCTTTGGGGACTGCCTTCTTGACCTCGACCATCTTCCCATTGAGCTCGTGAAAGGTCTTGAACAGCACCTTGTCCACAGCATCCTCGGACTCATAGGTGATGAACCCAAATCCTCTCGGCCTCTGGGTGTTGTGGTCGTACATCACAACAGCATCTGTTATCGTCCCAAATTTCTCAAAATACCTCCTGAAGTCGGCCTCCGTCACTGTTGATGGCAGACCTCCCACAAAAATCTTCTTGGTGAATCCATGGCCGGGAGATCCCTGAATGCTTCCATTGTTTCTATTAATAATCTGTTGATCATCTCTAGGGACGGCTTTCTTCGCTTCAACCTGCAAATTTCATCCATCAAACCTTACAATTCAAAATTCACAAGGCAATGTAAACGAAAAACCGCTTATTTTCATTAAATAAAACCAATTAGAACCCTGCTTGACATTAGGAATTTGAACTTTGATCTATACTGCCTCTTACGATTCGGCCATCAATTGTGTGCTTTTCCATGAGGACGGACTCGGCCACGGCAGGATCAGCAAAGACAACAAAGCCGAACCCTCTAGCTCGGCCGGTGGTGCGGTCCTTCATGATCACAGCCTCCACGACTTCCCCAAAATTCCTGAAGTAGTCCCTGAGGAGATCCTCATCGGTGTCCCAGGAGATTCCCCCAATGAAGAGCTTGCCGAGATCTGATTCCATCTCGCTCCCTGAATTTGTAAGCGTAATTTCGTTCATCCATGCGCTCAATTAAAGTTACAAAAAATAAAGAATAGTCATCAATCGAATTTCACGTCCTCATTGCAGAGGCAGATTCAATTCTAGAGGGAAAGCAACGAGTTCCCACCGAATTCGGTGGTTTCGCGAGAAACTGCCGTCAGTCAGCAAGATGCTCAGAATTTGAACAGAAGAAATTGGATTAGATCCAACGGAAATCTGAATTCAATCGATCCGAGGCCCCTTCCGCCGATGCAAAGAAGCAATGGAACGAAGACAACCCGAAAGGACATCCGCCAGGGGAAAAAAAAAATCAAGGCAATTGAGAGCGAGAAACAAGTGGAAATCCGCGCTCACCGATCTGAGATCTCCCTCCAGAAGAAGAGGAACGGGAAGGCGGGGGGGCGGGGGGGTGGGGGAGCCGGAATCAACTATTATCTCTCGAAGATCTCAGCCGAGTCCCTACGAGGAAGACGACGGCGAAATTTTCACCTCCCCCCACCCCCTTCCGTCCCTGCCTCCCCCCAGTGGACTCTCCCCCGTCCCGTTCCTCTCCTCCAATTCCGATCTCCACTCGACCCCCTGGCAGGAGGATAAGAGGGAACAGAACAGAAAGAAGAAGAGTGAACCAACTCCAAATGAGGGGCGGAGAAGAGAGAGAAAAGGGGGTGGGGAAGAGAGAGAGAAAGAGAGAGAGGTCCATCCAGCGAGGTATATACGAGGAGTGGGAAGGGGGGGGGGGGGAGGAGGAGGAGGAGGAGATGATGGCGACGGCTCTCCCTCCTCTCCTCTCCTCTCCTCTCCTCTCCTTGCCTTGCCATCCTGGATTTCCCAAATTACTAGTTTCAGGGTGATGCCCTAATTTTTACCATTTCCCAGCAGGAGGGATCAAACCAGAGCGTTCCACCGCAGAGAAGAAGACATTCGAGCTGACGACCTGGACGGCATCTGAGCCGTCCGATCGACAGATCAATCAATCGATCTCTCTCCCGCCATCGCCGCCGGCCAGCCGTGGTCATCAGATGTCCCCAGATAGGCGCTCCCTCGTGTCCGAGCGGAGTCCACGTTTCTGGAGAGTTCGTGGACCAGGGAATGGGAGCACGGAGGCGGTCAACTCCCGTACCAGGCACAGAGTGAAGAGAGAGAGAGATGACGATTGAGAGGGTAGTTCGGGGGAGCACGGAGCACGCGGCGGCGGAGTCCCCACGTTCACGATGAGCTGTACTCATGATCACGCGCGTTTATCGAGGAAGATTCCCTCCGGCATATTAATATTTAATTAAAAAAATTAATGACACTATATTAAAATGGCTTAATAATATCCCTCCCTCTCTCTCTCTCTCTCTCTCTCTCTCTCTCTCTCTCTCTCTCTCTCACTCTCACACACACACACACACCCACCCACCCCACACAGACACAGAGGAGGAGAAGAATAGAATCAATTTAAGAGAGAGAATGGGGGGAGAGAGGGAGAAGAGGAGAGAGGAAGGGGGATCGATCAGGCATCGGCGTCGAGGCCGGAGAAGAAGGGGTCCTTGAGGAGGTCGGCGGCGGAGGGACGGGCACGGGGGGCCCCCAGGCAGCGCTCGATGAAGGCCCTCGTCTCGGGGTCCTTCACGTTGGAGAGGGAAGCGGGACGTTGACCGGCGGTGACCTTCCTGTAGATCTTGGCCACGCTGTCGCACTCGCTGTAGGGGACCTCCATGGTGACCATCTCCAGCACGCACATCCCGAATGAGTAGATGTCCACCTGCTCCGTGTAATCCTCGTCGTAGAGCTCCGGGGCCATGAACTCCGGCGTCCCCAGGAGCGAGTGCGCCACGTGGCTCTGCTCCTCAACGATCGCCGCCAGCCCCAGGTCTCCTATCTTCACCTGCAACATCCGTTTCCCAAATCCTGATCAGCACAGCGCAGAGAGGAGGCAAGCGAGAGAGAGAGAGAGAGAGAGAGAGAGAGGAAGCGCACGGCAGAATCGGTGGTGGAGGGGGCGAGATTGATTGATTGATTCTACCGGGGAGAAAGAACACAAAGAAGAAGGTTTATTATTCATCTGATATTGTGCCGATTTTAGGATGAGATTACAACGAAGACAAAGTAATTTAACTGTGAGAAGAGAAGAGAAGAGAAGATCTGAGCGTCATTTTGGGGCGAGTTCTAATCGATTAGGGCTAGGGCTAGGGTAGGAGGTTGTTGGGTACCTGACCGACGTTACCGTTGATGAACACGTTGCTGCAGTTAATGTCGCGGTGGATGATGCAGGGCTCGTGCGTGTGGAGGTATTCGAGGCCCCTCAGGATCTGCCGTGACCACTTCTTGAGGGCCTTGAGTGACACGTTCCGGTGGCGCCGGCGGTACTCGCGGAGATTGCCGGAGGTGCAGATCTCCGTGATGAAGTTGAGCGTGCCTTTCTCGGCGTCCAACCAGACATGATAGAGGGTGATGATATTCTCGTGGCGGAGGGAGCGGAGCAACCGGACCTCGGAGAAGAGCCGATCGATCACTCGAGTGTCCTCCATGAAGCAGCTCAGGCGGACCTGGTTCCAGGCTACCTCGATACCTTCCTCCTGATCGAAGCCGCGGTACACCTTCTTCACGGCCCCGGTTCCCAGTAGATCGGCGTACCGGCCGTACCGCCCCGACGGATCCACCTCCACGAAGGGCTCCGCGTCCTTGTCAGCGGCGCTAGGATTCGCCGTCGGCATCCTCGATCTCGAGACCGAAGATGAGGGGGGAGGCAAGGCGGTGGAGTGGAGAATCGACAGATTTGGACTACTCGGGAACCCTACAGCAACGAAAGACGCCGATTAAGACACTGAATTCGATTCGAACCCTGACCAGTATCAAAACTGCGGTGGAAATAAACCTCGAATTGACACACGATCCGGCGGCGAGATCGAGACAGTAACCAACTCAGATGAACACGGACGAGGCGCAGATCACAAGGAAGAACAAGGTTCTAGCTTCCTTGAGGTACTGCAGCGTCGGAGACATTCCGGCGTGGAGCACAACGCCCTGCCACGCGCGCATCAGAATAAGAAACCTAAATCCGCCGGAGAAAAAAAAAAAACCTAGAATCCGATCCTTCGATCCTTCTACGTGTCAGAAGAACGAAAGCGGTAAAAAGAGAGGATACCAGGGAGATTATTGTTACCGGAAGCGCATATCATAGAGCGATCCCGCCCTCCCTCCTCCGCCGCCCCCGCCGTCGCTGTCGCCGGAGACGGTAGAAGAAGGGAGAACGGCTTCAGGATCCGCGCGGGAAGAGGAAGTGCGGCGGCGCAGGCCCGCGAATCGTGCGTTGAAGGAGGATTGAGGTTTTGGAATTTGCCCACCTCCGCTCTCCCTATTTATAGACAACGCCGCATGCGGTCAACTCTGCACACAAGACACGTGACCCATACGAATGGTCTACTTAAGCTTCCTTTGACCGCGCCCATCCGAGGCATTGAGACTAGCTTTCACCATCATCGGTTACCTCATCCCGCTCTCAACGTTGACCTGGTGTCGCGTCATCAACTGGGTGGTTCAAACTTTCGCGTTCGCCTCCCAAGGCCTAGAGCGGGAATGAGAGAGGTTTGCAAATAAACCTCTCCAAGGTTACCCATCATCCTACGTGGCATATGACGTGTGAAAGCACTTGTACGATCCGTCCACGTATGCGGTAGAAGAGGACGACGCCTGCGGTGTCAGCTCCATTGTAAAAAGACATTTTTACCCCTTTCCGGATTGTCCCTTTCGTTTAGCAAATATTTTCCTATATTTACAAAATGTTCCCGATAACTGTGTTTATTGCGCCATGGGACCCTGCGTTGAGTAAAATATTTTCTGAAAATAAATGTATTAATATTTAAACAAATATATTTTTTAATTTACTTTTCGGGTAATCGGTCCAACCTGAATGAACAACCGTTTTTGGATGGGAATTGTCCTGCCACGTGTCAGCCGAAGAGTACTTGTGGCTCTAATGAGTTCATCGTCTTCCTCAAAACCCTATCCCTCCCTACACGGCGTCGGTCTTCTGGGCCTGTAGAGCAGAGTGGGGAGGGCTTCTCCCCTCCTCCCAGCTCTCTCCCCTCGTCGAAGGCCTGCGGATGGCCACTCAGGCTGCTCGACTGAAGGTTACGACGGCGAGCCTGATTTTTCGAGGGAGGAGAATCGGCGCAAGAGGGGCCTGCCTTGTTCTGACGAGGTATTCTTCCTCTTCTTCGGCTGTTGCCCGTGCTGCATTGGCTCTATCCTGCTCGCCATGGCCATCGCCATCGCCACACCTCTCCAAGGCTCGCCTGCTGTCGGCGGCGGCTACGGCGGGGGAGGCTCCAGCGGTGGTTGAAGATGCAGAGGGGCCGCCTTCAACGCCCTCACCGGTGTTCCCCGTCGTCGTCTGGTCTCTCCTGCTGGGGGGGTTCTGCTGCCTGTTCCTCTGCTGGACATGTGGCCCAGCGCAAGCCGCCGCCTCCGCCGCCGCCGACGACTCGATCAGAGCCTCTGGAATCGGCCTGAAGGTGGCGGCGGCGCTGAGGAGATCTGGCTGGGCGGACGAGGCCGTCGTCTTCTTCCTCGCCACGTTACCAGTGATCGAGCTCCGGGGGGCGATCCCCGTCGGCTACTGGATGCAACTCCCCCCCCTCAAGCTCACCGTCCTCTCCATTTTAGGGTTCGCTTTCTCATCCTCCCCGCTGGCGATTTCCCCATTCCTGGTTTCACTGACCGATCTGGAGATTCCTCCAGGAACATGGTGCCTGTGCCGTTCATCGTCCTCTACCTCAGGAGCTTCGCCTCGCTGCTCTCCGAGAGAAGCGGCCCCGCCCGCCGCCTGCTGGAGCTGCTCTTCGAGCGAGCCAGGGAGAAGGCGGCGCCGGTGGAGGAGTTCCAGTGGCTCGGCCTGATGCTGTTCGTCGCCGTCCCCTTCCCGGGGACCGGAGCTTGGACCGGAGCCATCATCGCCGCCGTCCTGGGCATGCCGTTCTGGTCCGCCGTCTCCGCCAACTTCCTCGGCGTCGTCTTCGCCGGCCTGCTGGTAAGCCTACTGGTAAACCTCGGCCTGAAACTAGCCCTTGCCACTGGCCTGGTTCTCTTCTTCATCTCTACTGTCATGTGGAGTGTCCTTCGGCGTCTGAAGAGGTCGATCGACTCCAGATGATGACGATGATGATGATCCCTTGGGAAGTGTCACCCAGAATCATCGGTTCCTCCGTTTTAAAATTTGATCCAAATTAGAGTCTTTTTTACACCTGTGATCCAGTCAATTCGTCTGCCTGAAGGGTTGACTTTTTATTATTCTTTTCTGAATCGGACTAGTAGTATCCTGGGATAAGTATTCTTTTTTAGGGAAGAAACCAATCTCCAGAGTCTAGTCTTGTCTTGTCTTGTCTTGATCTTGTTACAAATCTAGAGTTGACGAGGAACAAGGATAGAGTCAAACTTCTGGATAATCTTATCACCGGATTCACACAAACCTCTGCAATCCGCTCAATTCGTCTGCCTGATGGGTTGGCTTTTTATAATTCTTGTCTGAACCCAACTGGTGGTATCCTGGGATAATTATTCCTTTACAGGGAAGAAACCGATATCCACAGTCTTGATCTTGTTACTAATCTAGAGTTGACGAGGAGCAAGGAATAGAGTCAAAGTTCTGGATAATCTTATCAGCGGATGCACACAAACCTCTGTAATCCGCTCAATTCGTCTGCCTGAAGGGTTGACTTTTTATAATTCTTGTCTGAGTCCAACCGGTAGTGTCCTGGGATAATCAGTCTTTTTCAGGGAAGAAACCAATACCCAGTCTTTTCTTGATCTTGTTACTAATGTAGAGTTGACGAGGAACAAGGAATATGGTCAAACTTCTGGAAAATCTTATCACCGGATGCACACAAACCTCTGTAATCCGCTCAATTCGTCTGCCTGATGGGTTGACTTTTTATAATTCTTGTCTGAATCCGACTGGTAGTATCCTGGGATAATGATTTTTTTACAGGGGAGAAACCAATATCCACAGTCTTGTCTTGATCTTGTTACGACTCTAGCATTGACGAAGGGTTGACCTCCTTCAGGCAGACATGATCGTCAGTAATCCGGTCAATTCGTCTGCCTGAAGGGTTGACCTCCTGGGTCCTCTGTGGATATTGGTAATCCAGTGATATTGGTCAAACTTCTGTAATCCGGTCAATTCGTCTGCCTGAAGGGTTGACCTCCTGGGTCCTCTGTGCTTGACAGACATGAGAATCCAGAACATATCATTGCCTCTTTTGGAAAATCACGCCCTTCCCTTGGCTCTCACTGTATGTATGTCCGAACAAAACCAGGTTTCTGGGCTCCTCGGGAAGGAAAAAACCACGAGCTTGGGAACACTCCAAATCAAGAAATTTTGCCACTTTTGGAATTATCCCACCATGGGAAGAACAATATAAACAAAGAAATTACTACTTTTGGATGGTCTACTCTCTAGCCGTAATCTTTTTTGACCATCATCAACGATGTGCGGTTACTAAGATCTTTTATTTTCCTTTTTTTCTATTTTCTTTTTTTTCCCTCTCTGATGTGATATTTGTGGGATTCTGAGAAGTGGATGATGCGTGAATTTCTAGATTAAGAAAGAGATCAGAGTGCAGATAATCTCTGAATAATATATACGAATTTGGGTAGATCGGGTGAAGAAAGCTCTCTAGGAAAGGAAAGTATCATGTGAATGCAAGTGTTTGATCGGAGTATAAGCTTACTTTTCTTGCTTTTTGTTTCCCCAATCTATGAATTAGAAAGTATATCAGTCTTCTGACAGGCAGTGGAGTCTCTCTCTCTCTCTCTCTCTTTCTCTCTCTCTCTCTCTCTGAAGCATGAAGCATGGGACTGGGCTTGCCCAACCCCTCTATGCTCTTACCTGAGGGGTAGAGAGAGAGAGAGAGATAGGGCATATCCTTGCTGGGGCAAGTCAGACTCCACCTGGATCTGGGAGTCTCTGGAACCCAGAGCCCATTTTCTTCCAATGGGGATGACTGATGATCACTCACATGGCTCTCTCTCTCGCTCTCTCTCTCGCTCTCTCTCTCGCTCTCTCTCTCTCTCTCTCTCGCTAAGATTCATATCAACGGAACAGAATCCTACCCTATTTGGGCACATTTAAGTCAAATTTACGTGCATTATATGTCGCATTGGTCCTCTTGATTTTCTCAAGAAACAGGGTTCGGGTATTCCCCAAAATCTGTTCTTAAAAGAAGGTGCCAACGTGCTGGGCCTGGCAAGCCCGGCCCGAGCCCGAAAGTATTTTAAGACCCCTCCCGAAACGGGCTCCGGACCTGATCACAATGGGCTAGCTAAGGGAAGCTAAAGGAAGGTGCTTGAAAGAGAGAAAGAGAGAGAGAGAGAGAGAGAGAGAGAGGGTTTGACCAAGGTAGACTTTCCTGATTGAAAATACGCCATAAGTAGGCATTAATTGCAGCCTCGTTCCTCCAAGCTAACCAGAACTTTCCAAAATCATAAGTCAACCCAACGATAAAATATTAAAAAATAGATAATTAAACATATATTACTCACTCGAGGCAAACCCGGTTACGATCCCCGAATCTCTCAGGCCCACAGCGATTCGGGAATCTAAAATGCCGGAGGAATCGAAATAATTCTCTGGGGAGAAAATGAAGGGAGAAATCAAAATTTTCGGCCGATCCAAGCAGCCTGACGAGAAGAACTTCCCGTGTTTTCTGGTCCCTACAACAGTTGACCAAACCAGTCGTTGACTATTCTCCATTGCCCATAATCTGTTCATATCTTTGCGGGCATTGAAAAGAGCACATCAGAAACAGCCAATTTCTCCGCAGTCTGAAGGCAGGAAGAGAAATTCCCGCATGTCTTGCTACCGGTTGACCGCCCACCATGGATGGCTCCGTTGACTTTCATTGCAGAGAGTGGAGAAGAAGAATCTATATCCTGCTCTGAAGCTGTCATCATCCTCCAGAAGCTTGGATTGCAAGGCCTACTACTACAGGCACAGAGAAATACCAACAGTTGACGTAATGCCGAGTGAAGAATCTAAGTTTGGAATTATTTCCCAGAAAAGAGGGTGCCCATCTGACTATGATGGCAGACATGGACGGCTCCGTTGACTTTCATCGCAGAGAGTGGAGAAGAAGAATCTATATCCTGTTCTGAAGCTGTCATCGTCCACCACAAGCTTGGATTGCCAGGCCTACTATTACAAGCACGGAGAAATACCAACAGTTGACTTAATGCCGAGTAAAGAACCTATATTCGGAATCATTTCCCAGAAAAGAAGGTGCCCATCTGACTATGATGGCAGAAGAGCAACAGCCCCAGACACCAGAGCACCATATAATGACTAACAGTCCAGGTGGTTCTAGAGACCCTGCACAAAGACCCATTTCCTCAATCAGATGAGTCAAAGCTGTGATGGTCAACGGGGAATGATGCAGACTTCCAGGTCAACGGACAGCACAGGAACATGAAAGAGATGATGCTTTGCATGGATACCAAATAAAGGGAAATGTAGGTTTACATCAAGCAGCAAGGGATTGAGGGATTCAGGATTTTCCCCTCCATTTAGTTTCCGTTTTAAATCATTTAATGGTTGAAAAATAGACTAAACGTAGACGGCAAAACACAGAATTTTAATTTCTCTCTCTTTTTTTTAGGAGGGTGAGTGGGGGTTGACTCCATAACCAAATGCTTCGATCAGGCTGTATACGATACCTGAACAAATTCGGACAACCAAATGAAAGGATTTTTCATATTTTCTGAGAAAGATCCTAAAGGATGCAACTTTAGCAACAAATAATACCTTCTCAGCCTGCAAGATCTCATATGAAGCATTGACTGAAGACAAAGTGTTGATTAACAACCTATGATGGGCATATAGCAATATATCTCTGTGTATGTGTATATGAGTATCTCAGCATATTGATAGCGGTGAATTGGACTAAAAGCTCTTCTGAACCAACTAAAAACCCATGAGACCGAAGATTACATAACAAAATGAAAAACAACAAGTTTAAAAAGATGGCTAAGATCAACAGTGTTGAATGCATAATACATAACTAGAATGCAACACTGGGCACATGGCCATCAATGTGGTAAGAGAAAAAGGGAAAAAGCGACATAGAAGCTGCAAATAGAAGCCAAAGGCATAGTTTCTGTTCAAGAAGAAAGCAAACCTCACTGTACTTGAAATGGCATCACTGGCAGTGTGCTTTCAGTGAGTAGCTAAATAATTCCTCGTCTGAGACACAAATACAAAAGGAGCTGATGAAAATCGCAGAAGCTTGATCTGCCAGAAGAAAGAGACAGAACGCCCAACCAAGAACCAACAGAAATGAATAATGCATAGTTACCCTAGAATCATGCGGTTGGTGTACGAATTCAGCCAAGGAACATTCAAAAAAATATTGAATCACAAGAAAAAGGGCTTCTGAGAAGCTGAGACAGTAAAGCTTAAGAGCGCGTCACCAACTTCTCAGTATTTTATCATCTTCTCTCATACTTCTTAGCAAAATCATTAAGGAGTAAAGTCTGTCTAAATGCCAAATATTTGTCTAAACTTGTTCCAGCCCATTGCTGACAAAAGGACTCGTCTGTGGGAACCAAAGAACTAAGAGGGAATGGCCCCTTCGGAGCCTTCTTCAGGGAGACAAGAAATCTGTGGCGAGGACGTATTCTCTGATCCAGAGACAAGCTCAAATACATGGGATACTTGGTTAAGGACTTCACTTCATTGCGAAGTTCATTAACCAGGTATAGATACTTCGGCTTCAGGTTCCCCTCCAATGATAAGGATAGCACCTGCAAAAAACACCAGGTTAAGAGAAAAAATACATGAAAAGGCCAAAAAAATTAAGTAGGGAGAAAAAACACAACCTGAGTGAGACTTGTCAATACTTTCACGATTTCAGAATTACGCATCCCAATGCTCCTTAGAAAATTTATTCTTGGTAGTATTCCATCCTCGATGCTATAGTGGAGGAGCTGAGGATGTTTCCTGACCATCTTTACAATACTATCTCTTGGTGCCCCTAATTCTTTGGAAAGAAAGTTGAGGCGCAGGTTCCATGAATTTTCAATGCGCTGAACCAGAATCTGCGGGCTTAGCTGCACCACTTTGCTCACGTCACTTCTCCTAATACCAACTTCTTCCACCAAATATCTGATCGTCGGCTTCAATGATTGCTCAACATTATACGAAAATAAAGATGGAGCAGCAGTAATTATATGCCCTATTCGTGAATCAGGAACCCCTAAACTTTCCAGGAAAGCAACATGAACCTTAAGATTGTTCTCCACAGTGTACTCCAAAATTTGTGGCTGTCTGAGAAGTATCTTTCTTATGTCTCTATGTTTGACGCCAACACTCATCAAGTACTCCAATCTTTCCTTGGCAGATGCCACGTTCATCTGGAGGCAAGGCATGTGCCTTTCGTAGATGGAAATAATGTGTGATTCCTTAATGCCAAACGTGCTTAGATACTCAATGAGTGGGAACCATCTGACATCAAAATCTAGCTCATCTCTTAATTTTGATAAAGTAATTTTTGAAGCCTTTGCATTCCTCTCCTGTATTCACCAGTGAAAAAGAAACAAAGACTGTTGACGAATTCTATAGTCAGAAAAATAATTTAAATATAAATAGAACTAGTTGTCGATAAAATACCTTTTCTCCCATGCCCCCGTCCATGTAACTGCTTACATCCATTGTATCCTTGGAGTCGTTGCCAAGTTTCAAACTTTCTTTAGTCAATAAGCGTCTTTCTTCTTGTTCTTTTCTAAATAATTTCTTATGAACTGCATCAAATTTAGCAAATTACAAAGTCAATGAATTGCTTGTCACTTAAAATATTTAGGAGTCTAGAGTCGGTTTGGTTATTTTTTTATCACCAGAAGGGATACCTGAGTTTCCACCACGTTGATTTATCATATAGGCACTAAACTGCTTCCGATCAGAACGTCGGCCACCCTGAGAAACTTTTGTATCTGAGGATTCATCCTGTGAGATATGAATATCAACGTGTGTTCAAAATCAACAAAAGTAAGTATACCGATTGGCAATAACAACAAATTTGAAAGCAGAAAGATTGGTGCCAAAAAGATCACATAAAGCTATCCACGCCAACCCAAAGGCTATGGAGGATGAAATGAAGCTTGGTCTACGTACTGACAGAGCTCATATTTGTGTCTACTTTAATAAAGCATTTAAATGCAGATTCACCTTCGTATTACTGGCGGACATAAATCCAATCTGCCCCGTGTGGAATGGAGAAAGTATTTTCCATCCCACCCAATTAGTTCTTCATAACTGGAAGCCAATCAGCTGACCATCAAGTAACGGAGACTTTTGTTCTTCACTTCTATCACCCACCCGTTATTTCCATTAAAGAATCTCAAACGACTTTTGCATTAGCTGCCGGATGGCAATCAAAAGTAATTATCACCAATTGCATATCTAGATAACCTAGCGCCCTTTTTTCTTTTATGATATTTTTCGGCATCCAAATTTCATTAGGCTAAAAAAATTGATCATAAAGATGAATTTCGAAGAACTCGAAGTACACAGATTGAGAGGCTCTCAGATATTAAGGTAGACTATGGCGCTGAAGACAACACGTAAGGTTCAGAGTTACAGTCATTTACTGCCATGCGGACATCAACAGAGACATCCAGTTGGTTCAGAAATCATGTTCAACAGAAAATTCCCGTTACACAGTAACTGCGCTCGAGTAATAGCCGTAATTTAGTTTCGAATGCGCAAACTAAAGGCAGCGAACAAAAATTCTTCTATTTTTCACCAACCGAACGTAATAAACACTCAGGCGACTTCCTAGAATGCGGCAAAAAATTAGGGAGACTCACGTCCGAGGAGTACTCTGAATCCGTTTCCTCTTCCTCGTCCTCTTCTTCATCTTCCCCCTCCTCGTCATCATCGTCTTCTTCTCCGTAAGCAGACGCGCGGCGGCGGTACGGCAACACGCGGGTGGACTTGACGATGTTGGGATTGGAATGGGAGGAGGAGGAGGAGGAGGAGACTGCGGACCCGACGACGCTCCCACGTCTTCCACTGCTCTGCGAGGCGCCGACGGCTACCAGTCGACCCGAAACAGGGGGAAGAGGAGAGCTGAGGTGAGGCGGAGCGAGGGGAGGACGGAGGGAGGCCGCCGGATTACAGCAGACGTACAGAGCCTCCATCTGCTTCCTCCACTCTCGGGATAACGGGCGCGAGCTTCTGACGGAAATATCTCCTCTTCTTCAGCACTCCTATATAACACAACATTTTTTTTTCCAGATTTTTCATAATTTTGATTGAATATTTATTTTCTGTACACGTCAATCCAAAATTATTAAACCAAAAATATATTTTTTAATATATATTATCCGGTACATCAAAGCAAAAACATATTTTTTAATATTTTTAAATGTAATATTTTGAAAACGGAAAATAAGTCAGTAGAATTGGCAATATTATAATTACAATATATGTTTACATTAATGAATATTATCTTTTTTATTGAGTTGAAAAACACAATAATCCAGAACCGTATTAATCAAAATAATTTTCATGCAAATAAATGGATGTAATCAGTTTATATTCGTTTAATTAAATATAATTAGATAATATGAGAAAATAATATAAATATTCGTTTAAATAAATGAATATAAATATTCTATAATCGATTTCCAATCGGAGCACAATAATTATGTTATCCATGTACATAAATAGAATATTATCACTTTATATTAATTTATGGATCGAACTAAATCACAGAACTATAATAGTTTTGTTACTTAAATAAATAAAATTTATGACTTTACATTCACTCGCCAATCACAACAAAAAAAAAAGATTTTCATTTACACCAAAAAGCGAAACCCATCAAACAAAATTATTGAGAAAATCTACTCAGAAAATAAGGAAAATCCCTTGGAACACGAAGGGCACAGCGGCTTCCATGGATCGAGGACTTCACACCATAATCTGGGAACCAGCTGTTCTTCTAAAATCAGCACGTGCCGCCAAAAAATTTACTAAATTAGGTCACTTTTGTTACATATTTTTGGGGCTTAAGGTGGGGAGAACTGCTGTTCATAGCATGAGCAGCTCTGAATCCATTCCATTCCAAAAGCAGAATCCATTCCAGAAGCCACTCCCAGCTCATTCTGCAGAGTCGGGTGTTCTTCATTCTTTCCTCTCCTGAAGAGGGTTTCTCGGATTCAGAAGGGAGGAACTGGCCCAACCAGGAGAGAGCATACTCGAAACTGATCTGAGGAAGGGAGGATGCCGCGAGAATGGATTCTAAGAATGAACTCCAAAAGCATCAGCCTCCGACAGATTCAAAGAAACAGGGGTCAGGTAGGTCAGGTGCTCTCCGATGAGCTGTGGCTGGTCTTGCTCACAATTCCCTTCCCAAAGTAGTCCGCTATGACAGAGAACCCATCCTTTGAGTTCTTGATTTTCTGGGAAAATTTATCATAATCCTTGGCATTCTGCTCCAGGTTCTTCCTCGTTTCTTGGACGGATCTATATTCAGGGGCACACCGCAGGCATTCCTGTTCATTGTCCCCGAGGCAGTGCAGGTGGAACGAGTGCATGCACATGAAGTGCACCGCAGGGAGATCAAGGGTGGAGCCACAGTTGGCACACTTGCTGATCTGGAAGATCCTGGCGTTTGTTCTGAGATCTTGAATCTCTTTCTTCATACCTTCGGTGTCCTCCTGCGTGGGGGGATAACGAAGTAGAGATCCAATATTATTATACAGGAGACGAAAGAAAGTGGGAAATCAGGGTTCTCCAAGAAAATTCATGTTCATGTTCATGTTCATGTTCATGTTCATGTTCATGTTCATGTTCATGTTTCATGTTCACGTTCATGTTCATGTTCATGTTCATGTTCATGTTCATATATGTTAACTCTACCCACCCACTGCCGGTAGAATTAATGTGCATATGTACATATATGAGGAACAGGCATTGTCTTAATCTCAAATTATTTGATAACTATTGAAGCCAAGAAATATTTAGAAATAAGATAAACACAAAACGAGTACATGTATTTATTCTCATTAATACCCCTATCAACTGAAACATGTAAAACATATCTCAAGATCTCCATGGAGCAGCTGATTTCTGATTTCAGAAGACTTATGGTGTGGATGTTCAATGCAAACACTTGTTTTCTGGAGTGTGCCACAAATCATTGAGACTAACTGAAGGTGTATCTTTTGGGAAAGAAAGGTCTTGAGCAGACTTGGCAGGAATACTCTCTTGAGGTTGACCACATATTCTGACTTATCCCTTTGTCACTTATATCATGGTGTTAATCACTCTTAAATAAAGGTGCGGAGGAGTGATGGGCAACCTTTAGGCTAGATGTTGCTCATGTGAATGGATTCCCCAGCAGTGAATTAACAGAGGAAACTAAGAAAAAAGAAATCATGTCCGTATATATATATAAAATCAAAAATACTTCAATGACTTATTAATCAGATGGTCAATACAAAAACTAAGGTGAATTTGGTTTCCAAGAAAGGACTTCCTCCATGTAAAGCAGATGGTGGTCAGGGTTCATCAAGGTCAACTTTTCTCATCCACACATCATGGAACATTTCATTCACAGCATAGAACGATCTAACCCATATTAATGGAAACATTTACTTTTTCTCTGAATTTTTCCTTTGTTAACTTCTTCCACGCTGTCTTTGATATGGTACATTCAAATTGGTGTTCTAGTACAAAGCTTCCCTTTTGGGCAAAAACTGCGAACCTGCCATTAAGTTATATTCTGGTACGCTAGAAAACGAAATAAGAGAGAAACAGAGATCTTCAGGGAATGCATGATTTAAAGTGGAAAGAGAAAAATACACGAGGTGCTGACCTGAGATTTCACAATAGATTGTCGGTCATCTTCGATTAATTTTGACTCGTGCTCAAGTTTTCGAGCAATATAATCCTTCACCACAGAAAGTGTTAAGCGATGGTTTCTAGCCAGTGTTTGGAGGACAACAATAGGGGGTAAGATGTCATCCTTCTCAATATAAGTCAAGACCTCCTTTATCTCCTTAGAGCAATCATCATCATCAACCTCAGCAAAATACTTCAGGAGTTCAACCCAAAGAGAAGGATCCCCTCCCTTGGTAGAGTCACCTAGCCTCTTGCAACAAGCAATCAGCCCTTCACGGTCACCTTCCTGCATGTAGCAAGTAATTACCTCTTTGTAAAGCTTCAATTTCTCATACAAAAACCGCAAACCTTCTTGCAGAGCATTCATCTCGCAGAGAATGACCGCAAGATCGACATCATACAAAGGCTGGTCCAAGTCAGGGGTCCATGCATTCTTCAGCAGACTTATTCCTTTCCTATGTCTTTCTAGTCGATCCCTTTCTTCAGCATCATCTACCTTCAAAATATTTTTATTCTTGCCACCCTTTGTGGACCCATTTGCCACTCCACTTCTCTCAATAGGGTTATGATTCTCACTGCCGTTTTCTTGATATGTTAGCAGAAAAATCAGGTTATTGGAAAGATATAACTCTAACAGGATATTATTGATTTCAACCTGAGATGGTGAATCCTTCACATCGCTGGAACACTTTTCCAGAAAAGTCATGAGAGCTAGAGGGCTATGCACGAAAATATTCACAAAATCCAGAGGGGAAGAAACAACAGGTATTTGCAAGCCATTTGAGTTTCTGGTTGGAGAAGTTCCTTCACCGGTGCAAAACCTCACCAACAATTCAATTGTCTCAGCTGACTTGTGTTCCACGAGTATCTTACCATACTCTTTTATAGTAACCCTAGCCTGGCTGGGTTCGAGGCCTGAAATATATTGTAATGCTTCATCAAATCTACCCAGATCTTCAAGTAAGATCTTCAAATATAACTCATGTTTACCGGACCTCTTTGCAACATACATAGCATGCTCATGATAACCAGCAGTCCGGCATACTCGTATGGCAGTCTCCACATCGAACTTGTGTTCCCCAACGCTATCGTCACCTTTGATGAACTTATTTAGCTTTTTCACATCTTTTAACTTCGTGTAACAGTTCAGAAGAAGTGTAGTGTGGTCTTTAGAAGCCAAATCTTTCTCATGTAAATTCTCCAAATAATTTGTCAGGTTGTGGATACGTTGTGCATCAAGAAATTTCTGAATAACATACGAAGGTTCAAGATGCCCAATTGTTTGGATGTACTGAGTCATAGCTTCATCAAATTCCTGCTTCCCATACAAATGATCACCATATTTCCGAAGAACTTCAGCTGTGGCTGCAGCATCAGCTTGCTGACTTTGAACTAGATTTACAGCAACAGTGTATAAGTTCTTCTTGAAAAGCATATCTAGTTTACTTTCCATGTCCTTTTCTCCAATACATACAATCTTTTTGTCACTCATTATAAGAATTATGTTACCCCATTCACTGATCATATGTGAAACATCCCCAACAACCACGCTGTGTGCAATTAATCGGCTCTTAAGATCATAGACATTGAATGTGTCCTTACCGCTCCTTTGGTCTGATATGACACACAACAGGTAGCTGCGAAACCAACCAAGAAACTTTTTCTCCCCCTCAAAGGCCCAACATGGACCTCTACCATCAGCTTCATAAAAGTAGACAGCTTCAGGGCGGCCAATTATTAAATCCTGATTTATGGACCAAAAAAATCATGGATCAACATTTTTATAAGCATATACAGCATTCGAAACGCAATAGTATATATAAAAAAAAAAGATATGTAAAATTCTTGTACCAGGCGATCACTCATTGCAACACCATTGACATCACATCCAATATGATCTAGGGTCTGTCTTTTGGGTGGCTGTTCCTGCATGTTGAACAAGCTTACAGAAAAGGGTGTCACAGCAAATAGCTGGAGAGCTTTTCCGTCAACACAAAACCCAAGACCTGTAATTGAACAGGGAGATTTATCTGAAGTTGCCTCCACCAGCAGCTTAAAACGTGTGATACGCTCACGTGCGATATCTCCTCTGATGCAATAAATGGAACCATTGTCTAAACCTATGGAGATCAATAAAACTGGCGAGACCTCTTCAAGAACCAAAAATGACGTTATCTGCAGGAAAAATAAAAAAAAGAAGCATTTTATCTTTGCTGAGGAAACATAGAAATAAGTTATGGAACCACTGCTGGCGCTAGGGCGGCCGTACCTTTGCTTCGGGAAATTGGTTAGTAAATATACGTAATATCTGGATGCAAATAGGAGTGGTCGTACTTGAACCCACTGGCTCCATCTTGTCGAGGTCAAAAACCTTAAGGCAGACAGGAGACGCCTGGGGAGATGCTTGTTCATCTTCTCCAACAGTCACTAAAAAATTTCGTTGCTGGTTTGGGTGAAGAAAGAGAAGAGTGTTATCAGTCCCAAACGGTAACAGAAAAGAAAAGCAGATAATTCGCAGAATTTCTTTTACTCCATACAAATCACTGTATTGTTGCTTCGGGCTGTGTTAATCTAATAACCACCCGATATCCCAACTGGCGATGAAACATCAAAGATATAATGGAGGGGTGCCTATAAGTGACCTTTGTAAATGGAAAATACAATGTCACACTCAAATCCCCAAGCATCTGTTTAGTCACTCTGGATGGGAATCGTCAACGATCAGGTATAATATCATCAAGCTAATTCTACGTCAATAATAAGGCCGCCTCAGTGTATCAAACCTTTGGTGCATCTCATCTCTGCTTCATTATTCCCACTGATCGAAGCTAATGCATGGATTGATCGTATTTGGGATGCCGGCTAAGATTCATTGGAAAATCCGTCACTACAAGACTACAATCTTTCATGATTTCACAGGGGGGATCACGACACAACGTTCTCGATTGGTGGGCACGGCGTAGCCAAAATTAAAAGAGAGAATCATAAGAAACGCACCTTCAGTTGTTGAAGGAACAGGACGGAGGAGGCGTGGGCCTGGAACGCGTAAGAGAGCTTGAAGTTGCGGTCAACGAGTCCCACCGTGCCATCGTCGCACCCGACAGCTATCCTTCCCCGCCCGCTCGAGCAGCACTGTACCCTCCCCTCGATCTCCGCCGGAATCGAGCACTTCCCGGCGGACTTCTCCTCGAAGAACTCGAACTTCCTCAACTGGTACATCTCCTCCGCATCAGATGTCAACGATTAGAGGCAAAGAAGGAAACACCCGTCCACGGCGGCGCCGGGATTCCTGCCGTCGCCGGCTGAAGAGAAGAGGAAGAGGACGAGGAGGACGAGGAGGGATTTCGCCTCCTTCGATCGCCCTAGCAAAGGAACGGCCGAGTGCAGCTCAGTCGACGGAGATGGAGACCTGCCGAGAAGATTCCCGCTCGGCGCTGATAATAATGAAGGAGGGCTCTTTCGCAGGCGACGAGATCGGTGGAAATATTCCGGCTTTTCCTACAGGATTACTAAACTCTTCGATCCAAACGAATTCTTTGCCTCCACTCCGAAATCCGGTTTCGCCCGTGCGTCAGAAATTTAAAAATAAAATATTCTCTATAATAAGTAAATAAGTCCCATAAGTACTTCAAAAATTACGTAAATCACCCTCATTCCTTAAATATCACTAATAACTATCACTAAACTCTCTAATAGGAAGATTTTTCATCACTTAGCTAGTCACTTGTCACACTTATAAATAATTTAGAATTAATTATCTGCCTCAAGTAGAATAAAGAAATAAAGAGAGTGCATTAATATTTTATTAAATAAAAAAAATTATGGGTGTATGCCATGTTCTACATATTCATGGTGAATAAACTAATTTCATGACACAAAAAAGTATATAATTACTATGGTTTCTCACCCTTTAATTGCTCTATTATTATAAGGATGATATCCTTATAATTCATTAACTCAAAGTCTTTTTGCAAGGCATCAACTTACAAATCATATAGATTCACATCTCTATGAGGAGTAATTATCGTCTTATTTTTTCAAAAAAAACATCTTACCTAGGTCCTTGGATATTTGAATATAAAGCAGATAAATAAGTTATCTAGTAGTTTGACCTTGTTTGAATAGTGAATTTAGAAGGAAAAAAATAGGTTTTATAATTTGACCTATTGAGACTTGTGAATCGAGAAGATAATTTCAATGTGAAATCATAAATTAGTTGAAGCTTATACATATAGCTAAAACTATTGGAGTTTTAGGTAACTTTATGCTTCATTAAAAAGTTAGTGGAATATGAGAACATGATCATTAGATAATTGAGCAGGTTAGGTAGTCAAAACCATTACAAATTGTGTGAGCAAATTATTTGAACAAGATTCTATCTAAATATCATATGAAATTGGGATGGAAACTAATTCACCCCTCCCCATTTGTATCGTGTTGTTGTATAAATTTAAATGATATATGCTTTTTTTAATTATTATTATTCTATTTATACTTTTTTATTATAAATTAAACACCATTTTGCAGAAAACACTTACTCCTTAAGTCAACTCCCTCACTAAGACAAGAAAAGGATATAAACCCATATTTTCAAACCTAAATATTTTTTTACATAAATTATGGTTCTAATAGCCCACATCATCTAGATAATAGAAAATTACCAATATATCTCTTAAGTTAAAAGTCATATACATAGGGTGATTAAAACATAAGATATTCATTTCCCCCCCCTCTATTTATGATATTTTCTTAAAGACCTAGTTGTTGCCCCCCCATTAGTGAGCCAAGACCAAAAGGACACTCCTTACGAACTCCTATAAGTATTCCAAGTGTTTAGGATATAGAAGACAAGGGCTTAAGGAGAGGGGTGTGATTAAGAAGATATTAATCATATATTATTTCATAAGTAAGAACATATTTATTTAGACAAAACAATTAAATGCATTGGTCTATTATAGGTTTTAATAAATAGATAATAATAACTATATTATGCCTATTATTATACCAAAGTTTGATACATTTACACTTCCCATTAATCTTCATGCACCTCAATTGAATTTGGCATTAGCACACTGTTTTCACAATATTTCAAAAAAGGATCAGATTTTAATAAGGGTTGTATTTAATAATTTTTATATTTTCCATTTTTTAAAAATCAAGAAAAAAACATACATAATGAATGGCATTCTCGTTTTATAATGTTGATAAAAAGAATAAAATATTTACATTTTTGAAGGTCCTATTACATTAACAAAGGGATTAATGTATTTTTATTTTAATCTCATTGTTGACTTCATAAACTTTATATGATTGAATGTGTTAGAAATTAGGGTATCAAGTCATCAATTCTAAGCCTAAGGAAAGGATCGATGGGTGCTTTTCTTAGAGATGGGCTGAAAACTTGGGCTCTTCCCCTATCTTCTTCATCATCTTCTCATCTTCTCCTCTTTTTGAAGTTGGCATGGGAGTCTTTTCAATTGAGATCTTGCAACAAATGGGAGAACTCAAACATCTTCCTATGTGCAGCTAGGGCTCCAATGAGAACATTTTGTCAATAGATGTTGCTCTCAATGGTCACTCTATGGGAGCAATAGATTGTCATTTCAATGGTGAGGAGGGGAACTTCAAGAGCACTTGGTAGTACTAAATTTTGGGGTATGTTGATAATTCACAATATTTTTGTTTGTGATGGCCTACAAGAATTATGTAAATGCACAAGGAGGGAGCTTTGGAGCCCTTGGATTTCTCTATATTGATTGTCAATCAATATGTATATCTTTTTTCCACTTTATGTTAATTATTTTTTGCATCTAGCATGTTTTGCATTTGAAATTATTGTGGGCTTCAAAGTGTGGAGGTTGTTCCAACTCCTTTGATACCAATGAAAATTGCAGTGATCAAATATTTTCCATATTACATTCCAAACTACTCGTTATAACGTTGGTTTCCAATTGATGTTAAATTGGGTGAAAGAATTGAAGTACTCATAGAGTGGTGTGAAGAACAGCCCCTTTCTTTGTTCTGAAGTACTCAAATGGATATCAATAGTAGAGTTTCTCTCTCTCTCTCTCTCTCTCTCCCTAGTTTTTCTCCAACCCCCTTCCTTTTTCTATATTGTGCTTATATGCTTGTTATATATAAGTTTGATCTTATATTCTTGATAAACCTTTTCCTATTCAAAACATATCCAAATCGTAATGGGGCTGACTGGAGAGAGAGAGAGGAGGAGTGGATTGGGCATGTGACTGGTGGGCTGTCCGTGGCTGACTCAGATGGGCCGTTATGTATAAGGTCGACAGTGTGTCAGCCCATCAAGGTTGCAGATATTATCTTTTGGACAGAAGGCCCAATTAACTGCGCCCAGAAACAGTGGTGGTGGATCCCACATTCTGGGAAACCACAGAATCTGCCACCTGTTCAACGGCAAGCCATTGAAATTGGCTCGACCAATCACCTTCGAGTTTCGGATACGGCGTTTCCCAAGGGCCAATGACCTTCTGCACACGTGGCGATCTCCTCATCCACATCTTGTCCTCCTCCCCACAGCGGCCACTATTAAATACCTTCGTCTTCAGAAGTCTCAGGCACGACCCTCGCCCTCTCTCTAAGATACAACCCCGAGCGGAAGGAGAGCAGCCGCCGAGCAGATCCCAATGGCCGCCTCCGCCATCCAGCGCTCCGCTTTCGCCGGCCAGACCGCCCTGAAGCAGAGGGACGAGCTCGTCCGCAAGGTCGGCGTCTCTGATGGCCGTATCACCATGCGCCGCACTGTCAAGAGCACTCCCCAGAGCATCTGGTGAGCATCTTTCGATCTGGATCTGTTAGGGTTTACAGTTGCCTGTTCTTCGCGATACAGTCGGATCCTGGCTTTCGTCGTCTCTGATTCTGATATGTTAGAGTTTAGGCTATCTGTTCTTCGTGATTTAACCGGATTCTGGCCATCTTCGTCTTCTTCTTCTTCTCCTTCGATCTCGATCCGTTAGGGTTTACGGTTGCCTGTTCATCGTGATATAGTCGGATCCCGGCTATCGTCTTCTCTGATTCGAATACATTATGGTTTACGGCTACTTGTTCTTCGTGATTTAGCCGGATCGTGGCCATCCTCTTCTTCTTCTTCTTCTTCTTCTCCTTCGATCTCGATCTGTTAGGGTTTACGGTCGCCTGTTCTTCGCCATATAGTCTCATCCCGGCTATCTTCTTCTTCTTCTCTTCGTCTCCTCCGATCCCAATCTATCAGGGTTTGTTCTTCGTGGTTTAACCAGATCGGATGATTAACTAATGATTCAGGTACGGGCCGGACCGCCCCAAGTACCTGGGCCCCTTCTCGGAGCAGACCCCCTCATACCTGACCGGCGAGTTCCCCGGCGACTACGGGTGGGACACCGCGGGGCTCTCCGCGGACCCGGAGACCTTCGCCAAGAACCGGGAGCTTGAGGTGATCCACAGCCGGTGGGCCATGCTCGGCGCCCTCGGCTGTGTCTTCCCGGAGATCCTCTCCAAGAACGGCGTCAAGTTCGGCGAGGCCGTCTGGTTCAAGGCCGGAGCCCAGATCTTCTCCGAGGGCGGCCTCGACTACCTCGGCAACCCCAACCTGGTCCACGCGCAGAGCATCCTCGCCATCTGGGCCGTGCAGGTGGTGCTCATGGGCTTCATCGAGGGCTACCGCGTCGGCGGCGGGCCCCTCGGTGAGGGCCTCGACCCGCTCTACCCCGGCGGTGCCTTCGACCCGCTCGGCCTCGCCGACGACCCCGAGGCCTTCGCAGAGCTCAAGGTCAAGGAGCTCAAGAATGGGCGCCTCGCCATGTTCTCCATGTTCGGCTTCTTCGTCCAGGCCATCGTCACCGGCAAGGGCCCTATCGAGAACCTCTCCGACCACATCGCCGACCCTGTCGCCAACAACGCCTGGGCCTACGCCACCAACTTCGTCCCCGGCAAGTAAACACTGCCGCCTCTTCCTCCTCCTCCCCCTTCGTCTTCCTCCATCGCCATCTCTCTGTATCTCCCATCTTAATATCTCCTCTCCTCTCCTCTCCTCTCCCTGTGTAACACTACGATGATCCAAAGACGACTTGTTTACCCCCCATGTCTTCATATCTTCTCCACCCGTCCGAAGAGGGGAGAGAAACGTAGAGAGATGTCGAGGCACGCGGGCGGAGATAGGACGGCCACGTGCAAGGATAATAGCCTACCTGGCGGTGACTGAGATGGGCCCAGCCTACTTACCTCTCGTTGCTTACTGTAGGGCAGTAAATGGCCAAGAACTTCCAAAACCCTGCAAACCAGAGATCGAGATATCAAAACCTGCGATTTTCCATCAAATTTGACAAGACCGATTCGAGAACATGATCATAGAAACCTGATTCGCCCGTCTAGAGATTAGAAAAACCAGGGGGTTGAAGAACGAGTTCTGAATCGTCTTCTTCCTCCTACTTCATCAGGTCATAATCGGCTTCGAAACTGCAAGTATAGGATCAGGGAGACCTCGGATTATCGTCCTTTGAGATAAATCAAGAGACTACCTGATCTTTGTAATAGATTAATTCGGGGTCCATTAACCAGCCCATAGTCGTCTTCCTCCTCCTCGATCGGGCCACAACGAGCTTTGAATCTCCCAGCACAGGATCAGAGAGACCTTTAATTCTGTAGAGGGACGGGCTTTGTCGGGAACGGAGAATCAAGCGAGGAAGGACGGTGCCGCAGGAGTGCCGGCCTGCTCGCCCCTCCCCGACAACAGTGTGAGGACAGAAGAGGAAAGTGACGAAAGAGGAAGGAAGAGGGGAAGAGGGGAAGGCAACAAAGAGGGAGGCGCGGTTTCTCTCTGCTCCCATCTCCATCGTCAGAGGGATGTCGTCAGACGGAGGAGTTTATCCCGTTACCGCCGGCCCCTGCTCAGAAACCCCAGGTCAGCCGCCACCATCTCCACTGCAAAGGATAAGCAAATACCAGGTCAGAAGAAGAAACCGAAGCAGATCGAGACACACCAAATAGCAGGGAGGGAAAAACGCCGAGCCTCCGCCCCTCTGCCCGACCGCCGGTAAGCTCCAAGGAGGAAGGAGACAAGAGGGACTTCCTCCTGTAAATGCTGCCGTTCGTCTCTGGTTGGAGCTTCTCCCCGCCATTATTCCTCCGAGTTGAAAGCTTCCTCCTCAAGAGCCGCCTTCTCCTTGGACTCTCCGATTCTCTCCTCTCCTTGGCACCATCCACCGTCGACGGGATGAAGGAGCAGCAACAGCAAACCGATCGGCCGCTAGAAGACGACGCATGTTCGCTATACATACCGTCGATCCCAACCTGCACCTCTCCTAACCAGGAGAAACAGATCCAGCTCTCAGCCGCCCCGAGCTACCGGATAATCATGAGGAAACAGAGAGGCGGCGACCCCGCCAGCGTCGCCAACTCTTCCATCGCTCTCCTCCAGGAGAGATTCCGGCAGTTGCAGAAGGAAAAGGAGATGAGAGAGGGGAGAGAGAACCACCGGAGCACCGGAGTTCGTCAACACCACCACAATCACCACCACCACCACCAAGCGGCGCCGTCTCCCCGGTGGTTCTCCCTGCCGGATCTGGTCCATCCCTCGAGGCCTCTACATGCTCCGGCCTTCCTCCACCACCAGCCCGGCGTAGACCGCGACGGCGCTCCCTCCCTCCCGGCGGACTCCTCATGGCCGGAGAACTCCGCCATCCGCTCCAATGGCGACGACGATGACGTCGTGGATACCTCCCTTCACCTGTAATTTATTCGAGACGAAAGACTTCAGAACAAGTCTCTCTCTCGCTTCTCTCTCTGCAGTATCTATAAAGAGCGTAGCAGAGCTGTTTGGTTGGGATTTCCGCTTTTCCCATTTCGACATAGTGTTTGGATTAACGGAAAGTACCTAGTTTTCCAGTTATTATTTTGAACGTGTAGGGGATCTCGAAAGTAGTAACTTCTTTAACCAGAGCAAAACTTACCATATTATTCGTTTTTTTCTTTTTTTTGTGATCTCCAGGGAAGCGGTCCACAGTGTTGACCTGAGATGGTCAGCGGGTATAAACGAGCCGCCATATGCTTGCTCATAGAAGTCAACGGCTTGCAACTTTCATTAGGTTGGCACCTTGAAACGCCATGGAATAGATAGAAATAAAAAAAAAGGCAGGCTATCTTGTTAATTTTTAAAAGAAAAATCTTCGTTGGTATTTTTCACTTAGAGCAGTCTTCGACGCCCGAAAGTAAAATAATACCACTTCTTTCTTGAATTTAAGAAGAAACCCACACTGAGTTGATCTTCCACCTCCTAAAAAAACCAACTTTATAAAACATGTCCATAATGGTCAACGCCTTATCTTTCCTGGGTTTTTCGTCAAAAGAGCCATGAGTTGGGAAAATAGGAAAATAAATAAATATGTATTTTAAATGGTTGTCTAGTTGGTACGTATTCTGATTGCGGATTAAGGTGTTCAGAAATTTTAAAATGACACTTTTGCCCTCCAAAGAAAAAAATATCTTTAACACTCTCCACTAAATCCTAACGTGCTTCTCTGCCTGATGCGTGGGATTGCGTGGGAGATCCGAACGGATGAGAAATATGACGTCATTTTAATTATGTTAATAGAAGTAAAACCAGCCCTAATTAGTTTGCTTTTAATGTATTTACTAAATTTGGGTTGAAAATGATGTCATCGTGATGGGAGTTGTGGTAACCGTTCCATCTGATGACACGTATAAGGCTCAAGAATCTTACTAGTGTTGGAGGTCCGCTTGGAAGCGCTTCCTGTCGTCTCGATTCCTGAAGCGCTTTCGAGCTCCGTCTTCGAGAAGAGGGGTTCTCCTGTCCCCGCCGTCTCCGGAGAATAGGAGAGGCAGTCCTTTTCGCGGGCGGCGAGAAGGGAGGAGGGGTCGTCGCCGGCCGCCGCGCCATTCATGCGGAGGGATCCTGGCAGAGCTTCCGGGATGGTCCACTGAAGTGGTTCTTGAGATTGTAAGCCGATCATCCGAGAGTGAAGGTGGTATCATCGCCGCCGTTCGGTAGTTCTGATCTTGGTGTCGCGCCATCCCATATCCGTCGGGAACGACCTCTTCATCCTTTTCTGATAAGAAATTTGGTGCCGCGTAACTCCATCGCGTCTTTATCTCCTTTTCTCTCGATCGGCCACATTGCCACAGTCCTCCCGAACGTCGATATTGCTGGCCTTCATATCGCTTCATAACGTCGATATTTCTCTCTTTCTCATATCGCTTCTTCTTCATATGAGAATACCTCTGGTTGCTCTTGCTGGATTTTTCCTCCCCTTACTTCCATCATCCATCCGGACTTCATTTTTTGACGATTGAAGCTCCTGCGAGAAGGGCGACCAGCCTCTGTCACCGAAATATGGCGGCGACAAAGTTAGCCCTGATTCTAGTCGGAAAACCAATAAGATCAAAGCTACAGCCCATCCCTGGATACTCTGCGGGCACCACCTAGATCTTTTCCGAGATGCGATTCTCCGTATTCTGGCGCGTCCGTGTATCGCTCTAGTTCCCCATTTCATTTCTATCCTTCATTCCTAGTAGAGGGTTACGGAGTATATGTTCCGACATACCTTGATCAATGGCGGAAAAGACAGCACCTGCAAGGGCGGTGGCAGAGCGGAAGAGACACACTATCTTGATGGTGTCAGACTTTTTCTACCCAAACTTCGGCGGTGTGGAGAGCCACATCTACTGCCTTTCACAGTGCTTGATCAGCCTTGGCCACAAGGTCAGATTTGACCATTGGAAATTCGGGTTTTTTATGTGTTTTTTATGTTAACATTTTACGAAAATATCAAACGCATTTAGAAAAGTATAAGGACATTATCGTTGGGTAAAAATTCTTTATGATACGACCGTAGAAGAACTAGGAACCTAGGGGCTTGGCTATACGAGTGCTGATATGATTCTATCGGGCACGATATATAATATATCTAGCCATCTTTCTCCTATGTGGGAAATCTGATCGGGAATAGAGATCATGCCGTGTTCAATTCATGATCTGATGCAAATCCTGGATGAGAGCTCATGGTCTGTAATGTCCGTGTAGTATACTCTAGGAATCTAAACAGGGTTCCTCTGCTGATTAACAGCATGCTTCAAAATCTCGTTCCTGGTTCCTGACTAAATTTTCTTCTTGTCAAGGAATAAATAGGTTTTCTGTACTAGAGAATGCTTATTTCTTGACAGTGCAAAGAGGCGAGAAAAAATTGTGTTATAAATGAAATCGGAATAGGATATTATATTTTTTGTAGAAAAAATAATTTGTTTTAAATCCCTAAAGAACTTTACTCTATGGAAATGCATGAATGTGAATATTTACCCAACATGATTATGGTTTACCCGATGTGAATATATCTGTTTACTAGTGAAATTGAAAGTAACCATGATTATATATTTGAATTTCTCAGGTTGTGATCATGACACATTCCTATGGAAATCGGTCAGGTGTACGGTATATGAGCAACGGGTTAAAAGTCTATTACATCCCTTGGAGACCATTTTTCCTGCAGAATACTTTACCGACATTTTACTTGACACTTCCAATTATGAGGAACATTTTCATAAGGGAAAGGATATCTGTGGTCCATGGACATCAAGCATTTTCAACTCTCTGTCATGAAGCTATAATGCATGCCCGGACAATGGGATACAATGTCGTGTTCACGGATCACTCACTATATGGCTTTGCTGATATTGGAAGCATTCACATGAATAAGGTTCTACAATTCACCTTGGCAGATGTGAATCATGCTATATGCGTTTCGCACACAAGCAAGGAGAACACAGTTCTTCGGTCAGGGTTACCTCCAGAGAAAGTGTTCGTAATACCGAATGCTGTGGACGCTGCTATGTTCAATCCTGCCCCAAAGAGGCTGAACTGTGATGAAATCGTTATAGTTGTGATTAGTAGATTAGTTTATCGAAAGGGTGCTGATCTTCTGGTTGAAGTCATTCCCGAAGTATGCAATTTATTCCCAAATGTGAGTGATCTTGGCCTCATCTGTTTTTTCCTTCATTGCTGATCATCGTCTGGCGGAGGTTATTTAGTCTTGAGTTTATTCAGAGATGAGCCATGTTTTACCTTCTTCCAAGTGTGTAATGTCACGTGTTTTTATCTTTCTAGGTTCACCTAGATGTCTTTAAGCACTATACACAAGTCTTCAGTTCCTCTTTTCACTCTGGCGTCCTCACTTGATATTTTTCTGCTGAATCAATGTTATGCTAATTGTTTTATGGAGCTGTTCCACTCCGGGCATGTTTCTCAGTAAGTGCATGTCTTTTTTTCAGGTTCGTTTCATCATAGGAGGTGATGGCCCAAAACGGTTACGACTGGAAGAGATGAGAGAAAAACATTCTCTTCAGGATAGGGTTAGCATGCTGGGAGCTGTTCCACATGCTCAAGTGCGATCTGTCTTAATATCGGGTCATATATTTTTAAACAGGTGTGCTTTTTAATGACTTCCTTTCTTTTTGAATGATCAACTAATTGCCATAACGGTGTATACGGACTGAAGTAGGCGATATGATAACCTTTTTCACTTTTCTGTTGGGAGGATACTCTTTCGTAGCTAGGCAGATGGTTAAATTTTTGCATGATGGTGTGCTTATCTCTGTTAATACAGTCTTTTGGAATTTTTCCTTCAAAGTTTTCATGGACGTTCATCACTTCCTGAACAAAGAAATTATGTTAGTCCCTTGATTGGCAGGCCCCTGAACATTTTCATACACAGTATTAAATTAGTTCTTGTAATACTGCAATAAATCGCTGTCCTTGAGAAATAATTAGACGACAAACCCATCATTTCACATCCTCTCTTCCATTCTCCGTTTACGATCATTGACAGTCCTCAGTTTATGTGTTACTGTAGGGACTGACGGTGGGGATTTAGAGTTATTGATTTTTGATAGTCAAAGTAAGAATATACTCCCGTATATGGAAACCCTTCTGAGCTTTATGGGCCTTGCCGGGCAGAATTTGATGAGGACTGGGAGAAAGCGCTTCTATGGTGCTTCTGTCTTTTGCTCTAGTCTCATAGCTCACGTTGTGACCAAAAAAGATTCAATGATCTTTGTGTCGTTATCAGATTCTGTGAAGTAACCAAAGTGAATGCTTGGTGGGATTGGGTCCAGTGGAGATCTGTGTATATAAAAAAAAACCCTAGGGATCCGTCACTCATGCTGCTAGACATAAGCAAAGCAACCGCGCACCAAACCTCCATTGGGTATGGTCATTGGTATATATTTTTTTATTACGACCACTGCATTTCGTTATCATTAGGATTCTCATGATTGGCAGACTACCAAAGTTTTCATTTACATTAAAATGAAATTTAGGGCAGTCCTGCAGTCTCCAAGCATTCCATTCCATGAACAGCCACATCTCGCTCTCCATGACCATCATGACTATTCGTTATGTCCATCACCTTTAACACCTGCAACACCTGCGTTGCCTGGAAACCAAAGCTGAAAGAGGCATTCGAGAGTGTATAAATCTGTATCATGATTCTGGCATTATCCCAAAAGATATTCATCTTTCTCTTTTTCTGAGCCTTGGCCATGACTGACTAGACTTGTCTTGTTAAATTTATTTTTTGTCATATTCTCTGGTCACTGGATCCAAATCCGTGCAATTGAAGGCACCAATTAAACCTTTGTCGATCTTTAACCCTAGAATTTTTTTGTCTTCTGCTCATGTAATGACGTAAAGATGTATGGGCGTTAGAACTCGTGATATGGTCTGTGGGTAGCTTTCTGCTGTCCGGAGGCATCTTTACTTGACACACAAATCTCGACAAGAATATGTACTATAATGTCTTAAGTCACAATTGTGGGCTTCCAAGGGGCTATTGTACTACAGTCAGACACCGTGGTAGATAAACTGACACATTTCGGAAGCCTGTTGTCAGGGCCACAAGGAAGAATTGTAAGGAGGATTCCATGGCATAGTTACAGTTAAGCTTTTTGTCCATGTCATTTGGGCGATCAGTGAAACCTTTCAAACGCTTGGATGCTGCTTATTTATGGTATTTTTATAGCGATTTACATGACTTCTTGTGGATTAGTTCGTCAATACTCATGTTTTTCATCTTGGGATCTCTCCATTGTCCATCACCTTCATGCTTCACTCTTTACTGAATTTAAGAATGCCACTTGTGAACTCTGGAAATGGTGATGCATTTTTAGATGTTCATGTTGTTCTTCATGTTGCAATGCCATCTCAGACATCAGGCTACATGATTCTCAGGATTAATGAATTTGACGGTACATTTAAATTATTTTCAGTGGACAGTTGTAGACATGTATATATTAATGCATACGACCTAGGAATTTATGATATTTTCAGGTTTATTAACCTAGACGCCGATATGTCTGTCATCCTGGCAGCTCTCTTACTGAAGCTTTTTGTATAGCCATTTTGGAAGCTGCCTGTTGTGGGCTGCTCACTGTCAGCACCAGAGTTGGAGGTGTTCCCGAGGCATGTATTTGTGATTCTCCTATATTTTTAATTTCTAAATCGTTATTTAATATTACCTTCCCGCATAACAATTATCTTTTTTTTTTTTTTTTTTTGGAGCGTTAATTACAGGTTCTCCCTGATGACATGGTCGTGCTTGCAGAACCGGTGCCTAGTGATATGGTTCTTGCAATAAAAAAGGCGATAGATCGACTTCCTAGCATTGATCCCCATGCAATGCACCTCCGTGTGGGTGACTGCATCTGACTATGGACTATTGTTTCTTCTTCTTCTTCTTTCGCTTTTTATTTGCATATTTATATTAGTTATATTAGTTATATTAGTTATATTAGTTATATTAGTCATATTATTTATATTATTTATATTATTTATATTAGTTATATTAGTCATATTATTTATATTAGTTATATTAGTCATATTATTTATATTAGTTATATTAGTCATATTATTTATATTAGTTATATTAGTCATATTATTTATATTAGTTATATTAGTCATATTATTTATATTAGTTATATTAGTTATGACTTTCTGCTTTTCAGATCAAAAATCTGTATAGCTGGCATGACGTGGCTAGGAGAACTGAAATTGTCTATGATCGTGCTCAAAGATGCTCGGATGAGAATCTACTGCAACGCCTTTCGCGGTATTCTTATCACTTACTCTTAGATTTTTATTTTTCCTTTTATTTCTAAATTAGGCAACTCGAAGTGCTTTGGCCTTCTGACATTAGTCAAATACTGTGAAATTAATTTAGACAACTAAATCCTATTGCTAGTCGGTTTCGGATTTGATGGCACACGTTATTTCGCATGAATAAACACCATTTTTTTCATCTGTTATATTCAACATTTTCTATGGAAATGGGTTATTTTTCAGATCAGCCTCTGGTTCTAATGATTTCTATGGCCTGATTGCTTAACATATGATCAGAGTATCTGATTCTGTCTCATGGACTGCGCACTGTGTTGACCATGTGACAATAGTTGAAAAGCAGTCAACCCACGTACTGACCCGTGTGTATATTTGGGTGTTTATCTACCAGGCTCATATTTATTCTGGGTTTTTTAGTCAAACGACCCATATTTGGATGTATATTTTTTTGATTTACTTCGAAAGATTATGAATCGACAGTTTGGCTAATGGAATAACGAAGCATTTCATGAATGTGATTTGAGAATCATAAATGACTTCTGAAAAATTACTATGGATTTAGCATATGAAAATGCTCAGCTGAAATTATTTCTCATCAATTATGCATATTTTTAGGTATCTCAACTGTGGAGCGTGGGCAGGGAAACTGTTTTGTATCGTGATGATCATCGATTTCTTGTTTTGGCAATTTCTACAATGGTGGCAGGTAATATCCCCCCCCAACCCATCTAATCTAATCTAATCTTACTTTCTATATTATTTATTTCCTGTTTAATCTTGTCGATCCCTCCGTAATTAGAAATCTTAATTTATTTCTTTGTTTTTACGACTTTGGAATTCCTTTTTATGCTTTTTAATTATTATGTCATCATCTCCTTCCTTCAACAAACGGTGGGCCCCACAGTTCTTGCTTCTGTCTCGAAATACCTAATTCAGGTTTTGGTCGCATTCCTGCATTTCTCTGTGAACCAGCCGTCAGAAGACATTGAGGTGGTACCGGATCTTATGCGGGCCGGGTGTGGACGAGGAGGGGACGATGCCGGGCGGCAATGTTGAGAAAGGTCGAGCCCAGTCGGATTCACTGGGATGATCATTTTATCAACGAATCTCAGCCATCGATTCTTCTGTCTATTTTTTTGTATCAATAATCAGACTCTTTTTTTTTTTGAGCTCCATAAATTTTCATTTATACCTTCAGATGCTTGTGACCCCGACATCTCTCTTATTTGGCTCAGTAATTTATTTTCTACTTATTTTAATTTCTTTTTTTTAAAAAAAAGGTTTCCTTCCACGTGGCACGCTGTTCGGCTGCCACGTGGCAGTCACTGGTCCCTCACTACCGAGACAATATGATAATGTCCGGGTTTATTTTAAATATTGTTAATTTTGATGTTAAATATTGCTTTATCTGATTTTTGGCAGATAATATAAAAAACATATATTTCTCTTCTCTTTTTTTTCACGGCATGATGAGTCATGCCCGACAACCATTTTGGCGGCTTTTGTCCGGCCTGGTCTATACTTTATAAAAAGTATCCGGGCTTGGGCTTTTACTCGAAAGGGCCCGGGCCCGGCATGCAGACACCTTTAATCACGGTGGAGATATTAATATTTAAGGATCTGATGGTGGGTTTGGTGTTAAGAACCCCTAAATAGATGGGGCTCATATATCATATGAAATACTATTTCGAGGAATTTCCCAAAAAATAATTTTCATAAATATGCAAACACCCAGAAGTAGGAACTTGAGAGTTTTTGGCCTTTTCCCCAGTCATAAAATATTCTCGAATATTAATAAATGATGTAAAAATGCCTCATTTTTAGATATCGTCGTTCATATTTAACGTAAAAATTAATTTTTTCCCCCGATAAAATATTATTTAAAAATTTAAAAACCCGTGACCAGATCCGTCCTCACGCGGGAACATTCGGTCAACGGGCAGGTAGGCGCCGTGACGAAGAAGGTCATCTTGACCGGCTACTCCGGTCACACCATCCATCCCCAACGAGTCGTCGTCCGTACCCCTCTTGCGCCCTCCTTCCTCACGTCCCCACACGTAGTTCGCAAGCCGCCGCCGGAGGACGCGGAGAGGATCTGAGACATCTGTTTCTAAGACTGGGGGGGGAGGGTGAGGGGGGGGAGTTCGAGCAGGGGCGAAACCCTAGTTTCTCTCTGATTTCTTCCTCTTCTTCTTCTCTATTGTTCTACTGCAGGTGTTGATTTGGGGGGCCCCGGTTCCAGGGTTCGATTTCCCCTTCGCTAGGTATCGCCGGCTGTCGGGCGGGATTGGGGGAAAATTCCTGGGCAAGGTGCGTAGATTTATCGTATCTTTTTCCGAGCTCCGTTTTCCCCGTGGGATTGTGCTGGTTTCGTCGGTGGCCGTGGCGTATGCGGATTGTCAGCTGGTTGCTTCCTGTTAGGTTTCTCTGATCGGTTGGTAGCGGGACTTCGGCAGATGTTCTTTGAAAATCTGGCGGGTTCCTTGGATCGATTACTGCGGGTTTTCGAGTGGATTCCGAAGATTTGTTGAGCTCAATGGTTTGTGCGGCCGGCCGATTTGGGGCTGGATTGTGGAAGTAGGATCTTATCATCCGACGTCCTCCGGTAGAAATCCGCTGATTTCGAGCTTTCTGCCTGGGGCTTTTCGCATCTCCCTTGCTGTTTAGATGAACTGCAGTTGGATTTTGATTGAAGTGTTGATCGCTTTGGTTTCTCTGCGTGTTGTCCCCTTCGGGAAATTCCTTCACGATGGCCTTCAAATTCGCAGTGGGAATCTGAATGGGGACCTCCTCGGGAGCCAACTTCCACCAGCAGCAGCCTCCATTAATGGTGCCCCCTCTCCAGCAACATCCTCCTCCGGGTAGCCTGCAAGCTGCTTTTACTCTCATTCCCACAGATTCCGCCGGGCGCTCCTCCAAGGGCCATGAGTATGCCTGCAAGTCCGACCATGGAAATGATTCACCCTCCGAGAGCGAGAGCTCGCGCGAGACCTGGCCGATCGAGACCAATCGGTCTGCCGGCGCTCTTGTGGTGAAGAAATCAGAGAAGGAGAAGGAAGAGGAGAGCGAATCCCCCGAGCAGAAGGTCGTCCGCAGGATCTCCACCATGGATAAGCTCTCTCTGAGAGATGTGGTCAGAGAAAGAGTGGAGACGATCGCGGAGAGGATGATGATCATGCCGGACGAGCTTCTGGAGGAGCTTAAAATCGAGCTCCGGGAGATTCTCGAGGGCACCGGGGGCTCTCAGCGGAGAGAGGAGTTCCTGAATCTGCAGAAGATCGTCCATGGAAGGTCAGATCTCACGGACAAGGCCCTCTCCAAGTCTCACCGCGTGCAGCTGGAGATTCTCGTCGCCATTAAAACAGGAATCCAGGCCTTCCTCCATCCGAACATCAGCCTCTCGCAGGGCCGCCTCATCGAAGTTTTCTCCCACAAGAGGTGCAGAAACATAGCCTGCCAGGGCGCCATCCCTGCCGATGACTGCAGCTGCGAGATCTGCTCCACCAGGAAGGATTTCTGCAACCTCTGCATGTGTGTGGTCTGCAACAAGTTCGATTTCGAGGTGAATACATGCCGGTGGATCGGATGCGACCTCTGCCTGCACTGGACCCACACGGATTGTGCCATCCGCATCGGCCTGATCGGAATGGGCCCATCTGCAAAGAGCGTTCTTAGCTCGACGGAGATGATCTTCAGGTGCCAGGCCTGCAACCGATCGTCGGAGCTTCTTGGGTGGGTCAAGGATGTCTTCCAGCATTGCTCTCCAGGGTGGAACCGAGAGGCCTTGGTGAGGGAGCTGGACCTGGTCAGGAGGATCTTCGCCAGCAGTGAGGACCCTAAAGGTAGGAAGCTGCTGTGGAAGTGCGGGGATCTCATCGACAATCTGAAGAACGGCATGGCAGAGTCCACTGCTTGCAGGATGATGCTTCTGTTCTTCCAAGGTATCACCATTTCCAGGCCTCAATTGTTCTACTGGCTTCTATATCTCGATCTTCCGACTGCTATGATTCTCAATTCCTTCGGTGGCTAGTACACTTGCTATTATTCTCACCCACAATTCTTGGTTGGTCTTTTTCATATATGCCATCTCATTCTATTACTATATATATATATATACACCAGAAGATTCTGGCTTTTTTTGGTCTGTTGACTTGATACACCCTCTTCCTCTCCTTCCTGGTCGGACCGCAGACCTGGAGATTGACTCGGCGAAGAGCTCTGAGGCGGAGGAGGCGGGGCGGCTGATCACCCCCCAGGAGGCCTGCAACCGCATAGCAGAAGTGGTCCACGAGGCAGTGAAGAAGATGGAGATGGTGGCAGAGGAGAAGATGCGCATGCTGAAGCGGTCTCGTCAGGCCCTCGAGGCCTGCGACCGAGAGCTCGAGGAGAAGGGCCGCGAGGTTGCAGAACTCAAGATGGAGCGGCAGCGAAAGAAGCAGCAAGTGGAGGAGCTTGAAAGCATCGTCCGCCTGAAGCAGGCCGAGGCGGAGATGTTCCAATTCAAGGCGGCGGAGGCCCGCCGAGAGGCGGACCGCCTCCAGAGCATCGCCCTCGCCAAGTCCCAGAAGGCCGAGCAGGAATACGCCAGCCGATACCTCAAGGCCCGCCTCGAGGAAGCTGAGATGGAGAAGCAGTACCTCTTTGAGAAGATCAAGCTCCAGGAGACCCAGCAGCAGCGGGGCCCCCAGCCCACCGCCAGTGCCAGCGCCACCGCCGCCGCCAGTGGTGGCAGTGGCAGCCGTAGCGCCGATCCCTCTCAGATGCTGATGATGTGCAAGATCCAAGATTTGCTCAAGAATGTCTACAACGTTCCCCCAAAGTCTGAAGCCCCACATTCTGGTGATCACACCCCCAGCTAACTATCCCTGATCTCTCTCTCTCTCTCTCTCTCTCTCTTGTACCAGTAGGGTTCTCTCATGGAAATGATCTCCAGTGTTTTGGAGCTTGTAATCCCCACAGGAACAGTCTGACTCTGTGGCATGCTAGAACATGGTAATTTCCTTAGCTTATAAGGGTAGTATAGTCCGTTTTGTTTTTTTTCATGGCGACGTTCTCCAGAATGGGCCATAATGGGCCTACCGAATTGAGTTCTGGACGCCCAGGAACGTGAAGTGGGATATTGGGCCGGGGTTTAAGATCTACAGTGGCCCATTAAGATCGATATTCAGCTCGTCGGATGATGTTTTGGCCGGTCTGACTTTAATGCCCCCGGTCGGCTCGCCAGCTACCAGCGGGAATCCAACGGCTGAGAAAAGCCTTTCAGACCTTCGACGATGGAGATTCCTCCAACTGGATCCAACCAATCGGCACTCGCCAGCTAGACTCCGGTCTTTTAGGCGGGCGATTGAGCATCATAAATGGACGTCCACGATTGACATATCCCGCCGTCGAGATGGGATCCAACGGGCCGCCGTTGGTTTCGCCCAGCCCACAGACGTTGACCACTCCTCTCTGTGTAATTTAACACAAAGACCCATTTTTTTATTCACTTTATTCCGATTTGAATTTTATAATTTATCTAAAAAAGTTGAAAATTACAGCATTTAATTCCCACAGAAATAATTATATGTACCAGAAAATAAAATAATTATCATTTAAATAAATTTATATGGTAATTAAATCCCCAAGCCGCCCATTTGTTCAAGGATATCCCCCACTTGATGCCAACCCTCCAGTTCCCAACCTCCTCTTAATGTCAACTCCCCATCCCCCTACTACTCTTACGTCAAGTAAGATGCGTCTTTAGGGTCAACCATATTCTCGTCGTCAACTAAGTCGGGGTCAACCCTCTTACCCGAATATATCCTCATTTGGGTGTCAAAGTCAACAAAGTTATAATTCCTATGATTTCAGTATATAGTTTAAAAGGTATTTTTACAAATTTAAATCTCTGTGGGTTTGAAGGAGCGTAACCGCTGTATAAATTCGGACGCTGTCATGGCTGTCTCCCCGTCTCTCTCTGTGTCTCTCTCTCTCTCCCTTCGGTTCTCCGCTTCTCGGACGGGAAGATGGTAAGCATTCCTCTCTCTTCAGGAGAGGCCTCCAATGGTTTTCTTTGAAGGACACTTCAGTTTTCAAGAAGATCTCTGCCTGTTTCTGCGGTTCTCTCTCCCTGATTTGATTGCCGACCTCCTAGAAGATGGGGGTTCGCGTTTTCCTGAGTTCGAAATGCATGCTCGTCCGAGTTTGATGGTTTGCGATAGATCCGGGGACTTTACGCGTTTGGAGGATGACGGGGTTTTGCCACAGTAGATTTGGGAATAGGAACCTCCTACTCCCTGTCTGATCGTTGATCTTCTCGATTTTACATGTTGATGCATGTGCCTCATGTTGTATTTTTTCCCCCGCGTTCTTGACGATTTTTTTCTTGTATCGTTTCCCCCCTTGTAGATTATTTTCTCTTCGTCATCGGAGCGTAGTTTTTCCTTTGAAATTTTTTCTCTGGTGAATTGTCAAGGTCGAGATGAGATTTTTATTGGATTTTTTTAGGATTTTCAGTTGCATCTCCATTTGGTGCCTGTTTTGGGAATCAATTTGTTTCTTTGTTTACCGAGTATATTTTAGTCTGCCATTATTTGACGTTAAGATAGGAAAGGCCGGGATTTATTGTGCAATCGTGCTACGTAAATGTACCTTGTCCGTGATGAATGTGATTCTCATCACCTATGCTACTTGATAAACATTCTTTAGTCTTTGGGCCACAAGGAAGGTGATCTTCATCTCTTCAAGATTCACAAGGATGAACATGTTTTTGGTGCGTTGTTAAGCCTCCAAAAACGCTTCTGCTTTGGGGCTTTCCCTCCTGAAATTTTTGGGCAAATCCACTTGAAAACAGAAAAGGAAGAAATAATTGTTGGCCCAGTTGTTTCCCTTATCATGCCAAAGTTAAGGCGTAACTTCAAGTATGTTTGCAATTTGTAAGTTAGGTTACCCAGGGTGACATGTGAACACTCGTCCTCCTTTAGAGGGGAAGGCCATATATGCAGTTTGATCAACCATCAAACCGTTTTTCTATGTGATCTTTGATTTCAGACTAATAAAAATTGATAAGCAAGCATTTAGTTGTCTTTTAATGCCACTTTCTTTATGGAAGCTGTATCTTTCTTGCTCGTTGTTACTTTGCCTTTGGAAATAGGTAGGTATTGGATCCTTTTGTGATTGGCTTTTCGAGGATGCGCTGCCTTCATGAATGAAAAATCGTAAATGATCGAGAAATGTAAATTTAAATAGTTGAATGAAAATAAAACGTACATGATAATGTGGGTAATGGAGAGTCTCGGTATCAGCACTCTACCAAGATTTGAAGGAATGTTGCTTTTGTTGATGCTGATTAATTTATTTATTTTGGTTACTTTGTATTGATCTATGTAAAAATTTTCCTCGTCTATTATGATTAATAAAATTTTAATGTTATCACTTCTTATATAGTGCGTAACAGAAACCATTCTGGCAACAGCCTATGAATACCCGTTGACCATTAAAAATTTATAGTCTGCTGTCCATGATCACTAGCGATGACATATATTTTTGGCATAGAAATACTCGACACCAGTATTCGTTGATGTTTGCACAGCACATACTGCATGATAATGATATGCGCACGCTTTTTTAATCTTTAGCTACCAAAACTGTCATCATTGAGCAATTTATTGAGCAAAATGATGAAGACCCAATTCAGTTCTCCCCAGTCCACGTGATTCTGCACCTACTGTCTTGAGGTACATGGATGTTTTTGAGGGGAAAGTCCACGCCATAATTTGGACAACTGATATTAGTCATGTGTGTTTTGAATATTTTTTTATCAGTTTGGATGACAACTACTCTGGTTTTCATTTCATGCTGTATGATGGCTCATATACTTTGTTTTTGAAGTACCATTTCACTTCCTTTATATAGATATATTTGTTGCCATTCTGGATGATGACAATCCCATTTGTCTTTTTTGCAGACAACATCAAGGCGTCTTGCAGACAGGAAAGTAGCTAAATTTGAGAAGAATATCACGAAAAGGGGATCCGTTCCGGAAACAACAGTGAAGAAAGGAACTGACTACCCTGTGGGACCAATATTACTTGGTTTCTTCATCTTTGTGGTCATCGGTTCATGTACGGTTCTCATATCCTTTTTCTTTAATTCCTTTTTGACCAACAAAATAATACTATTTTCTTATGAAGCCGGAAAATACTCATGTTTACTACTCTCGTTGACTTTTATGTTGAGTATCCTGCCATGCTATTTGACCCTTCTTGCATAATATTACTCCAGAGAGGAGGATCTTAGTGAGATCAATGGCGTTAAATGTCAAGATTTTGAGAAATATTTATTTCATCATTAATCGTGATGAGATGTTTTTAATGGTGGGGTGTCCAATCGTGTTTGCGCAGAATCCCTTCACAAAGTTCTTTGAAATTGCTTTGTTGATTTCAGATGCTCATCAACTGGTTATTATTATTATTAGGAGGCTCAAAATGTTTTGTGAGGACCTGGATCTCTGTGGCATGCAGGCACAGAGAGAGAGATAGAGAGAGAGAGAGAGAAGGCGTTTGTTTTGTTGAAAATTGAATGCTCAGCGTTTGATTGTCTGAACCCGTTCTTATTAGTTCTTCCTTTGTATCTTTCATCAATGTTGAATGATTCAGGTGGGTTGACTTTCCTCTTAACTTGGGTCAATTTCTTGTGGTTGCAGCCTTGTTTCAGATAATCAGGATGGCCACAGGTGGCGGGGTGGCCTGAGGAGAGTTTTTGTTCTAAGGCCCTTGAGAAGAAGTCAACTGTGCTAATTTGTGCGAGGAGCAGAGACAGAGGGGGGGGGAGAGGGGGAGGGGAGAAAGAAGATGTTGACTGTAATACTCGGATTGCTAATGCTGAACATATGACCTATAAGCGGCTTCTAGTTGTGGAAATAATAAAGTGGGCCTGCATTGGGAGTGAACCAGTGCTTGACCTCACACTGTTGTGGAATGAGTCACATCAAAGCTATTATGGGGAAAAGTTGAGTAAGTTCTAAGGATCTCACATGCATAGATGGCGTTTGTTGGCACACCATGTGTACATGATATATGGCTAATGCATGCACATGCACATGTAGAGTGGCACATCATATGTACATGGATGCATCATCACACAGTACCAAGGAGGAGGGGTAGGTGGATGGATTGGTTTTCTTCTAATTTATTTCAGCTGCTATGATTTATAAATTTTGATGTATATATTTCAGTGACACAACTCTTAGTGGCTTGATCAGCTGACTTACTACACTCTCCAAGTACCATTCCTTTGGGTTCCATTAAATTCATAGTGACATACATACCGGATTATAATAAGCTTTATTTAGCTGACTTCACTAGATTTAATAACTCTAACCATCTTATGACTCCATCTGTTCTACATTCATCTGTTCTAGAAGTTAAATTGGAAGAAGATCTATCTTTATTCATCTGTTCTAAATTCACATCTCTGGTCAGGAATATACTATGCTAACTTTTTTCAAACATCTCAAGATAATTATGTCATATGGTAGTATAACTATGACTGGCTACTACTATGTCTAGATTAAGAAGAGAGATGGTGTACAAGTCTCTGTATGTGTTCATCAATCTTCTGATAATAAACATTAATCATGGCCTATGTATTGGTTCTAAAGAGGGTATAAGAAGAAGGAAAGGGGGTGTTGAATTGGGGTTTTTCATTTCAACTCTTTGACTCATGATTCTATGTATAAACTTAGTTTATAATGGTCTGAATCACTTTGTGAAGATAGGCCTTTAAATACCTGAGAGAATGTCATTAACATTGTTCTCTTAATGATTCTTCCTCAACCTGAGCATTGAGTAGGATCTTTCTTATTAATTAAGTGACATGTTTTTCTTATATTTTAATGTTAAAAATATTGTTGAAAACAAGCTCCCAACAACTTATGGGTGAGCTCTAACAGCTTTTCTTATTTTTATCATGTAGAGCATCACCCTAATGGTATTCTCTCTCTCTCTCTCTCTCTCTCCCTCATAATCAAGAAAGGGGAAAATCTCAAGGAACATAGATCTAAAATCTAGAGAAAAAAATATAGAAAACCTATTAGAGCATTTGGAACATAATCAAACATTTGATGACATTTTTTTAATGAGAAAATAGCATCTCTTTCTCTCCCTCTCCCTCTCCCTCTCTCTCTCTCTCTAACTCATAAGTGAAATCCAAGCACACTCCTTTTATATAATGAAGAAAAGGGAAAATCTCAAGGAACATTGCCCCAAAATATAGAAAACCTATTAGAGCATATGGAGCATAATCAAACATATGATGACATCTTTTTTTAAATGAGAAATTAACATCTCACTTTTGATGTCATCTTTTATTGCAGTCTTTATATGGGTTTCCAAAGTTCCAACTTAGGTTAGAAATTTATTAATTTAGGCACGTTCCATTGGTGGACTTCTAGGGGAAGGGTCAACCTTGAGATTTTTTTACCAAAGAAAGTCAACCTAGGAACCCATAAACTTATTTGCAAAGGGAATATGAGCGCCTTCCTATAGAAGCGCTATGGGTCTACTTTATGACGTAACCCCTTCCAATCGAAGTCAACTTTTGGGCGGATTAGTCCACCTTAAGATTCTTTGACCAGAGAAAGTCAACCTTGGAACCCATAAGCTTATTTGCCAAGGGAATAAGAGCACCTTCCTATAGAAGGCCTATCAGCATTTGGGCGGATTACTGGGATAATAAACAAGGCACGCCTAATAGCTCTCTCTGCCTAGATGATGGGCCCATTACTGGTCTTTCTAGTAATTGGGTCGATCCAGATGACGGTTTGACTGTCGGTCCATTTGTGGGATGCCACGTCATCGAATTAGGACAGCTGACTGTGGGGACCACTAGGGTTTTTACAGGCTCTCTCCGTCGCCGCCGTGCCGAACCAAGCCGCCGCCGCGGTCGCCGTAGTTGGAAGCGGAAGCGTACCAGCGTCGCAGGTTTCCGCTCCTCCGGCGGCGCCGCCGGCCTCCTCCTCTCGCCAGCCGTTCAGTGGATCTCTGATAGGAGTAGGGGAAGTTGTGGTCTGAGAGGGATGGGAGACGATGCGAGGAAGATTGCCGGAGACGGGGAGGCGAGGCCGCCACCGAAGCTCCCCATCCCCGGCCGGCGGAACATCCTCATCACGAGCGCCCTCCCGTACGTCAACAACGTCCCCCATCTCGGCAACATCATCGGCTGTAACGTGCCACTCTCTCTCCGTCTCTCTGTCTCTCTTTCTTGTGGTGCTTTTGGCGGATATATCTCGAGTAAGGCGATGTTGGATCATCCGAGTCTTCTCTGTAACTTTTTCAGGTGTTCTGAGCGCGGATGTGTTCGCTCGGTACTGCCGGCTCCGGGGCTACAATGCTATTTACATCTGCGGGACCGACGAGTACGGCACCGCCACAGAGACGAAGGCCTTGGAGGAGAACAGCACGCCAAAACAGATTTGCGACAAGTCCGTGCCCTTTTACTCGTCGAATCTTGTGCTGATTTTTTCTGGAGCCAATAGTTATGAGCAACCATTTAATTACTATTTTTTGGATATCGCCTCGTGATGGTAGCGCAGCAGAAGATCTATGAATCTGTTGCTATAGCACTAGATCAATTCCAATGCCTGATCAGCTCGCTATGCACATCTGATAGACCGATAATGAGTCTCACGACGGCAGAATTGGATGCTTTTTCTTTCCCTTCACGTACTTTTGTATTGTTTTATGTTCAGGTACCATGAAATCCACAAGGCGATTTACAAGTGGTTTGACATAAGCTTTGATCAGTTTGGCCGCACTTCTAGCCCCCAGCAGACGGAGATCTGCCAGGCCATCTTCCAGAAACTCTTAGAGAGCAACTGGCTCACAGAGAACACCATGCAACAGGTCAGTCTCTCTCCCCCGGATCATTTGATGACTTCATTTCAATCATCCTCTGTGTCTTCTGTCGTTATTAACTTTCGGTGAACGTCTGCCAAAACACAGCTTTATTGTGATAACTGCAAAAAATTCCTGGCTGACCGGCTGGTTGAAGGAACCTGTCCCACGCCAGGCTGTAACTATGAGTCTGCACGGGGTGATCAATGTGAGAAATGTGGTAAACTGTTGAACCCGACCGAATTGAAGGATCCCAAGTGCAAGGTGCATATCGTGAATGCGAAGTTCGACCATACCCAGAACATCGTCTTGTAGCTGATTTGAGACTGGTTTTTGTATAAACCTTGCAGGTATGCAAGGCGACTCCAAGAATCCGCGATACTGATCACCTTTTCCTGGAGCTCCCTCTGTTGAAGGATAAATTGGAGGAGTATATCAACCGCATGTCCGTGGCTGGTGGGTGGAGTCAAAATGCTATTCAGGCCACCAATGCATGGCTGAAGGAAGGGCTGAAACCTCGATGCATTACTAGGGACCTGAAGTGGGGTGTCCCTGTCCCACACGAGAAGTACAAGGACAAGGTTTCTTGCTGAATCGCTCGACATCATTTCAATGGAGTATTCAATTTATGAAATAACATCGTTCTGGTGCATACATCAGTGCTACAAATAAACAGAGACTAACTCATTTCAGCCGCTGGTTACTGTAAACATGACTTCGTTCATACTCTGTTATATTTTCTGAACCATTTTTTTTGATGAAGCATGTATGAAAATGAATTTATTGAAGTAATACATCGAGCTTTCCTCAAGCATAAAATGATGAAAATTTCAAACATAAACATGCCTTGTGAAATTCATTTTATTGAGTAGACTTTATTTTTTTTTATTCTTGAAATCAATGGGGATTAAGCTTGTTCATCACTCGAAAGTAAAATTGACCTTCTTATTTGAAATTCGTTGTTGACAATGTACTTGAGATAATGGCTAATTTCATGATGTCATATTGATAACATACATTCTAATTTTTACCAGGTTTTTTATGTTTGGTTTGATGCTCCAATTGGCTATGTATCTATCACCTCGTGCTATACACAAGAATGGGAAAAGTGGTGGAAGGACCCAGAAAATGTCGAGTTATTCCAGTTTATGGGCAAGGATAACGTCCCATTCCACACGGTAATAAATTTCTTGCGCTTTCATACGTGATTCATTTGAGAATGCTCTCTTGATGTCTTTAACGTGTAAGTGCGTGCAGTAGAGGTGTTGAGGGTTTGCAACAACTTGTTAAACCTGCGAATTATGTTTTATGATCAAAGGCAACACACTTGGAAAATAATGAATGTACTGAATAAAGAGAAAGTATATACATCAAGAAACGATCTTTCTACTTTTTCAGCGAAAAATCCATTGAATGTTTTATCAAATCAATGTCTCCTGTAATTAAGCACAATTTAAGTTCAGGGATGTTCAGAACGCTTACATCACTGCAAGTTCCTTAATACATGGGGGGATATACTCAGTTTAACCTAGTTAGGCTGTTTCCTTCTTAATGCCCAAAACCTACCGACCAGTGGACAGGGGGAAGACGAATGGCTTCCTAATTTCTAAAAAAATTATTGTGTAATTTTTTGGTGATGACTATCTACTTGGTATTAACGGCACTGATGGTGTAAAATAATCTGCCTGCTTGGGTCAACTTTGGCTGTGGAGCATCTGCTAAGAACCCCATGAGGGCCAGTTAGCAGTTATTCCAGCTGGTGGCGAACTACTCTTCTTGTTTTCTGAGTATGACCTTGCGAATGGGGGAAACGTTCAATTCTTCTAGGCATGATGAATAATCTTTTCAAAGATATCTACCAGGCTAGAATACATTGATGCATTGAAATAATGCTTAATCATAGATGGGGTAAACAAGCTTTCTGAAAGCAAAAATCACGAAGAAATTTGTCTCTTTTCTTAACGATATGGCTGTCACCTCCTTTACATGTTATGTAATTGCCACCGTTGGTTCTCTTTTTTTTCTCTTTCTCACATTGTTCTGTTCTGAGACTTAGGAGATACCCAGTGCAGTCATTCTATTGTTATATTTATTAGTTTCACTGTAATATGCTACCTCGAATTAAATTTGTATGCTCATCTTTTGATCCCGCTAACTTCACTCAAAATTCAGATTTCTGTGATTTTCTTTCTTCTGCATAATTTTATGATTCTCTAAATAGTTTCAATCTTGTAATATTGAAACTGCCAGGTGATGTTTCCTTCTTCTCTCCTTGGAACTGGTGAAAATTGGACTCTGATGAAGACCATTAGTGTGACAGAATATTTGAATTATGAAACAGGTATTCTTAACAATCTAGTCAGTTTCATTACATAGGTAGTTGTATTGCTATGCTTTTCAAGACTCGAAAAGATTATCTCAAAGTCAGAGGATGGGTCGTGCTGACTTGGATTATGTTAACCTCATAGTTGGTAGTATACACTGGTAAGGATCTAGCAGAAGAAAATGATCAGTCCGTGTTGCACCTGTAACCCAATCATGGATTGTTTCTTTGGAGTATATATATATCTGAATAAAGGTGAAATGGGGAGATTGCATTGGAATGAGAGGAGGTGCGGGAATTTGCTTCTCATTATGGATTGTGAGGGAAGGAGAGGAATTATTGTTTCATGCATTGCTTTCTCTTTTACAGTACCCTCAGAGCTGCCCCGGCTCCTATTGGGTTGTTTAAGTAAGGTTGTGGCGCTTCCATAGCTGGCTCAGCCGTTGCCACAGTTGCCATTTCTATTGACCGTGATCAGCTGCTTTCATCAGCTGATAATTGCAGCTCAATTCCATTTCACGTTTGTTTTGTTTTGGCAGCCTTAGGCTGTCTGCGGGGAGAGCAATTTGCTGCATTAGGTGTTATTTTTATCAGAATCTGTGTTGATACTCCGTTGCTGCAATTTCTTCTCAAAATTAGATATTCTTATGCTAAATAATTGTTCAATAGGCACAGACAATACAGCCACCGCTGCTGATGTTAGTATTCGCTGCAGGAAATTGACGTAACTGTGTCTGTAATTTATTTTGCAGCTCCACTGTGAGACCACAAGTTTTATAACATTTTTCTATCGTTTGGAAGGTGTTTTACCGGAGCAAATAGTATGCATCTATTGCCTTTTGATCCGTATCGAACTATAGAGATAGTGCAATCAATTGTGGAGTTCGCCTGTAACATGCACATAGATAAATATGTTTAACAGTGCTATGCCATCCTAAACTGATACGGCTCAACTTGGATAAAGTTTTAAACAATTACAACTTGGATAGTGCAATCATGTGCACCGACTCCGATCAGCTGACAATCTGGTCTTTGTTTGATCATTGATATGTTGCATTGACAATTCTTGAATGCCAAGTTGGTATTTTTCTGCAAGTTCACATCGCGAAGGACTGATTACTACGTATGTGACATTTTTTCTGTCCTGTTCATTAATATGCAGGAAAGTTTTCCAAAAGTAAAGGAATAGGTGTTTTTGGTACTGATGCTAAAGAGACGAAGATTCCCGCAGAAGTGTGGAGATACTATTTACTGACTAACAGACCGGAGGTGAGTCACAACAATGAAATTTATTTATTTATTTGAAAAGTCAAAATTACCATTTTGTTCTGTGCTTCAGTGCTTACTCCTTGTCTTTTTGTGCGCCCTAGGTATCCGATACATTGTTCACGTGGGTAGACTTGCAGGCCAAATTAAATAGCGAGTTGTTGAGTAATTTAGGCAACTTCGTCAATCGGGTTTTGAGTTTTATAGCAAAACCTCAAGGTTTGTTGATTGTTTAGCATTTTTTTTGCGTTCTTATCGAACACTTTATTACATTGCAAACTATATATAAGCGAAGTGAGATGTCACTGCCCTTCTGATGATTTCGATTGAAGTAGGTCATGCTGATAATTGTTGAAAGCTCGAGTTTTGGTTACCAAATAAGACAGCAACATACGTCCAGTGAACGCTCTTCACTGGTCATAAGGGCATCAATACAGTTGCTTCTGTTCGTTGAAGATATGTGGATGACACTTTCTATTCATCTGATTGGATGCATGTGGAGTGCTCTCTCTGATGACAGCATTTCCTTCTCACGTTCAATGACTGTCATCCTGTAGAACTCAGAGTGCTTAATGACTTCTGACCACAAAAGGGTCATTCGAGAATTGACTGGAGTTTACAGCTTTTGTTTGAACAGAAGATGAATGGTTTTAGGTTTTGGATCCCTTCTAAAGGAGTTTGACTGCTTAACGTTTCACATTTGGCGTCAGGAGAGCACTATGTCCTAAGTGTCTGTAATGAATGTGGTCTTACAATAAACGAATAATTTTGTGAATAAGATATTCCAAGCTCGGTAGTTCCTCTGTTCTTTTACATGAATTCTTGAATGGTTCTGATTCGAAGTGATCATTTAACTGCAGGTTCTCTTCTCTTCAGTCTGGTCTATGTCCTAAACCTTACACAAACCCCTGTTTCTTGATTTTGCATAGCATGGTTTACTGTATTTATTGTTTTCTTTTTTGGGTCTAAATTTCTTCTCTAATGAATTATTTTACCATTTATCCTGATGGTATTTCTGAACTTATTCAGAACCTTATTATTGATCATTTTTATAAATTTATTAATTATAGCGCAAATTTCTCGAGTTTTAATTCATCCAAACAAATAAAATGCAAGTGCTCGTACATCGGTTCATATACTTTTTTCTTCTCTTTTGACTCATAGTGCTATCCTTTTGCAGGACAGGGGTATAACTCGATCATTCCTGATGTTCACAATCCAGAGTCACATCCAAAGACTAAAGCCTTCGCAGAAAAAGTGGGCACTTATGTTGACCAGTATGTCGATGCCATGGAGAAGGTGACAAAGTCAACGTTTTTCGTGCCCCTATTGCAACCTTGCCCATATATGGCTTGTTGCTAGTTCCGCTATTGGTTTTCATTTCTCATAGGTAGAACGCATTTTACTATTACAGGTAAAATTAAAACAGGGTTTAAAGACTGCAATGAGCATTTCCAGCGAGGGGAACTTTTATCTACAGGTGAGGATTTCCGTTTTCTATCATAAAATTTCTTTGGGAACCGGCCCATGTGGACTCTGGATCATATATAATTTTCGTTTTGTTCATAGGACAATCAATTTTGGAAGCTTTTCAAGGAAGACCCTGCCTCGTGCGCCATTGTGATGAGGACATCTGCAGGCATTGTGTACCTTCTGGCCACATTGCTGGAGCCCTTCATGCCTTCCTTCTCTGTTGAGGTGATTAGGGCATCCTCTGCATGCTGTTCTTAATTTTTTTCCATTTTCTGGGTATTTCTGAAATTTTCCGTCTGCTTCCATGAAGGTGCTGAAGCAGCTCAACCTTTACGGGGGAGACCAGCTCTCTTTCTCTGATGAGAATGGAGACATCCTCCAGGCGAAGAACCCTTGGAATATCATCCCATCTGGCCACAAGATTGGCACGCCGCAACCTTTGTTCAAGGAATTGGTATCCACCATAATCCTGAATGCCATGGATCTTGCGTTGACTTTTTTAGAGCTTCAGTCACCAGTGGGGAAGCTATATATTGCTGAATATATAATCCAATGATCTAATGGCGGTGAGTTTTGGTTGCAGAAAGATGAAGAGGTGGAGTTTTTCAGGGAAAAATTTGCAGGGAGTCAAGCAGATAGGCTTCTGAAAGCGGAGGCTGAGTCAAAAAAGATCGCCGAACAAGTGAAGAATGTAGCAATCTCAGGTTCTCTCTGTATTTCCCACCTGATATCCTGTGACTCATCTTCTTCCCACATCTGGGCATTCACCATTTTTGGTAATAAAAATTACAGAAAATTGGATAGAACACATCAGAAACTGCCTTTTATTACATTTAATTAGAAAATATTTTATATGGGTGTGAACCGTGATGGGCTTGCCAGTGATTCCATATATGTTTCACACTTTTTTGCCTTTTTTAGATTAAATACTCAGCTGATGTTCATCTGTATGATTGGCTCCTGAGTCCTCTTGTTCTTCTTTTTTTCCTCCTCCTCTTTTCCACAGATGGAAAGGGGAAGAAAGAAAAGCAATCTAAGGCCGCATCCGGGGCTAAGTCAAAGTCTGAACCTGAGATTTCCATTTCGAGACTCGACATCCGTGTGGGTCTTATCACTAAAGTCCAGAAGCACCCAGATGCGGATTCCCTCTACGTGGAAGAAATCGACGTGGGTGAATCATCTCCCAGGACTGTGGTCAGCGGCCTCGTCAAATACATTCCTATCGATGAAATGCAGGTCAATCTCCTTCTACCGTACATCATATTTATATGTAGAAATATGATTAAGATGAATGGTTGACCCAAATCTTTCCATAATTGTCTCTGATTAGTGCCTAATTTTGTGCTTTCTCTTGGCAGAATCGGAAAGTCTGCGTTCTCTGTAATCTGAAGCCGGCGACCATGAGAGGGATCAAGTCCCACGCCATGGTCTTAGCTGCTTCTAACGAGAACAAGGTAAAGATTTCATTTTTTTTCCCCGGGTTTTTGGGTTCTAATCTCTCTCTAGAACCCTAGAACGCAGTCCTCTCTCCAAACTGCCGCATCGCCATGAAATTCTCTTTCAATGGGCTCGTTTCTATGAGATGTAATAACACAAAAAATATACAATTATTTTATTTTCTGCAGAGGATCTGATTTTCTATTTTTTTTTAATTTTTTAATGTCTAGGTGGAGCTGGTCGATCCGCCAGCGTCAGCTCGTGTGGGGGAGAGGGTAACCTTTCCAGGATTCTCGGGGGAACCTGATGACGTGCTCAACCCGAAGAAGAAGGTCTGGGAGACCCTGCAACCCGACCTCCGCACCGACTCGGAGCTAGTGGCGCTCTTCAGGGACGTCCCCCTCACCACCTCGGCCGGCGTCTGCAGGGTGGCCTCCATAGCCGGCGGCGTCATAAGGTAGCGCCGCCCGGCTCCGACAGGTTCTTCTTCCCCTGTCCTCCCCAAATTAGGGTTTTGGTGCTGAGACTTGTTTCTGAAGAACTCGTGTATATTTATTCAAAGATTTGATTGATCTTTAAGTGATGGGTATGGCGATTGTTGATCCTGAACTTGACTGTTTTTGTCCTGAGATCTTTCATGGGTGATTCAGTGGGCTGACCCTCTCTCTCTCTCTCTCTCTCTCTCTTCTCTCGCTCTCGTTCTCTCTCAATTTACTCCACCTTACAATCCTCTCTACCTTCCAATCTCTCTCTCTCTCTCTCTCTCTCTCTCTCTTCTTCCCACACACTCATCCTGACCATCTATCTTCTCTCCCCCTCTCTGTTTGGATATGGTCGTTCTTCCTGTATGTACATTCATGGGTATGTAAAGTAGAAGATAAGGTGCATGGAAAGATCGAGCAAAAGTCCAATGAGTACGGATAATAACACAAATAATATATAGCAGAAGCTCGAGGTCACTCGGGGCCCACCTACTCAACTGCCACGTGGAATTTTCGAGTCATTCTTTTAAATATAACTTGATGATATAATTATTCGAGTAAAAACAAAATCAACCTGACAGTTTGGCAGCCCGAGGGAATATGTTAAGGATATGCACTCCGCGAGGTAGCATATCAGAAATTTGAATCCCCACTGCTGCCGCTTTAGTGGTACGGTCGTTCTCTCTGCATCTTTCAGGACGAAGAGACCGCAGAGACGGCCTCCGGCGAGGTAGATCTTCCTCTCCGGCTACTTCACCGGAGAAAATGGCCCATGCCGCCGGCGCGACGAGGCCCGCGTCCCGCTACGCCGCCGTCGGATCCGCCGTCTCCAGCTCTCCTACGCCGTCGCCATCGTCGTCTTCTGGCAAGGACGTCTCCTCTCTGAGGCGGCTCATCTCCGCCTCTGGTGGTCGCCGCGGCGGTGGCGTGAGTGAAGGGGGATCCTCGTCCCATGGGTCTTCCGGGGCCGTCGTTCGAATGGCTCCCGGCGACGTTGCGGTGAAGAATGGGCGTGATCTCGGATCCATGGTGAGGAAGTTCATGGAGAAGAGGTCGAAGCCGAAGACGGGGTCGTCGAATACGGTGAAGCTGGTCGGCACGCCTGCTCAGATAGAGGAGGATCTCAAGAGAGCCGTGGGGGCTACTGGGAAGGGGTCGAACCTCTCGACCTTCCACAGGAAGCTGTTTCAGAAAGGAAAATCGGGTGATGCAGTTCCTGCGAAGGCTCTGACGGAGGCCAAGCTTAACACCCGTACGCTGGCGATGGTGCTCCGGAGCGAGAGGGAACTTCTCGACCAGAACAGGGAGCACGAGTCTGTGATTTTGAAACTCCAATCACAGCTTGAGGACAAAGAGAGAGAAGTAATCTCCTGCGTCCCTCATTTAATTAATTTTCTCATATTCTCGTCAGGCAGATTGCATCAATCTACGTAAAGACTCTTTGCATTCGCTTCTGATTTCAGAAATTTCCCCTAGCAGATGTTTCATAATAACATCTGAGTTATATAGCCTCTACTTTGAAACAATAATTTCTACGATAAATCCCTGTACATCAAAAGAAAGTCTATCCTTATCTGATGAGTGTTCATAAAACCCGTACTCAATATCTGTAACATTCTGGTGACTGTTAACCATCTTATTTATATTAGTTTCTAATCTCTGTTTCCTAATACATTTTGATGACCTATCACATTAGGGTTATAGATTTCTGACGCCGATGAGGTTTGACGTTTCAGGTGGAAAAATTGAAGGATCTATGCCTGAAGCAAAGGGAAGAGATAAAGACTCTAAAGGATGCCATATTATTTCCCAATGCTGCGAATGGCCCATTACAGGTGCTGCAGGAGAACCAAGGACCAGAACTGCAGGAGGCAAACCAGGTCATCCCTACCCTTCAGAAGCAGGTCAGATCCCTCACTGGGCAGCTCCAGAGCCTTGTGGAGGATCTTGCAGAGGTATTTTCCGCACAGATTCTTCTTTCAGTTTCATGCATTTTAATTTCTGTGTTTTTCTCATCTTCTTCATGATCTGATTCCATGAACGGATATCAAGCAATTCAGGATCGCCGATGCTCATCACATGGTGATCTGGTTTTTAATCTTCGATTGGTGATATCAACACTTGCATAGATAATTAATTTATCTATGGAAAATCCCATTCGCCCAAGTCCTCTCTGTTCAGGTCGGGCACTTAAATTTGTGTTTTCAATCTGCTGAACTCTGAAGTTCTTGACAATAATTTGAGGCCCTCTCCATCTCATCCCACCACCTCATAAAGCCACGAAAGCTCCATAAACAAGCTTTGGAAGTTAGCCTAGCTAGAACCAATCTGATCTTGCATTTCATATACGTCATACCACTGCTATTTTGGAGCATAGTTACTTCTGATTATCCACCAATGGATTTCATGGAACGTGACCTTTTCAATGTTCATATCATGGTGTTTTTCTTTGTTTTTAAGCTCCAAATGCACTTCTGGACGCTCGGGTAGGTAATTATTTTTTTAGTGGAAAATTCCCTTCATCCCATTCCTATCCATATATACTTTTATTATTACCACTTTCCTGTAATTTGTGCTTTCTTCTGCAGAACTCTGAATTCTGATAGAACCATATTATATCACATTTAAATACAATTTCATTGCTGACTCTCGGAGAATATTCAGGTGAGGGCTGATAAGTATTCGGCAAGGAGTTGCTTTGAAGGCTACACCCTCTCCCCCAGGACTCCAGAATGCGATCATGGGTCGGCTAATTCTTTGGTATAATTTTTTTCTTGTGCATTGGAACGCCGAACCCCATTTTGGGATCTGATTATAACCGATAGGTCTCTATTTCTCCCGATCTATTCAATGCAGGAGTTTAGCTCTGCGGAGCAGACAATTCCTGGCAGCCCTGATGATGCCTTCCTGGAGGACCTGAATCCTTGTCTGACTCCATGTTCTTCAAAGGCAAAGCCCAAGGTTGGAATTGTCTTAATTTTTCTTACTTCACTAGCTCATAAGAGCTTTGATTATCTCCAATCTAGGACTGTCAATAGGGCTCTGGGCTAGGGCTCTTCATTGCTCTGGCTTGGTCTGGATGAGCACGGAGCTGAGCTTATTTCTATTTACATATTGGTCTGGGCCCAAAACTATTCCTATTGAGCATGTTAACGCCACAATCTCAGTTCTAGCGCCTTCTCTCACTGGCTGAAGTGCTGATCTTTTGCCAGGAGTACAATGAGAACGCGGGTCACAACTATTCACAAGGAGATGGGTCTCTTGGGATAAGGATCGTCTCCGGCTCAGAGTTCTTCAACTCCAGGAGGTAAAATTATGTCATTGTCCCTATAATCGCCACAGCCCTCTCCAGGTCAGCCGCCCCAGAATACCCCTGGATCTTATGCTTCATGTTTCCTCAGCCTCAAGCTAATGAAACAGAAAAAGTATTCATTTTTTTGCACTGTCTGCCTCATTTCCTCAAATATAATAAATGATACAGACATCATTGTCGTCATGACCAATGAATGGGCAAATATGAATTGGCAAAGAAGGGTTTTTTTTTTTGTTCTTGCCCCAAACAGCTCCTACATATGCGTTGACTTCTGGCAACGTACCCGAATCTTGGGGCTTCTAGACCTGAGTTTGACTCAGCCCACTCTATAAGTTTCTACTTTTGAGGTCAAGCTGGGGTTCTTAGTGCTGCTATTGATTCCAACTCTCTGAGTGAAGACAAGCTCTTTGGTCTTTTCATGTGAAGATGTTTAGCAGATTTGGGTCTCTGATCTGAGAAAGAGATGAATTCTACGAGGTCTCTTCATGGTGGAGAGCTATTTACAAATTCGGTAATGTACTCACTGTAAATTTTCTTACTCGATCAAGAAGCAGCGCCGGTGATGGCGGGGCTCCGCCAGTCTTGACTGAGGATTTTGGCGACCTTGTCGCTGTTGGCGGCATAATCGAGCCTATCAAGTATAGCCGAGCAGGTAGCACCATCTGGCACAAGGCCCCTCTTCACCATCTCCGTCAGCACCACCACTGCTTCCCTGGCCTTCCTTGCTCTGCAGAATCCCCTGATGAGGACGCCGTTCTCCTGGAGCCTCCCCTACTCACAGAGCCAGTGGATGAGCGTGCTGGTGATGGAGCCATCGGGGCTGAGCTGCTGGGGGAGGAGGGTGGTGCCCCTGCAGGCCTTCTGCCCTACAGCACCATCATCGCAGGTAGAGGGCGGTGCCTTCCAAGCGCCATAGGCATCCTCCACCTTTCCCTGCTGGCACAAATTTTCGAACAGCTCGCAGCAGAGCGACGGCCTGAGGTGGCCAGGGCACGGTGGGGTGCATCCCCCACGGGGTGTGTAATGGCAAGTGGGATGGAACCACAGGCACGAGCGTCGTGGCCACTGTGCTGCTCACTTAAACTGAGACCCTAGGTCAGGTGGGGTCACTCGCTGAGTTTAGGCATATAAATAAGTGGAGGAGGAATTGTTGGGAGGGAAAGTAGATGGGGGCCGGTGGTGCAGCTCGGTTGGATATGGAATGGTGGAAGCCAGTTTGCACCAACAGTGTTCTATGGCTCAAGAATGAAACCTTGACTTTTGAAAAGGATATATTTATTAGATAAAAAGTCAACATGGTTGTTCCAAAGATTCAATAATTTATGACAACTCAGTGGATTGCACAGCACTCATGCTAGCAACATGTTAAATTTCTACCCTATCAACTTATGATGGTTGGATATAAGCTTGGGTGGTAGGTGATAGAGAATTATGATTCAATTATAGAGAGGGAGGCCAAACAATGATTATCACGTCTAAGGAAGGCAGCATGTGCACAAATTAACCAATCATGACATGAAGAGGTAGTGACAATACATAGTAATATTGGGTTCTTCAAGTCTAGTAATTGAAATGAGTACAATCTAAATTCCTTAATGATGAACCATTGAAAGGCAAGTATGGTGCCAAGAACTGCAGTAATTCTAGTTCTAATAATATATATTTAAGTTGTAGTAAAAAAGCTAGCATCTGAGAATAAGTTGTGAGGAAAAGAGGGCATATGACTCACTTGTATTTGAGAAGATCCATCAACTTGATGGAAAATAAAGATGTGCATAATATGCTGCCTAAATTATTGAGTAGGGCAATTTAGTCAGGGCCATGGAGGAGTGTTACAGCAAAGCTCTTCCTCATTGGCACCAAACACATGTTGGAGCAGGTGGAGGTCAATAGGAACCTTCTTATGTGCCTAGTTGACCCACTTGACTAGCCCACACCACATGCCAAGATCTGTTGAGATAGTCAACTAGGCACTTGAGGAGGTCCCTATTGACCTCCACCTATTATAGTATGTGTTTGGTGCTGATAAAGAAGAACTTACCACATCACTCCTCCGTGGCCCTGGTCATGATGTGTTTAAGTTTGATTGCCCTAGTCAATAGTTCAGATGACATACTGTACTTATCTTTCTTCTCCATCAGGTTGATGGCTCTTCTCTGATATGAGTGAATCCTTTATCTTCTTTCCCTTGTTGTACTTATTCACTATTGGTCTCTCACCTGTATTTAGCCTTGGATGGAATTTATTGCTTGATTGGGGCTGCATTCTCAAACAACCTGACTTGCCAATGATGCCTCATGTTGTGCCAGGATCTGGGCACGACGGGGCTCTCACCCTCTCTGACAACCCCTTCTAGGTGTCTTGCACCCAATCTGTTGCTGATGACACCTTTGCAGACTAAAATTTGGGAGGTGGAGCCGCCTGATTCTCAAGCTGGGCCGTTCCCAGTTCTATGAGGTCTCTTCATGGTGGAGAGCTATTTATAAATTCGGTAATGTACTCACTGTAAATTTTCTTACTGGATCAAGAAGAAGCAGCACTGGTGGCGGCAGTGCTCTGCCGGCCTTGGCCAAGGACTTGGGTGACTTCATCTCTGTCGGCTGCATCATCAAGCCCATCAACTATAGCCGAGCAGGTAGCACCATCCGGCACCAGGCCCCTCTCTACCATTTCCCTCAGCACTGCAACAGCCTCCCTGGCCTTCCCCGCCCTGCAGAATCCCCCGATGAGGACGCCATAGCTGAAGGCATTTGGGAAGCAGCCCTTCCCTTCCATGCGGTCCCACAGCCTCCCGGCTTCCTGCAACTCCCCCAGCTCGCACATTCCGGCGATGATGGTGTTGTAGGGCAGAAGGCTCGCAGGGGCGCCGCCCTCTACCAGCTGCAGTAGCTCCTCTGCCTCCCAGAGCTTACCCTTCTTGCAGAGCCAGTGGATGAGCGTGCTGGCGATGGTGCCATCGGGGGCGAAGTTCTTCTTCAACAGCTTCTTCCAAGCGCCGTAGGCGTCCTCCACCTTCCCCTGATGGCACAAATCGTCGAACAACTTGCAGCAGAGCGGCGCCCCGGGGAGGTGGCCGCCGTCGAGCATGTCGTGGAGGAGATTCAGAGCTTCCACCGGCTTGCCGGAGTTGCACAGAGCGGAGATGATGAGGGAGTAGGTCACCTCGCCAGCGGTGACGCCGTTCTCCGCCATCTCGTCCATGATCCTCACCGCCTCCATGATCCTGTTCTCCGCGCAGTACCCTTCCATGAGAACGGTGAAGGCGGTGGCGTCGGGGGAGATCCCTCTGTCCACCATCTCGGAGAAGATCCTCCTCGCTCCTTCGAGGTCCCCTCTCCCGCAGAAGCCACCCACCAGCGTGGTGAAGGTCACCAGATTGGGGATCATCCCCCATAGAGGCATTTCCTCGAGTACCTTGAGAGCGCCGTCCAGATTCCCCATCTTGCAGAGTGCCTTGACGAGGATGTTGCAGGTGAAGACGTTGGGGGCGATGCCGAACTTTCTGGAGCAGTTCCGGAAGAGCACGCCGACGAGATCGTAGCGGCGGTTCTGGATCATGGCGTTGAGGAGCGCGTTGAAGGACCGCACGGAGGCATTGACGCCGAAGTCGCTGCGGATGGAGAGGAAGGTCCTCAGGGCGGCGCTCGGCTTCCCGGCCAGGCCGTAGCTCCGGATCACCCCGATGAACGCCTCCTCCCCGCACCGGAAGGAGGAAGAAGAAGAAGATCGGCGGCAGCGATGGCGGAGGTGGGAGAGGAGGAGTTCGAGTTGGGGGAAGGATCTGGCGCGGGAGAGCTTGTCGATGAGGGCATGGTAGGTGCGGTAGGTGTGGGAGAAGCCGGGGTGGAAGTCGCCGGCGTGGTGGAAGATGCGGACGGCGAGATCAAGGTCCTGCTGGCGGCGGATCATGGCGACGAGCCGCTGCGGGTGGAGGCGGTTGGGCCAGGGATGGACGGGAGGAGTGACGCGGTAGGACTTGAGGAGCTCCTCCTTGGAGGAGGAGAGGAGGCGGTCGATGTCGACGGCAGCGGCGGCGGGGGAAGAGAGGTGCGCGAGGTCGACGACGGTGGAGAGCTGGCGACGCCGCCGCTGCTCGAGCAGGATGGCCTGCTGCTGCAGGTGGCGGCCGGCGGGGACCCAGCGGAGAGACATCTTCTGCTTCTTCTTCTTCTTTCTCCTTCTTCTTATCATTATTATTACCGATAAACCCCTAAAAATTTGTGTTTAACTAAAAAATGACGCAAATTTATTTTTTAGTAGTATCCTTTAAGAGGACAGGCCATATTAACGGTATCAGTTCCATTTTAGCAGGAAATGAAGCAAAGTTCGGTGGAGTTTTCTTTGTGAGCTCTGCTATTTGCTCCACCCCCGGATCTCCTTGTCCGCATAGCTCGTCGAGGGAGTGAGGAGGAGGGGGAGGAGTGCCTGGCCTAGGGAGGGGGCGCTGCGATGGCGGGGATGGCTTTGGTTCTTGATCTGCTCAAGAGGAACAACCACGGGGGGTGCGTCTCCGCCAAGTCGGTCCACTCGTGCGGGCTGCTCTCAGCCGCCGTCGCCGCGTCCGTCGCCGCGGCTGCTTCGAGGCCCTTTTCCTCCGGAGGCATTTTCAGGTGCGCGTCCGAATCTGTCCGGCCTTTTCTCTGGCTTGCGTGTGTATCCTGTCTCCCGGTTCTGGATTGTTGGTGATAATGTGATTGCTTGATCCGAAAGAGCCTTCAGATTCTGGTCTTTATATTACTAAGATTTGAGAGTTAAAATGGGTGTACTTTATGGTTCTATTGCTCTAAACTTCATGTGCGTGAGATTCAAAATGCGACAAATCTCCGACGCAGATGAATATTTGTTTATGATGCTTCCGTTATACTCTGAGTGGTCTTTCTCTTTCCCTTTTTGTTAACAAGCCTTTCCGAACGAAAAATGTTTTTCATGAATCTCACATTGTGCGGTCTAGCTTTTTTCTTTGGATGTGGAACCTTTTAGCTGAGGCTTTTGGGATCCATTCTGAATGCCTATTCCCTTTTTGGTGGGCCTTTACTCATTTTTATGGATTAGTGATTACAAGTAAAGATCCATTCTGGAACCTTTGTAGAGGATTAGGGAGGTTTACTCCTTTTCTAATAAAAAAAGGTTTATGGATAAATTTTGGTGGATCTTTACTTGTATCATATTTCATACTGGCCCACTTTAACACCAGGGGTTCCTTCGGGATTATCATATTTAGGGGAATAAACCGAGCACGAATGGATTCTAAGGATGTGACCACACTTCTAAGGGTGAGCAGATTGTGGAGACTGAATATGCGTTCTTTACGAGAGCATTCTTGTGGCCATATGAGACGGTGCTTTTCAAATGCATTGTGATGATTGAAAAGTTCTTGGAATAAACATCCAAAGATTTAAGGCCTTCAAATCTGAGTTCTATAATATTTTTTTACCAGAGTATGCCTTTTGCTTGAGATAGTGATTTAGTCTCGCTCGGGAATTGCATATAATTAAGTTGAAGATTCTTGAATATTTTCTGTGAACGTGAAATCAATTTGTTCTCAGTGCCACTTCCTGGCCGATCTAATCACAATATGGATCTGATTGGACCTGCTCGACACTGATGTCCAATCTGATTCTGCAAGTTAGTCTAAGTTGTCTCCACAAAACAGAAAAGTGGTTTCGAATGTGGGCCGTTGAGATAAGAGGCTTAGGTAGGGCCTTCAGTTCTCGCAATCAAGGTGTTGTATATCTTCACTTGTACTTCCACTTCGTTGCCGGGAAGAATGTTTTTTCTGTAGAAGCTTTCATTGAGGACTCCTCTGTTTACAGAACACTAAAATTAGAGTTTTTCCATAAGAAAGTGAATGAGTCACTTATTTTCAGCTTGTCAAAAAGAGGAATGACAGCCTTTTTGCTGACATTCTCTATGATTTAGTTTATTTCAGCTATACTACTTTTTTCTGACGATTTGCCTTTTTATATTTCAGTGGTAATGGAATATCAGTCGCCTTGTGTGATGCTGGTGCTGCATGGACAGAAGATTACATCCCTAGCATAGAAACCGCTTACAAAAATGTCCCTTCTGGGAAAACTTCCTATTATGATTCTCTCAACTATACTACAAAGGAATACCCCATACAACTGAAGCCTCTATTTTCAGCGTTTGGGCTGAAGTCTCTCGCAATAACCTCACTGAGGTCCTTTTTAATGTTCTATTTGCCTCTGTTGGAATCTTCCCCACCTGTGGACGATGACGACGATTTTGTGCAAAATCCTCCGGAAGACAATCCTGTAGATTTGGTTGTCCCCTTCAAAAAATCGCTAAAGCAAATTGCACGTGAGGTACTTTTTTTTCCAAAATCATATTTTCCCACTAGAGAATTTTTAGAACCGACATAATATAGTTCTATCAGGCTGTCATATAGTATGGATTTGATTTTTTTAAAAATAAAGTTAAAATGAAATTGATTCTATGCTAAGGTTCTCCTGAATCCAAAATATGCTGAGCAGTTCTTATGTAGTTTAATTAGTGTCTAGAGCAAACGCTTTTTCTTTTCAAAATATGCTACCATTGGCATTCTATATTATGCTTATGAAGTTTCAGCAAATGACATCCTGTATTATTAGGATGAGAGCATTTTTTTCCTAATGTTTTATGGTGGTCGTCTTTTAATGGTTCCGTTTTTCTCCTATTACCTCATCTTTACTGGTATATATCCGTCAAACGTGTCAAGACATCTTCATCTTTTAGTGGTATATATTTTTAAATTCTCTCTAAGGCGAACTTTTCGAAATATGTCAGTACTAAGGCGAACTTAAAACCTGACCAATTTCATGCTTTTGCTTACTTTCGTATTTTCAGTCATCAGTAGTCACAACAAGGCGGGTGCTGGAACGACTTGCTGTTAATTATGTTTCACAAAGAATGGCGTGGAAACTTCTTAAAGGTAGGCCGACGTTTTTAAGGACAGTACCGTTTCCCTTGGTTGCTTTGGGCATTCCACGTGCTGCAAGGCCACAATATTTAGAACAGAAAAAATTACTAATGGCAATGTTATTTCGTTTACTTCTAGTTTTCCTCTATGTTTGAGAGTACGGTCAAGGGGAAGAGAAAAGACTAGTCCAGATAAAAATGCTTGACATTTCGCAAGATAAGCATTTGAAATACTTTTCATCCTTTCTTCTGTTTTCTAAGCTTAGTGAAAATTATGGCGAAGAGCCATCTTTACTCTTATGGTTCTCTACGTTGTCTGGTTTTTTTGGCTTCCTCATTTACTAAAATTGGTCATTTGATGAACCTTAAGCGGGTAAACTGATTTCATATACTTTCATTTATGGGGAAAAGGACGTTTTTAGCCCTCACGTCTGTGTCTTCTGAAGTATTGGTTTGGAATTAGTTGTGCGTGTACCACCATGTAGAGTATAAGGTTGTAGTTTACAAAACGGGTTTTTTTTTTTCTTTTAACATCTTTTTTGCTTCCATGGTTGCCAGAGGAATATTTTGTGCTGATTAGAAAGTAGATGAGAGTAACCACACTCGTCAAACAACAATTTTTCATCTTTAAATCAGTTTAAATACATTTATCGAAGACGAAATGCTTCTGTTCTATCTTCAAAAAAATGAATGTGCTCTTTTATCACCAGTGGCATGTGCATATTATTCAGTTTTCTTTCTTCATACCATTGTATTCGGCATTTCATTGTCTAGTGCATTGAATTTTCATGATGATATTTCCATTTCCTATTAAAATGACTTGGCCATGTAGTTTTATAATCTCGAAAACGGCATTTGCGATTTCTCCTACTTTGATAAATGAACAGTACGGGCACTACCTGTGATTTCTCTTACTTCAGACTCATTTCAGTGTTGTAGGATGAATTTCGTCCACGATGGTTGGTTTTCCGAATGATTTGGCCGTTTAGTCCATTGTGACAGGAACCGAATCCTGTGATATTCTCGTTTATTTGCATGCCTCTCACAAACATTCTCATAATCGCGATGCCCACATGTATGAATCAAACATGGATCCCTAGGGAGTTTAAATGTAGATATAGTGAGAGAGGGAGCAAGAGTAAATTCTGACCACATCCAGTATCTCTCTGTATCCGGTCACTGTTTAGTGTGTTTACTAGCACTTAAAAGAAGCACAGTTGTTGCTAATTAATCTATTATTCTCCTGTTCACTGCTATGGATCCGAAGATATATATCACCCGTTTCAATTATTCATGCAATTGGGCCTTGCAGATGCCTCAAGATCTGCAAAACGCAAGGCTGGGAGGGGAATGCCTGCCACGGTCTTCATCTACAGCGTTGGCAGAACGACCTTGAGAGGTTTCCTCCACACTACAGCGATTATCTTGAGCGGTGTCATATAGCCCATGAGAGACTGCTATTCCCGACGGTGAACGTCGTTTCTCTTCTTGCAGGGCACTGTTTAGGTGTGGCTGCTTCGTGGATCATCCAAATGGGGATTGACGTATACAGATGCTTGTTTCGTAGATCTGATAATAATGAAGAAGACGCCACCACGGCAGAGAAGCTCCGGTGCCTTCAGAAGAGGATCTATGGTGCAACAATTCGATGCAGCGCCTCATTAGTTTTTGCATCTCTTGGAGCAGGGATCTTTGCTTATTTCCACCCTTCAATTGGGCAGTGGATCGGTAAGAAATATCTCTGACTTATCTTGAAATGGAAATACTTTCCAATTTATTTCTGTATATTAGTCAACCATCTGATACAGTCTGGCTGGTGCGAGTGGCCACTAGAACAGGGGTTTTGAGAGGGCTTGTATCAGTTGACTTTGCGCTGATACCTCCTGGTCTGGACTGGATTCGGGATGACCTCTCTGGCCATGTGGGGTGTTTTCACGTATCATGCATATAGGTTTTTTTTTTTTTGTTTTTTTGTTTTTTTTGGGTTTGCAGAAAGGTGATGTGGTGACACCTACTGGGCCCTGGCCATTGACTTTATGAACTCCACCGGTATCGGTCTGACTTTTGTAAGCTGATCTTCAGTCCTGGTGAATATTCTTCGGAACCTCTTTGAAAAGATTTGTTCACATCGTCTAGGTTGAGAATTCTTCTAAGTTGTTGAAGACTTCTGCTTGCTAATGAATAATTGTTGTAGCCTTCTTCTGTTGACTAAGAAACCTTCTGATCCGACCATCTACCATGGTTAAAATTTCTTTGCCGCATCATCACCACCCTGATTTGACCCAAGTTTTCGGATTCTGACGACCCAAATCTGCTACTGATTTACCTAATCATGGGTTTTATGATTCCATTTCCAGAATGACAACTGAGATTTTCTGGTTTACTTGGGTATTTACATAATGACCCAAAATTTTCTGGGCTAGTTTCCAAGATTGAATCCAGATATCTTCCAACGATGAACCTGGAAGATCTTAAGGAACTAGGGTTTATCTTTGAAGATGGTGTCTCAGCTCCTATTACACAGCTCTTGTACAAAAATCCCAATCCTTTCCATTTCTTGAATTCTGTCAGAAGTTTTCTTCAATCTTCTGTAGAGCCAACAGTGTTTTATATTTTATGATCTATAATTGACTGATGCTCATTCTCTCTCTCCTCTCTCTCTCTCTCTCACACACACACACACATACACACACACTGTGACTGTCTTCTCGCAGGCTGTGCACTGGGAGACTTTGGAGGACCCATGGTTGTTTCAGTTTGCTGCAAGAGGTTTCTTGATCTGGAAATCTAACGGCGCCGTCGACGGAAATGCTGAGACTCGATCTTCCCAGTGTTTTCAGATGGGCCTCGGCTGGTAACAGTGGGGAAGAGAGGATGACGACGAAAAATTAGGGTTCTTGGTGTGGCTGTTCCTCATCTTTCCCTCCCCTCTCTGATTGATCGAATTATTAGCCGCCACCTGGAAATGCTGGGATTTTCCTCCACTTTTGTTGGAGCATTTTTGTCTTAAAAAGACGATTTTTTCGGTTACTATTTTCTATAAAAGGAAAAAAACTGAATGTTTTTATCCAAGGCTAGTGAGCGGCTGACTATTGATTTACAATGATGTCATCCCTCTACATTTAGCTCAGCCCAGCTCCTAGAAAGTTGGAGAGAGAGAGAGAGAGAGGTACGGTAGAAATTGGCCATATTTGGTATTTATCATCATTTAGTCCTTATTTATCATTTTCTTCATCTGTTAAATTACCTCTCATTTTCATATGCTTAGAGACTGCAACAAGCATTTATTTATACGTAGTAACATGAGAATATCTCCCGCCACTCCTGAGGTATATGGTGTGGGGCCCAGCTTATGAAACCGGGCCCACTTCGGTTCGGCCCCGGGGCAGCGCCCAATGATGAGACTTCACATTTCTTTGTCTCATAGCTTCGATTAGGTAGGAAAACTTTTGTAAGTTAAGTGGGCTGAGAGCGCGGGCCGTTTATTGGGGCCCGAGGATCACTCAGAATGAGGCTTAGAATGGAGACTGGCCCGGCCCGGGCCTTTCCTGAGCTGGGCTGTACTTTTATTGGGAGGCTCGGCCCAAAGCCCATATTCTGTGCATGCAGCTAATTTACAGTTATCCAACTAGTTCTCTCTCTCTCTCTCTCTCTCTCTCCTTCTTAGAGCCCTCTAGGGTCTCGTTGAAGCATCTGTTGTTCGTTCTACCCTGATTGGAGGGAGGACGATCGTTCTGTCGCCAGGGAGTTTTCGCGTTTCCGATTGGCGTTCGCAACTACCCGTGGAGGATCTGAGGGAGTTTAGCGTAGTTTCTTTATCCTATTTGTCTGCCGGTAGAGATCCATGTTCGTCTGCTCCCCATGGACCCGACCTTGAATCGTATCATTCCCCAACCCGAGGAAGAAGACGAGTGGGGTATATCATCGTCGTCGTCGTCGTCGTCAACGTCTTCTGTGATCGTTTTTCCCGACTCCTGTGTTTCCGTGTAGATGGTTTTTTTCTTCTAATTTTTCGTTATTTTAAGCTTCATGATAATTCATAGCAGTTGCTAGTCCCTTAATAATTTGCGATTTGGTTGGTGGCTTGGTGTGGTAATCAGTGGGATAAATTTTATCATGATCTATGGTGGATGTATTGTTTTATCGTATCAAAGCGATGAGATTGCATCATGATCTCCATATTACTTCTGAATTTAATTTTTTGTTCCATTTTCGCATTGCGTTCATGATCTCCATTATTTTCTAATTTCACAAGAACTAATTACTTTTAGATATTCTGGTCGGAAGGAATTCTGGGACACATCACAGACTATGCTTTCTCATTAATTAGTTCAGGAAGAAAGTAATCCAGCTCTATGCTCTTTCTATCAGGCTTTATCGTTTGCCACAGATCATCCATTTGCTATGATATTCTCGTCTATGGATGCGCTTGTTTAACCTTAAAATCCCCGAAAATTTTGTCACATAATTCAAAGTTTCACCCCCACATCCACATTCGAATGAATACTTTTTTTGAAGAAAAAAAATCCTCTCCGTGGTCATTTTACATGAAATGCTCCACACAATTGTTGGATGCCCTCAACCAAGTGCATCTGAGAACATAATCAGTTGCTCTACCTTTAAAAATATTTTTATCCAATTAATCAGGAGTAAGTATGCGAGTCAAGTTAAGCACAGATCATGTTCGTGGTTTGCGCTTGAGAGGCTGACTCTCGATTTCAATGGGATTACAACACTGCGAGGTTGAAGCTTCTCCTATCCAGGAATTTTCTTTTCCTTTCTACTAATAGTTTATCTTCCTAGGTCGATGTAAAATCCGGCAGGAATTAATAAGAAATGTGTCATCATCCTTACCTTAAAGGGAAATCAGTTTTCATCCGCCAACCCATTCCTTGGTCATTTATTACTTCTTCCATATCGGTAGATTCTTCATTTCTTTCTTTTCTTTATCCTTGATCCTGAAGTAGGTGGGTATTTTCAGCTGAAAAGGGTCAGATACAGGGTTCAAGGGGAGCTCAGAGACATCAGATGACAAAGAGTCTAGAGATTGCAAACTCTGAATCTCACCAGGTTTTTGGTATGAGCGATCACCCAAAACAAGAATCTAGAGATTGAATTCACCAAAAGTAGAGTTGTGGGCTCTACTTTTGTGCGCGCCCTTGTGGTTTTCATCCGAGGATCCATCACCCTTTTGAAGATCTCTAGTTGCTCTGAGGTGGGCAATGATCAAAGCTAAGTTTTTTGGTGTCGTGTTCTAAGAGGGGATGATCATGGTGTGTGATGGTCGTCTTGTGGGTCATTGATAACCGCCATGATCTTGGGTGGGGAAATTTCAGGGAAGGAGAAATTATTTGTTTATTTCTTTAGGTTTTGCAAGTAATGGCTGTCGGTGGAGAGCCCAGTTGATGATTTTTTTCCTGAGTTTCAAGCCGTAGGGCATCCTGCTGAGGATTTGCTTCCTCATCCTTTCAGACACGGATGGATATGTGATCCCGAGTTTGACTGGTGGGGAGTCTGAGATGGGGAGCCCCCATGTCCCGGAGGAAGTAGCAGATCGCAAGCCTCCTTCCACGGTAATCTCTCTCTCTTTCTCTCTCTCTCTCTCTCTCTCCCAAGGTAGCTATCTTGTCTAAATTTCTTTTTAGGTCACCGAAAATCTAATCTTTATCGACCCAGTATTTGACATCCTGCAATCTGTCTCTGTCTCTCTCTACACCGACGTATCTTTGTCTACGTTACTTTTGAGGTCACCCTACATCTATTCTGACCCAGTACTTAACATCCTGTAATCTCTCTCTCTCTCTCTCTCTCTCTCTCTCCCGAGGTATCTATCTTGTCTAAGTCTTTTTGAGGTCACTCGAACATCTAATCTATATCGACCAAGTATTTGACTTCCTGCAATCTGTCTCTGTCTCTCTCTCTACATCGAGGTATCTATCTTGTCTACATTTCTTTTGCGGTCACCTAAAATCTATACCTGTCCAGTACGTAACATCCTGTAATCTCTCTCTGTCTCTGTCTCTGTCTCTGTCTCTGTCTCTCTCTCTCATGATATATATATATATCTATACGTGTGCAGCCCATCAAAGAGGAGAAGATATATCTGGGGCCACACGGGGCCCCGCCGTGCCAAGCCAAGCCGCCCCAGGAGCAGCAGAATCCTACCGCCTACAGGCAGCGGTTCAAGAACAAGTTGAAGGAGGCGGACCGGAAGTTCGCCGGAGCCGGAAGGGAGAACAAGCTCGACGCCCTGCGGGAGCTCGTGGGCAGCAATTCCCCCGCCTCCCTCGCCCTTCCCAAGAGCCCCCCCCGCGACTGGCTCGATCCCCATTGCCACGAGTCCCACTTCGAAAAGCACCCCCGTTAACCCCCCCCCCCCCCTCTCTCTCGCTTTTCTCAACCAAGAACACGGGCTTGTCCATCTCTAAGAGATTGCTTGGCCTGAGTCAGCCCATCTGCCTCGCCTCCCAGAAGGACGAACTTAATTGGACCTTCCGTCTAAAATACATTTTCAGTCAGAGAGGAAAACCCGAAAATTTTGACACGGGCTTGGCCCGGCCCGGCCCGACACTACATAGAGAGAGAGAGAGAGAGAGAGAGAGAGAGAGAGAGAGAGAGAGAGAGAGAGAGAAATCTCAGCCATAAAGATCGCATCTGATGAACAGGGATTGCCCAAAACCAATCCGAGTAGAGGTCTAGACCTGATTACATGGTGCCATTCTCTTCTAAACGGGTGCAAGATGGATTATACTTCTGATAAATGGTATTTTCAGGAGACCCACCACGGGGCCCGCCGGCGCCCACCTTGCGGGCCTGGGATTCATCGAATGCCGCAGTCATTAGTGGGTCGCCCACGCCGCCCACTAATGAATTCGCACATGTAATGCCGTTTGAGGGCCTATCCGAAGAAGATGGATGACACCTAGTTGTCACGTGTCACTCACCCTCTCTCTCTCTCTCTCTCTCTAACTAAACTGTTTATATGTTACTTTGCGTACATTAGCAAGTCATTGCTGTATTTTAGTAACGACGGCACGTACGACCAGGGGTTCTCCCGGCCCTTCGCACGTGTGGATACGCTAGGCCTCGGCACCTGTTGCAAGCCTATTTGGAGGGAGAACCCTCCCACCCCCATCATATATCTCCCAGGGGGTTGTCTCCACACGTGCCACCAAATTAGTTTGACTTCCTGCAGCGAGAGAGTGCCACAGGTGATTATCCGGTTAGTCGTTCAACCACCCGAAACCATCCTCGACCGTTGGTCCGTCAACGCCGAGCAGCCTCCACGTCACCTGCGGAATAATCCCCCAATCCTACGGCGATGCGATAGTGACACAATGAGACGACTATTACTCCCGAGAATAGAGGCGTACAAGGGGGAGGAGAAGAGTCCGGCACAGCCCTCTTCTCCGTCCGTGACTTCCAGCTCTCACAAAGCTCTCGGACGAGAATCCCAAGCTCTCTCTCGCCCCGAAGACTTCTATCTCCTTTCTTCTCTTCCTTCTCTTCCCTTGTCCTCAGAGAGCAAAGTACCCCCCCTTTTATAGAGGGAGAGGGGAATAATCTCCGCTGCATTATTCTCCCTTGCCTTCCAGAGGAGTCCGGATAATCCTTACCCGTTCTCCCTCCTGCTTCTCTCTTCTTCGTACAGACAACTTCGTCCGTCTGTTCCCGGATCTCTCGTAGATCCGGCGGAACCGTTCCAGCTCGCTCCGCCGAGTTCCCGTTTTATCGCGTCATCCGCGTAGCCCGGGTTTCAGTTGCGCGTGTGAGACGCCCGCCTCCCTCCGAGTGTGTCTCACGTGGTTTCCTCTCGGTCATTAACCCGGTCGAGAGGTTCCGGGGGTGTCACATAGTCGGGACCGATTCGCGGTACCCACACGTGCGAAGGGCGGGAGAACCATGGTCGCACGTGCCGCCAGTTCGGCCCCGGTCCTGAAGTCGCCGTCCATCCCCATGTCATCTGCCCCCCTCGTCATGCATGAGATTACAACCCGTGGAGGGAGAAGCCAATCAGAATAAGTCTCCGGCTTCCCCCATCCTCTCTCTCTCTCACCCTCTCTTTCTCTCTCTCTATCTTTCTCTCTCTCTTCCTCCCTCACCCTCTCTCTCTCCCCCTCTCCCTCCCCCTCTCCCTCCCTCTCTCTCTCTTTTTCTCCCTCTGTATCTCTCTCCCTCTCTCTCTCTATTTCTCCCTCTGTATCTCTCTCCCTCTCTCTCTCTATTTCTCCCTCTGTATCTCTCTCCCTCTCTCTATTTCTCCCTCTGTCTGTCTCTCTCTCTCTCTCACACACCCTCTCTTTCTCCCTCTCCCTCTCCCTCTCTATTCCTCTCTCTCACACACACCCTCTCTTTCTCTCTCTCTCTCTTCTCCCTCTCCCTCTCCCTCTCTATTCCTCTCTCTCACACACACCCTCTCTCTCTCTCTCTCCCTCTCCCTCTCTCTCTTTCTCCCTTTCCCTCTCCCTCTCCCTATCTCCCTCTCTCTCTCTCCCTCTCCCTCCCTCTCCCTCTCCCTCTCTCTCTCTCTCTCTCCCTCTCCCTCTCTCCCTCTCTCTCTCTCCCTCTCCCTCCCTCTCCCTCTCTCTCTTTCTCTCTCTTTCTCTGTCTTTCTCTCTCTTTCTCTCCCTCTCTCTGTCTCTGTCTCTGTCTCTCCCTGTCCGTCTGTTTGTCTGTCTGTCTGTCTGTCTCTCTCTCTCTCTCTCTCTCTCTCTTTCTCTCTCACGGCCGGCAGGGACCTCCCATTGGAGAAGGTTCAGCGATGAGCCACAAGGTATGTGGATATACAGCAGATTGCGGGTATCATGGAGATCGTAAGGATTTTCCTACCATTTTTTCCCTTCTTCTTCCTCCCGCGTCTCCTCTTCGCCTTCTGCAGAACTTCTCGGTGATTCTGACGGTGGATCTGGCCTGTACCCACTGCCACGCGAAAATCAAGACGGTCTTGAGCAAAGAACACCAAGGTAGAGCGAGAGAGAGAGGAACGGGTACTATCGGGTCGGGTGAATTAGAGAATAGACAGACCTCTGTTGGCATTCCAGCCTTCTCCTTTCAGGGCCTATCCGAAAGAGAATCCGCTACTTGGAGGCGGGGCCCGCCGTCAGTTGGGAATGTTTCCGATCCGGGGTCTGATGATTTTCCTTCCTCTTCTTCCTTGTTCAACGCAGTGAAATGGAAGATCCAGTCGATAGCGTGGGACAAAAAGAACAACAAAGTCACCATCACCGGGGGCTTCTGCCCCCGCAATCTCGCGAATAAGCTCCGCTGCAAGGCCAGAAAGGTCATCAAGGATATCGACATCCCCGGCCACTGCAGCTGCAACTGTGCTAAGCCTCGCCCTTGCCCCCCACCACCTCCTTCCCCTCCCCCCCCAAAACCTCCTTGCCCTTGCCCCCCACCACCTCCTTCCCCTCCCCCCCCAAAACCTCCTTGCCCTTGCTCCCGACCACCTCCTTCCCCTCCCCCCCCAAAACCTCCTTGCCCTTGCTCCCGACCACCTCCTTCCCCTCCCCCCCCAAAACCTCCTTGCCCTTGCTCCCGACCTCCTCCTTCCCCTCCCCCCCCAAAACCTCCTTGCCCTTGCTCCCGACCACCTCCTTCCCCTCCCCCCCCAAAACCTCCTTGCCCTTCCCCCCCAGAACCTCATTGCCCTTGGTTCCCAGAACCTCCTTGCCCTTGGATCCCAGAACCTCCTTGCCCTTGGATCCCAGAACCTCCTTGCCCTTGCCCCCCAGAACCATCGGACATCATCTGGGTTTGCTATGTCTGCTGCTGCAGCCCCTGCAGCTGTACTGTCGTAGTCATCCACGATGAGGAACGTTCCTGCCGGGTCATGTGATCCAAGGCGGGAACTCACTGCTACGCCTTCCTCTTCGATCCGCCGTTCATTCCCTGCTTCCTCAGACGAGACGAGGCTCAAGCATCTCCCATGGTGGCTCCCTCGCTCGTCGCAAGTTTGAATGCCTGTGATCTTTGAAGGAGAATAAATATAAATAAGAGACAATGTGATGTTCGGGGACGTGAAACGGGACGAACACGGGGCGGAGAAATAGAACAATCCGGGGTTATGAACAGCGGAAGAAAACCTTGAACACGCCGAGGTTGGTGTCTTAAGTTTATCGTCGACAGTTAGGTTCCATCCACCATCCTACAGAATTTGTGATCGTCTTCCTTTGAGTCATTGAAGCACGGTGTATTAAAGATGAATGCGGCGATGAAGATCAAGGGAAAAGGGACAAGATACCCGCCTTCTTCTCCCATAATGTCGTATGATTCGGCAATGAGAGACAGAAACGCCATCGGGTTTCCTCGCCTAGGGCGTGCCGTCGCTCAGTGTTGGAACCCCGACTGGCCCATTGAGCCGGGATTACACCGGAGGGTGGTCCTTACCGCGACTTCTCACCCACATCGGAGGCACTCTTGACCACCATGTCGACAAGTAAATAAACGTGAACGTGATAATGAATGACAGGAGATGATGTGAATGTGGGTATGGAGGGAGAAAACAAGTATTTGAGTGGTTCCTGGGGGGAAAAGTGAAGACTGGATCATGAATTCGGTCTGGATCTGAGAAGCAATTCACCTGTTCCCTCTCATTATTCATCTCTTTATTCATTGCATTATTCTCTCTCTCTCCCTCTCTTACGTCTTTGAGAAGGAGCTTGAAGCTTTATGTCGAGATCTCCCTGCCCTCCAGCAAGTCATCGTCACACTTTAGGCAAATGCCAAGGAGATATGATGTGGAATAACAACGATCATGAACCAAGGGAATATATTGCTCGCACCCTTGAAGACCTCTATCGTCAGCAGAATATCTCTCTAGCTCGAGGTCAAGAGAAAATATTCGTGGATTGCGGCATTCCAGATGTGGGAACACAAATGATGATGCCGAGAGAAGAAGAACCGTTTCAATCACAAGAAAAAATGGAGTGATTTCTAGGGAACAACTTGGAATTGACAACAATGATGGGGCTAACATGCTGCTTTGATCCAGGTAGGGTGAGATGAAGAGAGCATATTCTAATTTCTAAAATAGAAGGATTATCCAAGGAGGAACATCCTCCTTTATCGATAAAAAAATTGAAGACCATTGATGGTGCTTTTAGCCCATTTTGAGATGGCTTCCGATTTTTTTAAAAAAGAAACATAAATGGTGATCTCCCTTTAATCTCTTGACACGATGAACTAGGTTTTGGAGGATATGAGAAAAAGGCTCACCAACGAGGGATTTTATCAACAAAAAAGGATTATAATGCAATCCCTTATTGCTTTCGTAGTTTGTATAACTCAACAGATTATGCAACTAGTAAAATCATCATATCTTTTGACACTTCCTTTTCCATGCAGAAAATAGTTTATTACAAATTTTAATTCGTCAAAAGACAAAAGTATAGCTGTCCGAACTATGAGTTATATGAACTTGAATCCACTGACTTGCAGGTTGGTATTTTGCTGTGCATGCACCTTGGGAGCACTCCAAAGCTACATCATGAGGTTATGAGGAAAATTGTGCATTTAGATGTTTATGAGATGATCCAAGTTGCATGAGGAGGTTTATAGACTGCTAAGGCTGCAACAGTTTCACAGATCCTCCTTGAGGTGCCGTCTCCTCAGATATTCAACTTGCTTCAATGCAACAATACATCACCGACTTCCACCTTGAGGACAAGGTGGATATCTTAGGGGGCGAGTAATGTTAGGACCCCGACTGGTCCATGACATGAACGTGATAGTGGATGACAAGAGATAAGGTGAACATGGACATGAGAATTTCAGCCCATGAATATTCAAAAGGAGGGGTTAGCATGGAGGGAGAAAATAAGTCTTTTGAGTGGTTCTCAAGGGGAAAGGTAGAGATTGACCATCTCAAATTTTTGTATGTATCTGAGCAGGTTTCACCATCTTGAATAATGAGATTGACCATCTCATTATTCATCTTTCAGTTCGTTGTGTTATTATATGTATCTCTCTCTCTCTCTCTCTCTCTCTCTCCTCTTTTCTTTGTCTCTCCTATCCTACGACCCATGTAATTTAGTATGAGAGGAATCTACCTGATCTCTAACTATATCATCTACTTGATCTTTACCCTTCATCCTTCGAATATATTATACGTCCACCAAGAATGGAAAGGGGTTCCATCATCGATCCCTGTTGGCACAGACGTGAAGTATTCAATAACCCTTGCACATGAAAAAGTTCAAGTGCAATGTGCAAATCCTTTGCCAACATGTGAGGTTTTTGTTTCCACCTCGACGATATCTTCATCAAATAAGAGAAAATTCCGCATTCATCGCCAGAAATCTTTGCTATTAAACTACAACAAGAGCATTTGGGGGCCGAGGACCTCTAGATCCGTCATTTCAATGAGGGAGTGTCGTTTTGGGAATCCAATCATCTCATAGCGCTAGGCGGTGGTGGTCGGTGGCATCATCCTCAAAAGAAACGTACCTTACCAAGCATTTCTCCATCACAGAATGTTTGCTCGCCAAGCCAACCCCCTACCCTCTATCTCTCCTCGTCTCTCTATCTTCATGCTTAGGTGATAAAAACCCCAGGAGTGCCAAATCTATCTCCATTACTGGAGTACAAATTTCAGGGGATCTCTGCGGCCGCGTCAAGCGTGGTTGTGTTCTACCTCCTCCGGCTGGGTCCAAGCTTCCTCACCATCATCTCCTTCTTCCGGCCTCTCCTGCTCTCCACGTCTACCTTTCTCACCACTGTTCTGGTCCTCCACCTCACTTTCCAGCGCCTGGTGGTGACCCTGAGCGAGTTGTTAGGAGAGGGGCTCATGGATTACGTCTCAGCCATGGTCGAGCCAATGATGATATTAAAGAACATGGAATAGTGGAGAAGTTAGGGATTGGACAACAATAGCAGGAGGAGATCAGATGCGAGGGGAGAGCACCGAAGGAGGAAAATCCTCAGTGAACCTAAGAACATCTCTCTCTCTCTCTCTCTCTCTCTCTCTCTCTCTCTCTCTCTACTGCACTTCTTGATTGGTCAATGAAAGCTGTACAAACGGTTTTAGAAGGACGTACCAAAGGTTTGATACAATTGGCGAGAAAGATAAAAGTACACTTATACCATATTGTTGGTAATTACAAAAAAGAACGCTTAACTAGAAGGGGTGTTTTGGTGGTAACATTTTGAGCTCTTTAAACATTTTAATCGCCAACTCAGGGCAGCATAAGAAGGTTTGATGGTTCTTTGCTTGGGTCCAACACCTTGAAGGAGGGCAAGGTGGAGCTTCTCTCTAGGTTTGAACTTCCCCTTTGTCTTGTTGAAATTTGTATGTAACATGATCTAGTTGCTCTCTCTATTTTTACTTCCTAAGCCATGGCATATTAGAACTTTATGAGTGAGCAGGAGGGAGAACTGTGCTCTATTATCCACGAGTACATGTAGTCTGATAAATTTCCTCATTTTGTTCATGATTTTGAGATAGCTATAATAGATTTTTGTGAAACATTTGAATTAGTGCTAATGTGAATAGAAAAAAAGAAGATGGAATAGTCATATGTTTGATCGTGTAATATGTCATATTTTATCCAATATTCATATCTTATCATTAAAAATATTGATACAAATGTTCTAGTTTTATTTATTTTAAAGTTTGATTAAATCAAAAATAATAATTTATAGGATGCATTTCATTCTAGTTATATGAATCAAAGAGGTACTAAAAATAATGCTTCTACATTAGAAGAACATGGGAAGTACATGATAATTAAAATATTAACATTAATAATCAAAAATTTCTATGACATCAATCATGTTCTTCTAGTAAAATATTAGGATCTCATAGCTAATTAGATAGCATGTAGTAATTTACAAAATCTTGGGTCCTCCTTGAATTCAATGAGGAATAGTCAAGATGTCGGCTGCAATCTTTCCTCTCTCTTTGTTGTAATGAATTCAGGTTTGTGTGAGATGTAGAGCCTCCATTCTCATGTCTCTTTTCACCTTCTCTATGAAATCTTCAAATCCAATGTTGATTTGATCGACATTCACCTCTTCAAATTTATCTTCCTCTTTTCTCTCCTCTTGTTGTTGTTCTTCCTATAGCCATTTCTCATGTTTGTACTCCTATTCTATCTCCACTATCACTTTCTGTTCTTTATTACTGAAAGGTAATAAAGAATTGAAACTAAAAGAGTAATAAAAGAGTTACAACCCTTTTTTTGGTAAAAGGATCAGAACTAAACAATTGATCTCTCTCTAGATCCTTATTTTATTGAGGCCAACCAAGTTCAAGGAAGGAGTCTCAAAAATCAATGTGAGAACACAATAAGATGAGAAGAAAAGATCTGCATTTTTTAAAAACCAAGCAAGAAATCATATAACTAAAAGAAGAGAGGTTTAAGAAAATCATTGGAAGAAGAATCACCTTGAAAATGGTGACCACTTTGAGAGATCAATTGAGAGGGCCAATCTCCACAAGAACCATTTTCATTCTTTTGCTTCTTCCCCCCCTTCTCCACTTTGATACTTGACACTTATTAAAAGGACATTTAAGGATGTAAAACCTTTGTAACATTAGAGATGTAAAAATATGTTTAAGTGGAGAAAAATGAGTATAAATGATTAGTTGGTGAATGACTACAAAAATGACATTATATCTATTTAAAGTTGATAATATTTTAATAAAAATATATGGATATGTGGCCTGCCTTAATCATTGTATAATAAATCACATGAATTTTAAATTGATCAAACTAGAAAATATTCTTTTTTAGTTTTTTAGAATTATTTTAGTACTAATATATTAATTATAATTTGATAAAAAAGTTTCAAAAATAGTTAAGAATTTTTCAAGTTGGTAGAAAGGATTAAGATAAT